AGGGATGCAGTATGTCCAGACTGCAGAAGCTCCTTGAGAAGGAAACCAAGGGCGCAGATGGCAGAGAATGTGCCTCCACAATGGCTACTCTAACTGGACACAGGATGGCCGTGGATGAGCAGAGCAGAAGTTTTGCATGAGGGTCGTGGCTTCTAATCCCAGGCTGGCTGGTAGCCCTGGAGGCAGGAAGACATGAGTTCAAATCCAGTCTCAGACATGTAGTGCTGTGTGACCCTGGGCAAGTCACTTACCTCTGTCTGCCTCAGTTTCTTCCCCTACAACATAGGGACACTAATACACCCCTATTTTTTCAGTCTTCTCGTATCTTCCTCCCACGTACTCTCTGATCCAGTGACATGGCTGCCTGTCTGTTCCACAAACCAGACACTAACTCCACGCTCCAAGCATCTTCTCCAATGTCCCCCATACCTAGAAAGCTCTCCTTCTTCATTGCCACCTACTCACCTCCCTGGCTGGCTTCCTTTAAGTTCCAAATAGAATCCTTTCCTCACCCACCTTAATTCCAGTACCTTCCCTCTATTATAATATATAATTATTCATTCTGCCTATAGCTTTTTGGTACGTATTTGTTTGCATGTCGTCTCCCTCACTAGACCATGAGCTCTCTGAGGGCAGGCACTGTCTTTTGCTTTTTTTGGTATCCCCAGCTCTTAGCATAGTTGCCTGACACATAGTAGGTGCTTAATAAATTGCATATTGACAACCTCACAGGGTTCTTGTGAGGATCAAATAACCTAACATTTGTAAAATACACCACACAAAATTAGTGATTAATAAATGTTTATTCCTTCCCTCTCTTATCCTCTCAGCTAAGACAATCAATCAACCAACATGCATTTATTAAGTACCTACCATGTGCCAGGGACTGTGCTTGGTGCTAGGGATAAAAATAGTGATAATTCCTGCCCTCAAGGAATTTACAATCTTGGGGGTCTAGACAATCCAGACATATGTGGAAGTGGTTGGGGGTAATAAAAAATAGTGATAATTCCTGCCCTCAAGGAGTTTACAATCTTGGGGGTCTAGACAATCCAGACATATGTGGAAGTGGTTGGGGGTAATAAAAAATAGTGATAATTCCTGCCCTCAAGGAGTTTACAATCTTGGGGGTCTAGACAATCCAGACATATGTGGAAGTGGTTGGGGGTAGTAATGAAATGTTTCTTGGAGGGGGCAACATTTGAGCTGAGCCTTGAAGTAAAGAAAAGATTCTAACAGGTAAAGGTGATGAGCAAGTGAATATCAGGCAAAGGGGGAAGACTGGAAAGATGGGGGGTGGGTAGGCTATGAAGGGCTACAAATGCCGGAGTATTTTGTATTTGCTCCTGGAGGAAATAGGGAGCCACTGGAATATATTGAGTAGGGGGATGACACTGTAAGATCTGTGCTTTAGGAAAATCACTTGGTGGCTGAATGGCAGATGCATAGGAGTCGGGGGAGACTTGAGGCAGGCAGGCAGACTCATCTGGAGGCTATTGCAATAGTCCAGCTATGAGGTGATGAGGGTCTACACTGAGGGGTAGGGGAAATGTCAGAGAAGAGAAGAGAATGTATTGGTGAGATGCTGGGGAGGTGAAACATAGGAGAGATGATGAAGAGGTGAAATTGAGGAAAGATGTTGCAGAGGTGAAATTGGCTAGAGATGCTGCAGAGGTGAAATCTACAACAGATGCTGTAGAGGTGAAATCAACAGGCTTTCTAGACAGCTTGGATGAGGAGGGCTGGGCAGTGAGAGACAGAGAGAGAGAGAGTGAGGAGTCCAGGTGTACAATGAGGCTCCAAGCCAAGGGGACTGGAACATTGGTGGGCCCCTTATGCCATCAGGAGTGGGGTTTGTAAGAGAGGAGGAGTTGGGGGGAAAGGTCACATGGTCTGTTTTGGGCATAAAGTGTTTGAGATGCTTGTGGGGCCTGGGCTTGAAATATTCCACATGCTGGTGCCGTGGGATTGACTGGGTAGCTCTCTTCACGACAAAGGTTTTGCCCACCAATGACAATGGGGCCATTTTCTGTCCCACTAACGTCCCTGTTTCAATCTTGTAAGCACTTTTTCCCTGTGAACCTGTTCTCCCATCTCCCCCTGGCACATCCAACCACCTCATGGCCTTCTTCTCCTGGAGCATCCATCTGCAGTGATGGCCCCATTTCCCATTGGGAACCTACCACTGAGGCCTTCATTTTGGGGAGGGGCCCAGGCAGGCCAATTTGCTTCCCCTCAGGGCTCTACTCCTGGCTTTCTGGTAGGGGGGAGTTATCTTCCCTCTCTCCCCAGCTTTTCAGCTCCCTTTGTGCATTGTCTTCCTCCATTAGTATGTAAGCTTCTGGAAGGCAGGGACTCCTCCAGCGCTTAGCACAGGCAGCATTTAATGCATGTTTTCTTGCCTTTTCTCTAATGGGCCTGAACCTGGGAGCCAATGAGGACAGCTCATCATTAATTTTGATGCTCTCTGTCACAATGAAGTAGAAGGAAAAGAAATCTTTTCCATGCTTATCTTGCTGCTCAAACTGGCTATTTGTCTGCTCTACCCAGTAACTGTGCAGGCCCCTGGGAGTGATGGGTGGAATCCAGAACCTCCCCAGGCACAGACCCTTTTACATCATTGGCCCCACACTGTGGCTGATGTTGGGAACGTAGAAGAGATATTGTTCCCTCCTCACTCCCCTTCCCCCAGTTTGTAGGATGTCAGCATGCGGAAAATGTAGTTGGGTATGACATACCACTCAATCAAGGGTTGAACACCTATGTGACGACACGGGAGTCAATTTGGACTGGGAGGGAGTGTGGGAAATGGCTGGTTTTCATTTCCACAAGGGGGCAGTCTGGGGGCTAAGTGGAAGTTGAATAAAGCCATAAAGTGGATTTGGGGTGGTGAATGGACTGACTAGCGAAAACCGGTTCTGAGGTTAGGTATAGATGAACACATCTGTATCCCAAGCAGAAGGGGTGTGGGCATACTAAAATAAGGGCCAGAGTGGCCGAATTGTGGGGAGTGGGAGATGTGATTAAAGGCAGAGACTCACGTGAGGAAATTAGGCTCTTCTGATAGGCCGTAATACCCAGCCAATGGGGAAATTGGAAGGAAATTCAAATGGGGAATAGGGAATAAAAAGGTATGCATCTGTGGACACACGTACTCTCTCACACATGCTCTCTCACATGTGAGAGGCCTGGTTTTCCTAAGTTATTAATAAAGCTTCTTCTTGATTCAACAATGGCTTCACGGAATTTGTGATATAGATAACACCAGTAACTGTGCAGGCTCCTGGGAGTGATGGGTGGAATCCAGAATCTCCACCCCCAGGCACAGACACCCAGGGAGCCCCCTTTCACATCCTTGGCCCCACACTGTGGCTGAGGTTGGGAACGTAGAAGAGCTGGTGTTCACTCCCCTCCCCTCAGTGTGTAGGATGTCAGCAGTAGTGGGGGGGGGCACCTTTGGGGTCTCCCTCTTGACCTCCTGTCTAAATCTGGTGGAGTCTGTCCTTGTATTCTCTGAGCCGGTCTCTTCTTTCCTCATGGGCCAGGACAGAAAGTGGACTTTGGGTTCTGTCCCGTCTTACTTCTTTTCTGCTGGGATCAGATGGCCTAGTCAGGAGTTTCACAGACCCCCAACCTCTCAGGGAGTAGATGTGGGCAGAGCAGCCCCCACATCTTTTCCTCTATATTGGCAGAAAGTTGGGGAGTCCCCAAGGCTGGGGCCAAAGTAGGCCCAGCCTCACCCTGGACATAACTGCAGGCCATGTGTTTGTTACCACCAGTTAACTCCTAAGAGGCTTGAGGTTTGCAAAGTGCTGTGACATGCATCATGCATTGTCTTTGGGGTTGCCTTAGCACACAGAATGCCAAGCCTGCCAACCCAAATATCTGGGTTCAAATCTGGGTTGAGGCTGTTCCTATGTGACCAAGGGAAAGTCATTTAACCTTCATGTGCCAGATTCTTCTGGAAAATGGGGATAATCACAGCATTTACCTTGAAGGGTTTAGCCCACAGCCTGGTTCCAATTATATTCTTATATATGCCATGTATTACATTCTCTCTCACATGTTTTAGGCTCTTTTTCAGAATTCTGTACTTATGGAACAAGGCAACATGCTTGGTAACTCTCATCTTTTCCTGGCTCCCATATACCTTTCATTGACCTCCATATTTCCCCTCCAGCCCTTCCTCACTCTGTTCTGGGGGCTGAAGCCTGGAAGGTCTTATCTAGACTCACTGGTGAGTGGCCCAAGGCCCTAGACTTTGTCAGAGGCATTGGCATGAGATGCAAAGGGAGGGACAGATGGTCTCTGGGATGACTTTTGGGGTTGAGAAGTCTCTCCTTCTCAAGCCAAGTCTCCATGGAGACAGTGTTCTCTCCTGGATGGTGACAGCCACTTTTTGGCTCCTTGGGCAGAGTGGCCTTGCATAGGTCCCACCTGGGAGATGGTGATGTCCAGGAAGCAGGAACACCACCTAGTCGTTCTCTGTATCTCCTATTGACTTGTGATGATCATTGAGGTTTAGATCACTAGATTGTGAGCTCCTTGAGGGCAGCGACTGACTTTGCACACTGCCTGGCACATTGGAGGTGCTTCATGTGTATTGACTGACTGATGGACCACATGGTGCTGTGTCCCCTTCCAAGCAGGCCCTAGCCTGTACACATGGTTCCACATGGACTGAGGTGGTCTTGCCTGTGTAAAGTGCGCTCCATGGTCTTTTGTGGCTTTGGCTGGTGCCATCCCCCTCTCTCCAGCCACCCTGTAAGAAGGGGCCGAATGTGGTGAGCCCAGGGTGTCCAGCCCTGAGCAGTGTGGAGCCTAGCCTGGTAAGGACACTGCCTCAGTTTCTCCATTCCAGACCAGTCAGCATGAGCATGGTTTGCATTTAGAGTCATGACTTTGAAAACACTATGCCAGGCCCGCTTAACCTTCTATGCTACAAGTAGACACGGAATAATGCAGACACTGTCCTGAGACAGACACTCACAACAGGAGCCTTCAATGACCCAACTAGGCTTTATTTATAGTAGTGCTCATAAACCCAGACTTCTTCCTGACTCTACTGGATGAAAAGCATCAGAATGTATGTGTGTGCGTGGGGAGATGAGCTGCAGAAACCTGGGGAACTCAGTCTGGGAAAGGCTCAGGGGGCACGAGGCCATGGCCACCCTCCCTCTGTGCCTAGCAGACAAGGCCTCTGTCCTGAACCCCCAGCTCCCAGGGCCTTGTGTCCCACCTCTCTGTTTTCCTTCTTTACTCTGCAGCCCTCCCTCCAAGCTCGCCCTGCCCCTGCCCATTCTGACCCACTGATGTTTGATCCCCAGGCCCTGGGATGCTCCCTGGGCCCCCAGACTAAGCATTGCTGCTGAGGCTGCAGCAGGAAGTGGCCTGCCAGGTGCCGGGGGCAGATCTGGGGCTTAGGGACTGAATCAGCAGGGAGGAGGAAGAGGAGAGGAGCTCGGCACTGGAGCCAGACCCCACGGCAGCTGGGTCAGAGGGGGAGCTGGCCGACGGTGGTTCCAAAAAGGGAGAGCAGAAGAGGGGGCAGCGGAGTCCCATTTCATGAGGGGCACACAGATCCCTTTTCAAAGGAAGTTGGTGGGGCTGCAGACATTGATCCAGGGCCTGGGCTTCCAGCCATGGGGTCAAGGCGGGCTTAGACAATGAAGAGGTTTGGGAGTCCAAAAAGCACAAAGTTGAAATTTGTCCAGGGCGGTATAAACACAACTCTGGTGGCGAGCGCTGAGGCACTATGGTCAGAGACTTTTTCTCTAGAAGCTCTAGGAGAGTGTCCTGCAAACAGGGACACAGGAGCCAGGCTTTGTTCACCTCGGAAGAGCCTCGCAGCAACTGCCTGGTGCTTCCCACTGCCCTGCTCCGACGCCTGATGTCTAGGCTCTGCGGATAATCCAAAGGCCTCGGTCAGTGCCATGGTGCCCAAAGGCTGCCAGCCATGCCTCTTCCCTGGCCAGAGTGGGAACCCAAGGCCAGGAGAGCAGAAAGGACATGACCAACTTGCCCCATGGTGGAACTGGTCCAGACAAGATTCGAACTCTACACTGGGGCCCCACTGCGCCCATGAGAATGGGCAAGATCAGAGAAGCAGAGAGCAGTGACTCTGGGTCCCAAGGTCTTAACCCGTCCCCTGCTGTCCCGAAGTGTGCCTGGATCCAGGCGGGGCCTGCCTGGAAGAATATGTTTACCCTTTCCTTCTGGGTTTGTGCACAGCCATGATGGAACTGTTCTCTTCAAGCACAAAGAGAACCTAGCAAGGGGGTCTAAAATGCACAGGAGAATTTTTAGGTGATTGGGTTTTAATTGCCTTGAATGGACTCTGAGGCTGAATCCCAGGTGCAAAGCTAGTGGGGAGAGTGTTGACCTCAGATGCCGTCTAGCTCTGTGACCGCATCTAAGACATACAACCTCTCTGGGCCTCAGCCTCCTCATCTGTAAAAAGGGGGAAGTGGACTCAGTGACTCCGGGGTCCTTTTAAAGCTCTAAATGCATAATCTTCTGATTCTTCACAGCTCCGATGAGAAGAGCAAAACAAAACAAATATATGAAACAGCCCCCTCAAATGGAATAATTTAGAATATGGTGGAAGAGAAGTCAAGAACTCAGCACAAGCCCCCTTCCTTCCTCCCTGTGCATGCTCCCTTCCCCCCCAAGACCAGTGAAGACAGATTTACAGTCAGTCCTTAGTCCTTTTTAGAGAAATTGCCTGATTTGATCTCCCCAACCCCTCTATCAGGGAGGCATTTCAGGTGTGTTAGCTCCATTTTACAGACAAGGAAAATGAGGCAGAGAGGCAAGCGTGGTTACAAAACCAGTGAGAAGGTCTGGGACCAGGCCCTGCATGTCACAGTCCCACTGGCACCCCAGCCTGGGTCAAACTCTCATTACCTTTGAAAAATGAATTTCATTGATATCTTTTGTTTCCCCCAATGTTTCCTTCTCCATTGTCTCTCCCTCTGGCTTTCAAGACAGCTCCGCCCTGGAACAGAGGTTGGGACAGTGGCGGAGGCCAAGGACTCAGCTGCCACCGCAGCTCCAATCTCCCCTCACTCAAGTGAGTGACCATCATGGGAGGCCTGTGCAGATGGACACGCGGGCATAGGGCCCACAGCCCTGGGCTAAGACTCAAAGAGGAGGGATCTGGCTCTGGAAGACCCCCAGCCCAGAGTCTGAGCCGTGGGCCTTGTCTTTACAGAGGGACCAGAGGGACCTTTCTGTTCAACCAGTCTGGAGGGGAGGATATTTAATTCGTGACAAAAGGAGGCGTCTCAAGGAGCCCCCCAGCTCCCTAGTTAACCAAATTCATTTACGGTGGAAAACCCATGAAGGCAATGATTCATTGTCCCGTGATGATGTTCCGAATGTCCTCGGGACCAGTGACACTGATGAGACAGCATGGCAAGGTGCAGAAACATGGGGTGGCCCTACTCACCCTTCCCGGCTTCAGCTAAGCCTGTCTTCAGGAGATGGTAGACGGCTTTCCCGCTTGGCTTGCCAGTTCTCAGCAAGTCTAAAGAAGAATCAAGCACACGAATGGTCAGTGGATGGACTCGGAAGGCTCGGAGATCCACGGAAAAGGCACAGACGTGGCAGCTGGGTGCTCCAGCCTCGGGGCAGCCTCGACTCACCCTCGCAAAGGAGGTCTGCCCGCCTGGCGTTGTAGTACAAATACGTGGGCCACTGGTTGCTCATTACACAACGGACACCGGTGAGGCTTAGCAGGATGGCGGTGTCCACTGGATTGTGCAACAATAGCTGGGATGGTCTGAAAACCGAACAATGCTCCTAAAAATACAGCTCAAAGAAACAGCCCCTTGTCCGTGGCCGTCCAGCCTTCCTTGAGACCCTCCGGGAGACCCACCCAGTGAGCTGGGGCCTGCCTCACACTCTGCAAACACGGGTGCTTCCATAGTCCATCGGCTGCTCCCCCAGGCTCACCACGTGCCTGACCACTCCTGCTCTCATAAGACATTTCCTCCATGACAACCAGTGTCTGAGAGGAGGTCACTGCTGAAATACACTACAGCCTCTCTGTGCAGCAGTCAGAAACAAGCATTTATGAAGCACCTACTACACACCAGGCATGGTGCTGAGTGCTGGGAAATGAAAGGGGCTCACAGTCTAATTATGAGGACAGCACGCAAACAGCCATGCACATGCGAGATGTACATATGTAAACTGGAGACTGTCTTTAGGGGAAGACAAGTAATGTGAAGAAGGCCCAGGCAGGGGTTTGCAGAAGGCGGGGTTTGAGGGAGGCCATGGAGGAAGAGATGAGGGGGCGAGAATTTTGGGGACACCCAGTGGAAGCATCTGGAATCAGGGTACAGAGCACCTGGGGCAGAAAGGCGGTGGGGGGGAGCAAGAGAAGCCAGGAGGCCAGTGTCTCTGGAGTACAGAGGGGACAGGGCGGGGAGCCAGGGTATAAAGGGCTTCAGGAGCCAAACAGAGGAGCTTCCACCTAACTTGGAGGTATTGGGGCACCATGAGGATTTAGAAAGTGGGGGTGGCATGGGTGTGTGTGACGTGATCAGACGGGCTGGAGACAGGGGAGCCTGCACCAGAGTGGGGGCTGTGTGAGTGCAGACAAGGAACCGAAGGTGAGGAATGACAAGGTCTGACAATGGGGTGAAAGGCAACGAGGTCTCAGCTGCAGCTTCAGTGACAGGGAGGACAGTGGCCCCTGGAAAGTGACAGAGGAGGTCAGAGGGGCAGAGATTTAGGGGACAGAGGGTGACTTCAGCTTTGGACCCCTGGAGCTGGAAAGGCCGAGAACACATCCATTTTCACCAGTCCAACAGACAACTGGAGATCTGACACTGGAGGCTTGGGAGAGAGGTTAGGGCTGGATCTGAGAAGTGCGAAATGGGAATCGACCTGTGGAGGTGAAGGCCAGTAATGCCAAAATATTTTGGAGATACCTTGCCTCCCAGAGCTAAGGTCTGGCAAGCAGGCTGTGCCCTGAGCTTGACATAACAATAATCCTTTGCATTCAGGAAGGTAACACCCTCTGGCAAAGTGTGTCACTGGATCAGCATCCGGTGTTGCCCCTATTTCCCAGGGCCATCCATCATATGGTCATAATCCCTTTTCACTGGCAGGGCCATCCATCATATGGTCATAATCCCTGTGCCTTTTCACTGGCAGGGACCATACTACAGAGCTCTGGTTCTGTACCTCGAGTGGCAGCTGTGACTCCTAAGACTTGAGACAATGACTGTTTCCCTGGGACCAAGAACTCTGTTGTTCCATGACATGCCAACCACAAGAACTATGTGCAGACCTAAGAGTGATTATGTTGTGGGCCGACCCTTTCAGGCATGTAAGTGGCCTTATATACTTAAAGCCTGGGGGGGGGGGGTTCTTCTGCTTGTAAGCCTCATTTTTCTCACTCTGAAATGAGTCCAACTTCTCTTTGTGTCCTGACCCTCCTGTTCCTAGCTTGCTCTGTTTGGCTCCGGCCACAGGGCAGAGGCCGGGAATGAAGCCGTGGGGGACACTAGTGGCTGCTGAGTGTGGCTGGGAAGAAGCTCCAGCCAGGAGCCTGAGGAGCCTCAGTCAGGTCAGAGAAGTGAAGAAGAACTGGGGGGAATTGGGTCCTGAAACCTAGAGTGGAGCAAGTACCCTGAGGAAACGACAGTGTGCGATGTCAGAGGCCCCCAGAGAGTGTGAGGACCGAGAAATGTCCCTCAGAGAGTGCTGGCACCTGCAGGCGCAGACCGGGCTGCTGCCTTAGAGACAGTCTGCTCCACCGGAGAGGGGGAGGTATCCACCACCTTGTAACCCTGCTCCACACACTCTCACGGCCTCCCCTTCCGCCTTTCCAGCGTCCAGATACCTTGCACCGACCTCTACGCAGGCCCTCCCTGGCCCAAAGTACTCTTCTCCTCACCCCTGCCTTCTGGGGTCTCCCAGAGTCTGGGGGGACCCCTTCCCAGCATCTGTGGGCTGCCCCTTCCGCGGGGGGAGGGTCTCCCAGCCCTCCAGATGGCCTCTGCCTTGGTCCTGCCCCGCCTCCCTGCCACGCCCTCCCGGGTGGCCGGGACGTGCTCTATGTGCACGCCTGAGTCTGTGTACACCCACGCTGTGTCTCCTACCGGCAGGGGCGGCTGTCCCTGAGGATGGAGACACGCACGGGTCAGGGGTGTTCCTGCCGCGCAGGAAGAGGATCCGTACCTCAGGATTTCGTCAAACTTGGCCTGCCTCTGGCTGCTGTACACTGTTTTCGTCAAGTTCAGTAGAATTATCATCTGGCATTCTGAAACACAGGGCAGACCCCCAGACTCTTCAGGAGCTCCTTCTGGGGCCAGGCAGGCTGCCGCTGGAGGGAATGGCCTGCATCCATCATGTCCTTCCTCTGGAGCCATTGGGCTCCATCACACGGTCAGCAGGGCTTCTCCGGGCTGGCTTGGGCAGAGATTCTGTATCCCGCCGCGCGCCCCACCCCCGCCCGCCCCGAACTCCTCGGGCAGCAGAATGGCATGACCAGCCCTGAGCTCAGGATGGTTGTTTTGGATGTGGGATGGAGCGTGGACCAGAAGACCACCAATGAGCCGTGCCAGGTGGTGACCAGGGCAGTGGAGAGAAGGGTCAGGTGGGAGAGACATTTCAGAGGCAGAGTTTAGGAGACTCAGCACCTGCTTGGGTGGGAGATTCAACCTGCATGACTGGGAGGAGGGTTGGTGCCCTTGACTGACCAGTACAGGGTTAAAAGACAAGTGGGACATCTGGGGGCTAACAAACAAATACAATCTGACAGGCATTTATAAAGTACCACTGTGAACAAAGGTCAGTGCGTGGCCCTGGGAGTGTCAGGGAGCTGTGAATTTGGGAGAGAGAAGTCTAGCAGAGCTTGCTGAAGCCAAGGGGCAGACTGTGGAGGGAGGAGGGAAGAGAGGCAAGGGCTGGGCCTTCAGAAACACTTCCAGTGGGAGAAACCACCGGAGGAGACTGAGGAGAGGACAGACTGGGAGGAGAGACAGGTGAGGCAGGGCTGGAAAGCTGAGAGGGGGAGGTGAGAAGATGGGGGGTGGGTGTGGCCAGCAGAGGCTAATGGTGCAGAGAGGTCAGGAGAGCAGCTTCAGCTGAGCGGTGGGGATGGAGGCCAGGAACCATGAGGGATGTGGAAGTGGAGATAGCCACTGTAGACCAACCACTTTTCCTAGCAGTTTTTCAGGGAAGGGGAGGGGACACATGTCTTATGGCTGTCCATTTCCTGTCATCTGCATTGCCTTAGGGCGTGAGACAGAGGACTAGGAGACTTGAGCCTCCTCCTCAATCTGTTCTTCCTTCCCCACCTTGATTTCCTTCCCCATCTCCCCTCCCTATCTTCTTATGTCCCCCCACGACTTCCTGCTTGGATCCCCACTATTTCACACCTGGATCTCTCCTCCTCCCCACATGGTGTATCTCTCCTCCCCCATGCCTGGATCTCTCCTCTTCTCTACCCAGATCCTCCCTTCTTTCTGTTGGGCGGTCCTCCTTCAGCTGCTGCCTCTCACCTTGCAGGTTCATGGTGATCAGACTATCTACAAGCATGTGAGACAGCAAGTTTTCCATGCCGTAGAAGAAGAACCCGCTGCAGCTGCTCAAGCATTGCTCCCAGTCTGCTTGGCTGGAGGAAGAGAAGGGGGAGGAAGAGGAAGAGGAGGAGGAGGAGGAGGAGGAGGAAGAGAAAGAGGAAGAGAAAGAGGAAGAGAAAGAGGAAGAGGAAGAGGAAGAGAAAGAGAAAGAGGAGGAGGAAGAGAAAGAGGAAGAGAAAGAAAAGGAGGAGGAGGAGAGAAAGAGGAAGAGAAAGAGAAAGAGGAGGAAGAAGAGAAAGAGGAAGAGAAAGAGAAAGAGGAAGAGGAAGAGAAAGAGGAAGAGGAAGAGGAAGAGAAAGAAAAGGAGGAGGAGGAAGAGAAAGAGGAAGAGGACAAGAAAGAAAAGGAGGAGGAGGAAGAGAAAGAGGAAGAGGAAGAGGAGGAGGAAGAGAAAGAGGAAGAGGAAGAAAAGGAGGAGGAGGAAGAGAAAGAGGAAGAGAAAGAGAAAGAGGAGGAGGAAGAGAAAGAGGAAGAGGAAGAGAAGGGGAGGAGGAAGAGAAAGAGGAAGAGAAGGAAGAGGAGGGGAGGAGGAGCAAAAGAAGGGGGGGAAGAAGAAGAGGGGAGGAGGAGGAAGAGGGGAGAGAAGGGGGAGGAGGAGGAGGAGGAAGAAAAGGGGAGGAGGAAGAGGAAGAGGAAGAGGAAGAGAAAGAAAAGGAGGAGGAGGAAGAGAAGGGGGGAGGAGGAAGAGGCAGAGAAAGAGGAGGAGGAAGAGGAAGAAGAAGAGAAGGAAGAGGAGGGGAGGAGGAGCAAAAGAAGGGGGGGAAGAAGAAGAGGGGAGGAGGAAGGGAAGAGAGAGAGAAGGGGGAGGAGCAGGAGGAAGAAAAGGGGAGGAGGGAGAGAAGGGGAGGAGGAGGGGAGGAGGAAGAGGAGGAGGAGGAAAAGGGGGGGAGGCAGAGAAAAAGGAGGAGGAGGAAGAGAAGGAGGAGGAGGAAGAAGAAGAGAGGGGGAGGAGGAAGAAGAGGAGGGGAGGAGGAAAAGAAGGGGAGGAGGAAGAGGAAGAGAAGGGAAGGAGGAAAAGGAAGAGAAGGGGAGGAGGAAGAAGAGATGGAGAGGAGGAGGAAGGGAGGAGGAAGAGGAGAAGCATCAGAATGTACATCCCAGCACTGGGCAGCCCCACCCCCAAAGGAGGTCTCTCAAACTGGAGCTGGGGACACAGCCTGCCAAGGTGAGCTTGGTCATTGGCAGAGGCACATTGCTGACCACTGGGGACCTTAGGCTCTTCATCTCTTACATGAGGGGCCTGGGTCGGGGCCGGGCGACCTCTCCCTTCCCCTCTACGGCCTTGGATCCTTTATAATCAAGTGTTTCCCAGTTCTCCCGGCCACTTCTTGGCAAATGGTGCACCCTGCTCCTTTGGGGCAGATTCTGATGTGCTGTGTTTCAAGGACTCCTGAAGAACTTCTCTTGTCTGTGTGCTTTTGGGTAGGTCTGCCCAGTGCCCTGACATGTCTTGGGAGGGTACGGCCATGCCATCTGGTTGGGTCTCACTGGGAGCTTGGGTTTGGTGCTAACAGTTTGGAGCATTCCATCCATGGAGGTCAACCCCAGTGGGGTGGGTGAGGGAGCACACAGAGCTCACCTCTGACCCTCTGATATTGGGCTGCTATAGCTCCCAAGGAGTGGGGATGGCCCCTTTGCAACTTCCTGGTGGTCAGGTAGATTTCTGCCAATGACCAGATGGGCACACAGGCTACTTCCCCTCTTCAGGCAGGGCTGAGAGGTGACCCCATGACCAGGTGCCAGGGCAGGAGCTAGGGACAGGAAACCTCCTCTTCCTTCCCTAGGAACTCGGCCTTTCTTCTCTGCTCAGGGCTGGCTCTCTTGACTCAGCACTGAAACAATTCACCCCTCAGACAAAAGCAAAAAGGCCAGGGAGTAGGCCAAGTCACAAACCTTGGAAAGTTTTTACTTCCCAGAAAGCCAGACCATCGTCCGGTGTAGGGGTCACGGTATTTGTCCAGAATTTCACGCATTTTGAAGACAGGAGTGATGGCCTCTGCAATGAGATTTTCATCACATGGAGAGAAAGCTCTTTTTTAGAGAAAGGACATCTGATCTTTCACCTAGTCATATGTCTATCATGCTCGGTGGGAAGCAACTCTATTTGAAATCACTCATTGCAGATTCTATGATGAGATGCCAGAGTGAATTTGAAAGGTTGCCGATACGATCTGGGAAGGCACCATAAGATGGGATGGAGTGTGACATCCTAACCTGTCCTGTCTCAATACTTTAACTGGAAAACTGCTGATGGATGGTGGCATTCTGGTGTTGGATTCCCTAGGTGCAGAAGACATGACAGAGTAGGGGGGGCTCAGGAACCTCTAGTGGGTCCTTGGGGACCTGCCTGTGGCTTGAGAGCCTCTGTTTAGGCTCCAAGCCCCTGGGGCAGGAGGTCAGACTCCCAATTTTCTCTACAAGAGTTCTCCCCTACAAGAGATGGTGAATGATGGGGGCCGTGTCTATCAGCTCAATGAGGACATCCCACATTCTGTGGTTTCCAGCTGTTCTCGCCTCCTTGCCCCGATCCTGAGAAGCATCATCTGTCTTGGTGCTCCATCTTTGATCCAGTCTCCATCCCTTGGCATCAACCACTCATTTAAGGGGGTCAGTCCACGGGTCCCATCTTCTCATCTTACTCTTCCAATCTGATGTTGCTTTTCTCTTTGCCCTCAAGTGTAGCAGGGCCTCAGGGCACCTAACATGGAGGCACCCTGCTTCTGGGACAGGCAAGAACCTGCCCCCACTGGGTAGGGGAGTGCAGGAAATCTGCTCCCAGAAGAGGGTGCCTTCTTGTTAGGCAATCTGGGTGTGTTACCTGATCAATCAGACTCCCTCTGCCTACGGCCTCCTGACTGGGCCTCCGCTTGGGGGTGCATACCCTATCCCCGGTGCATTGATCGATACATAGCAGGTGATCGATTGATTTGGGAGGGGGCACCTGGCTGAGATTTGAGGAGAGAGAAGGTCTCTGCTATGAGGCAGCGTGTACAAGATGAAGAGCAGCCCAGGTTGGCGCGAAAGGGGACTGATGGGAACAAAGATGGGGAGGAAGGCTGGGGAGGATTGAGGAGCAAGGAGGCCACAGGGGAGGGGGCTTCACTGAAGGCTTTTGAGCCAGGAAGGGAACCTTTGCTTCATTAAAATGAATGGAATGACGACACCCCTTTCCTTCTAGGGGGAGCGAGGCTGACCTCGGACTGACCGAAGGACTGCAGAGTGCCAGCGTGCTTGGCCCTGCCTTCAAATCTGTGCTGAAATGTGGTCACCATAAGCACCAGCCAGGCCACCTCCGCCTCCCTGGGAGCACTCCAGAGGCCAAGACTGGAGGGCTACATCATTCCTGAGCATCACCAGAAACCTCTTCTGGGTCATGGATGTGAGTTAGAGGACCAGCCCGGGAAGGGAGCTCCAAGGTCAGCCAGGCCACTCACTGAGGCCCAGGAAGGGGGAAGGCACTTAGGCAGTGAGTGGAAGAGGAGGATTGGAACCCCGGTTCTCTGGCTCCAAGGGCAGGGCTTGGCCTACCACCTTGGGCTGCCTTGGAGGACGGCTGGTCATGACTTCTCCATTCTCCATTCTGGCTCTGAAAGCCAACCCTGGCTTGGAGAGATCCCAGGTCAGAGGGAACCTCCTGCTTTTGAAGTGGCCTCCAAAGCCCCAAGCTCTGTTGAGGAAGAGCTAGAGCCCTGACCCGGGCAGCTAGGGGGTGTCACAATGCACAGAGCCACAGGCCTGGAATCAGGGAGACTCATCTTCATGAGTTCAAATCTGGCCTCAGACACTTACCCTGAACAAGTCACTTCACCCTGTTTGCCTCAGTTTCCTCATCTGTAAAATGAGCTGGAGAAGGAAATTGTTCCAGTATCTTTGCCAATAAAATGCCACATCAGGCCATGAAGAGTCAGACAAGACTGAAAAATGACTCAACAGCAACAGAGCCATTAGCCTCGGGCTGCCCAGCATGTCGCCTCCGGCTTGCCGGCCGAAAGGCCGCCTCAAGGTTTTAATCTCCACCGCAGGGTCATCCATCTCCCTCTCCATCGCTCAGTACCACTGCCTGCATGAGAGGGCCGAGGACAGACTATCCGGCACATTCTCCACACTGCCTACATCAGTCACAGGCCACAGATAATTTCTCAAATGTTGATAAAACTTGTCAATCTCACCACCATTTATCAAGGACACATCGGTAAGAAATGAGGCCTCTTTAATTTGTTTAATTGATGCCAAGTAATCACTCAAAGGATGATTCAAGGTCCTGTCGACATTTTTTAAAATGGGTAACTGACATTTAAAAACTGAGCCTGCACCTTGGCTTCCTGACCTGGGTTTGGGACTGAAGGATTCACTCAGGCTGCACATGTCTCCTGGCTTTAGTCAGCTGGCTTAAGGGACCTCTGTGACCACTGCTTTGGAGCAGCCCCCCCCCCCAGGCTCGATGTCACCAGAGGCACCTCAGGGTCCTCATCTTAGAGGAGTAACCCTAGAAAATCTCTCTCTCTCTCTCTCTCTCTCTCTGTCTCTCTGTCTCTGTCTCTCTCCCTCACTCCATTTTGTATCTAAATCTGTCTTGTCTCTTTCTACTGTCTCTCTCTCTCTCTCTCTCTCAATCTCTCTCTCCTTTTGTATCTAAATCTGTCTTGTCTCTCTCTATTATCTCTCTCTGTCTCAATCTCTCTCTGTCCTTTCTCAGTCTTTCCTATCTCTGTCTCTCCTTTCTCTCAGTCTCTGTCTCTTCTCTCTATGTGTCCCTATCCCTCTCAGTCTGTCTCTCTGTCTCCCTCTGTCTCTGCCTGTTTTTCTCTCTTCTGTCTGTCCTGCTCACTCTGATGGGTCCAAGCCCTATACATAGTTTGGGAAATACTTAGACCAAACAAGTAAGAAGAAAAGAAATGCATTGACTGGTTTACCTGAGCTTGCCTTGGCTTCCTCAAATGGGTCCACTATATCTAGAGTGTCCAGTTAAGGGAAACAGTGGCCACATGGGCAGAGGTCTCTGTCCAGCAGGCAACGTGTCAAAAGGATACATTTGAAATTGCTCGTTTCCACAGGGATGCAGTTGGCCGGCATGACCCGGCTTGACTGAAATCATGAGAGAAAGGCCATCAGTTAGTCTGGGCACCCCAGAGAGTTGATTAAATGCTTCCTGTTTGCTGAGCCCCGTGAGAGCCCTCTTGCGGACCAAGAGGGCAGCTGTGCAAACCCCTGGCCTGGGGCTGGAACAAGCTGGATTATTGCCCACTGAACACATGTTCTGAGTTAACGATACTTCAGTATGAACATGAGCTTGGTGAAATTCTCATGCTCAGGAGAGAAGGCTCAGAGAAATGAGTGAGTGGCAAAAGGCCATGATTCTTGGATGGGCCCAAAGATGGCAGGATTGACCATTCATTCCACCCAGTGGAGATGTGAGTGTGAGCTCCAGGCCCCTTAGACTCTGGCTGGCTTATCCACACTTGCAATGCCACAAAGTGGGTGCAGCAGAGAGGGGAGACCATGACTTTGCCTCCTAGACTTAGCCTATGTGCTCCCCCAAGGTTTCACTCCCAGCTGACTGTGGGAGAGCTGAGGGGGTCTTAGGCATTAAGAAACTTCAGAGTTGTTGGGTCAACAACCTGAGTCTTAGATGGTTGAAAACCAACTGCTGGCCAGTCATGACTAAAATGATCAGGCACAGAGAACACTTCCAAAGCCAGTAGAGTCTGTGACCTGACATTCAGTTCAGAGAAAAGAGGAGGGTGCTGGGCACCGGGAGGACTCAGTGCCAGGTCAGAAAGCTCAGCGCTGCAGGCAGAGAATCTCCTTCTGAAGCCTCTGGGCGTGCTCCGGAAGGTCTGAGGGCCTGATCCGCTGCCTGCCTCTCCACTCTCCTGGTACTTCAGGTGAAGCTGTGCCAGCCTTTGAGTTAACCCCTTCACCAACAAGCCCTTGCGCCAAACGCCTGCTTATTCTTCCAGGCCATGCTGTATCCCCAGGGCCAGCAGACTATTGGCAGTCTGTGTTTGCTGGAGAGGAGGGCTCAGCACCTTGGAAAGCGCTGTCTGCAGTGAGTCCTCTGCAGTGAGGCCCCCAATCTCTGGGACTCTCTCTCCTGCCTGGCTGCTGCCAGGACAAAGCAGCAGCAGCTGTGGGTCCTTCCTTCGCGCAGGCTCCTCCGCCCCTTCCCCCCAGATCCAGCAGCCCCCTGCTCCTCACCTTCTTGCTGAACTTTTTACTCTTCTGCTTGGCATCTTTGCCACTTTTACCTTCTTTCTTGGAAACTTCTGTAGAGGAAAAAGAAGAAACAGTGAAAGACGAAGTGATGCTTCTGAACGGACGAGTGGGGGACAAGGAGGGAGAAGGCCAGACATCTCTTCTCTGGGGTGCCAGGATGCTGTGGGTGGAGCTTGCAAAGACTGGCCAAAAGCCAGCCATCTCTGACTTTGCCAGAGTTCGAAGACGCCTCCAGGGTTCTCTCTCCAGCCCACACTGGCCAGGAATCTACTTTAGGACACTCCCTGTCAAGTGGTCATCACCTGGATGCCTCCCCAGAGGCATCCTGGGCCACTAGGGGACAAATCTGCTAGCTGAGGAAGGTCTCTTGATGTTAGGCTCCATCTGCCTCTCCTCATTCTGCCCTCGGGTCGGCGCATCAAGGCACCATGTGAAAAGCCATCAAATGCTCCAGACAGCTATCATCCCCCCACCCCCGCAATTCCAGCAAGGGTTCTATAGGACAGAAGCCCTTTCAGTGACCTCAAACTGGGATGGGCTGCTTTGGGGAGGGCCTCCTTGGAGGTCTCAGTCTGAACCACCCTGTCCTGCTTCCAGACATTTGCTTAATGCTCTAGTGTGCTCAGCTCCCTGAGCTCTCTCTCAGGCAGAGCCAGGGCTTGGAATGCTACCTCTAGCTGCATGCCCCTGGAGAAGGTCTCCTTCCCTTCTGCACCTCCATTATCTCATCTGGAACATGAGGGAGCTGGAGTCAATAGCCTCCAAGGTCCTTTCCAGCTCTGAGTCTATGACCCTGGGACGGGTCAGACCCAATCATTTTCCTCTGAAAATGCAGAGGATTTGCTGGTAAAAATCTTCTCCTCACCCATGTGACCATCACATTACTTTCTTCTGTGAATTAATTAGCACAATAGGGAAGATTCTCCCCCATCCTCTTGTCAGGCCACACCTCCTTCTTAGCCCCAACCTGAGTCCTGGATGGTCTCAGGAATTCAGTGGGAGAGGCCAGGCCATGGGGGCACTGACAGGGCCCTCCCTTCTGGGTATCCTGTCCAGAGGGGAGCCAGGAGGACAGGCCACTGGGCCAGCCTCTACATTCCACCTAGACTCAGACCTCCCTGACAGGACCAGGCTGTTCCATCCCTCTTTGGGACAGCTCAGCAGCTCTTGCTGATGCCAAGTCTGACTCAGCCTTTCTTTAGCCTCTGCTCATTGTTTCTGGTCAGTCATGGCTGCTGGAGCTGGTCCCCAGGGCCTGCTCTCTCCCCACGGGGCCAGGGAACCAATAGACTTGTGGGTTCAGGCCACATCAGCAAACAAGCTGGCCATGCTCCCCATCCCCCATCCTGCTGGGGAGTGTGTGGGCAGGACAATAAGCAAGGTGCTGGGAGCTTCCATTCTCCTAAGCCTTCTGTCTTGTGTCTTGTCTGCCACCTCCAGCTCACTTCGTTCCTCGTTAATGATGCTGGTCACTGAAGCTCAGCCAGCACCCAGGCCTCCCAGCTTCCTCAATGAATCCATTTTATTTGGGGTTGGGGAGGTGTTCATTCCCCCCTTTCCCTCTCACCTGAGGTTCCTGACACTGACTCTTTTCAGAGATCTCTTAATGCATTTTTACTGTAACGAAGAGCAAGTATGACTCTATATAGGGGCAGCTAGATGATTCAATGAATAGAGCCCTGAGCCTGGAGTCAGGAAGCTCTGAATTCAAATTTGGTCTCAGACATTTACTAGCTGTGTGACCCTAGGCAAGTCACTCAACCATTTTTTGCTGTTATCCCTTGGAGAAGGAAATGGCAACTCCTCCCCCCAGCCCAGTATCTTTGCTAAGAAAACCCCACGGATAGTATGACATGCTTTGGTCCACAGGGCCATGAAGAGTTGGACAGGACTGAATCACAACAAATATGACTATACAGAGACAAAAGACACACCAGGACATTCTCTATGGCTGCCAGTGCCCAACCTGTCATGTTCTCCACTTCCCATCATCCCATGTTCTTTTTTTTTTTTTGGCAGAAGAAATGGGGTGGGGTGGCGGACAGCTGAAAGATGGCTTCTCATTGGAGAACATCCTTGGTTGTCCCAACTATTCCCAGCAGATTTGATTGAGAGCCTTTCCAACAAGCCTCTTCCTTCTAAGTCACTGAGCAGATTGTTGGTGAGATTGATCCCCAGAGGGGCAGCTCCATCTGTGGGGTCCTGGCTGGCACACAGTTTGTGGCTCCACTCTTAGTTAAACAGACCATTTAATCCATGGATGCTGAGATCTAATATTAGGCTGCAATCATTTAGCCTCAGGAAGGGCATCCCTTTAACCTTACTCTCATTGGAATTGACTCAGAAAGGGAATAACATGCACAACCAGGTGGGTATAGAAATCTGTCTTACCCTACAAGGAAATAGGAGGAAAGGGAGTTGAAGAAAGGGGTAGGGAGGCTGAGAAAAGGTAGGGCAGATTGTGGGAAGTGGAGGTCGGTGGCAAAGCACTGTTGAGGAGAGATAGGGTGAAAGGAGAGGGAGAAGGATAAACAGGAGGAAAAATAGGATGGAGGGAAATACAGAGTAATCATAACTATGAAGGTGAATGGGATGAACTCTCTCATAAAGTGGAAGCAGATAGCAGAAAGGATTAAAAACCGGAGTCTTACAATATGTTGTTTACAAGAAACACACTTGAAGCAGAGACACAAACAGAGTAAAGGTAAGGGGCTGGAGCAAAATTTATTATGCTTCAACTGAAGGGAAAAAAGAAAGCAAGGGTAGCAATCATGATCTCAGACAAAGCAAAAGCAAAAAAATAGGTCTAATTAAAAGAGATAAGGAAGGAAACTACATCTTACTAAAAGGTACCATACATAATGAAGTAATATCACTGTGTGCCAAGTGCTATAGCATCCAGATTGTTAAAGGAAAAGTTAAGTGAGTTACAGGAGGAAATGGGTAGCAAAATTATACTAGGGGGGAGACCTCAACTTTCCCATCTCAGAACTAGATAAAGCTAGCCACAAAATAAATAAGAAAGAAGTTAAGAAGGTGAATAGAATTTTAGAAAAGTTAGATATGACAGACCTCTGGAGAAAACCTAATGGGAATAGGAAAAAAAAATACCTCTTTCTCAGTGGTACATGGTACCTATGCAAAAATTGACCATGTATTACCACATAAAAACCTCAAAAGCAAATGTAAAAAGGCAGAAATATTAAATGCATCCATTTCAGATCATAATGCAATAAAAATTATATTCAATAAAGGAAAGTGGGAAAATATATGAAAAATTATTGGAAATTAAATAATTGAATCCTAAAGAAAAAGTGGGTCAAAGAACAAATCAATAATTTCATTAAAGAGAATGACAACAAGACAACATGTCAAAATTTATGGGTTGCAGCCAAAGCAGTACTTAGAAGGAAATTTATTTCTCTAAATTCTTACATCAATGAAATAGAGAAAAAGCAGATCAATGATTTGGGCATGTGAAAAAAAACTAGAAAAATAACAAATTAAAAATCCCCAATTAAGCACCAAGTTGGAAATCCTGAAAATCAAAGGTGAGGTTTATAAAATTGAAAGTAAGAAAACTACTGGGCTTATAAATAAAACTAGGAGCTGATTTTATGAAAAACAACAACAACAGTAAAATAGATAAACCATTGGTTTATCTGATTAAGAAAAAGAAAGAAGTAAACCAAGTTTCTGGTATCAAAAATGAAAAGAGTGAATTCATCACCAATGAAGAGTATACTGTAGCAATCATTAGGAAATGTTTTGCCCAATTACATGCCAAAAATCTGACAATCTAAGTAAAATTAATGAACATTTACATAATTATAAATTACCCAAATTAATTGAAGAGGACATAGAACACTTTAATCACCCCACCTTAGAAAAAGACATTGAGCAAGCTATGAATGAACTGCCTAAGAAAAAAATCTCCAGGGCCAGATTTCTCCTGGACCCGGAAGCTCTAAATTAGGCTATAATATTCTTGAGAGTTTTCATCTTGGGATCTCTTTCAGGAGATGATCAGTGGATTCTCTCAATTTCTATTTTACTCTCTGTTTCTAGAATATCAGACAGTTTTTCTTGACAGTTTCTTGAAAGATGATGTGTAGGTTCTTTTTCTTTTATCATGGTTTTCAGGGAGTCCAATTATTTTAAAATGATCTCTACAGTGTCTATTTTCCATGTCAGTTGTTTTTCCAATGAGATATTTCACATTGTCTTCTATTTTTCACTCTTTCAGTTTTTTTTATTGTTTCTTGATTTTTCATAAAGTTGTTAACTTCCATTTGCTCACCTCTAATTTTTAAGGACTTATTTTCTTCACTGAGCTTTTATACCTCCTTTTCTATTTGGCCAATTCTGCTTTTTAAGGCATTCTTCCCACCCACCCACCCCTCCTTGGCTTTTTTGGACCTCTTTTATCATTTGGCCTAGCCTGCTTTTTAAGGTGTTATTTTCCTCAGTATTTTTTTTTTTTTGGTGTCTCCTTTACCAAGCTGTTGACTTGGTTTTTCCATGATTGTCTTGCATAACTCTTATTTCTCTTCCCAATTTTTCCTTTACTTCTCTTACTTGATTTTGAAAGTCCTTTTTGAGTTTTTCCATGATCTGAGACCAATTCTTATTTCCTTGGAGGCTTTGGATATAGGAGCTTTGACTTTGTTATCTTCTTCTGAGTGTGTTTTTTCATTCTTTTGATTTTATTATTTCTTGATGTTTTATGAAGTCATTAACTTCCTCTTGCCCAATTCTCATTTTTAAGGGTAATTTAGGAAGTTTTTGGCTCTCTTTTTTGAATTAGTTGACTTTCTTTTCCTAATTTTCTTGCATTAATTTTATTTATTTCCCAATTTTTTTCTCTTCCCCTGTTATTTGATTTTTAAAGTCCTTTTTAAGCTCTTCCAAGAATTCTTTTTGGGCTTATAACTTTAGATTTTTCTTTGATGCTTTACAAATAGCTGTTTGGACTTCATTGTCTTCACTTAAGTCTGAACCCTGATCTGTGCCAGCATAGTAACTATTTTTGGTTGGGTTCTTTCTCTATTGTTTACTCACTTTTAAAACAGCCTATTTCTTGGCTGCTAACTTTATTTTAGAGCCAGGCTGTGCTTCCGGGGTGTAGGAGATAATGTCTCAGGTTTCAGGTTTTTCATGCTGTTGTTTTCCGAGCTTTGTGTGGGGGCCTTTGACCTCTTGGTTCTTCCAATGTTCTATAGTCCACGTCCAGGTGAGGTCACTGCTCTTCCATCTCAGGCCTTGGTTTATGAATGATCTCAGGTATTCTTCTCCACCCCGAGCCAGGCTCCCCACGCCTGGCAGCCACTGCAGGCAGCTCTCTCTCCTTGTGGTCCTAGGATGCACCACCAGCCTCTGTTCTGCCACGGCTACAAGCGTCGGGTCAGCTTGCCCCTCGCTCTCCTGTGAGGAGCCGAATTCTGTACTCTCCACCCTGGAACCCAAGCGAGGCCCCAGCCCCTATTCAGCCACACTCCCTGTATGTGCTTGCTCCTCCTTACCTGCAGCCACAGCCTGGGACCTTGGGGAATCTTTCCTTGATCAGCTACCACACTGTCTGTGGGGCATGAGTTCCTGAAGCTGATGCTGAGCTAGCCCCAGGTCTCGCTTTGCTGGGATTCTTAGCCAGGCCACCAGCCCAGAGGTCAGATCTTTCCTAAAGGTCCTGCCAAATTGTCTTTGGCTGGATGAACTGCTTTACCCCAACTTTGAATTCTTGCTGCCACTCTAAAATTCAATTTGAGGTGCTATTTCAAGTTACTTGGAGGGGAATTTAGGAGAGTCAGATGATTTCCTACTTTATTCCACTATCTTCCCACAATCCTCTAGCTTCATAGTTATACTCATCAACTAGCTGGTCACCAAGCTGGATGAGATCACGGACCCTAGAGCTCAGAGTGACCTCAGAGACCAGGAGCCCAACTTTGTCATTATTCGGTTGAGGAAGTCGGGCCTACATCTGACATTAGTCACATGAGCAGTGGCTGTCAGGGAAGGATTCCAGAGCCAGAGGCCTCTCTGTTGAAGACCTCCCATGATTGGGGGCTCATCACCTCTTAGGGCAGCCTCTTCTACAGTGGGGCAGCTCTCAGTGGGAGAAGTTTTCCCAGACGTGCATCGTAAAGATGCTCTTAACACCTCCCACCTTCTGCTCCTGGGGCTGCTTTTGGGGACTGAGCAGGACAAGGGAATCCTTCCTCCCCATTTGAGGGCAACCATCATGCCCCCACCCCTGCCCAAGTCTGCTTTCTTCTAGGTTAAACATTCCTAGTTTCCTCTCTATCCCCACTCCCACTGCCCCAGCATGAACCCTGCACCACTCCTCAGTGCATCAAGGTGCTGACCCTACAGCATGAGGCCCACAGAGTGTATGGCAGCCCAGATGCCCAGAAACTCGCCTCAGGGAGTGGGCAGCAGGGTCACAGACTTCTCTTGTGCATCTGATGCATGGCTCTTCACTCATTCACAGGCCTTTTAGACTGAGCTTGCCACCTACCTTCCTCTATTCCTTCACCCTAGGCCCTCACAAACTGCTGCTCCTGGTCTGGACTTCTGATCCAACTGATTTTCTGAGCCCAGGTGGGCTTATAATTATAAACATTACAGATTATAAACATTATAATATCAAACAAAATCAATAAATAATAACAAACCAAACATAAATTATAAAAATTATAAGCATAAGTTTACAATTATAAATATATTAAATAAATAATTAAAAATAATAAGATATGCATTATAAATAATAAAATTATAAGCATAAACCCAATGATAAATATGAAACTTCATCATATTGGATTCAGCCTAAATGTTCTAACTTGTCAAAGCCATTTATGAATTCACCCAGGGTGTTAGCTGCGCTCCCAGCTTTGTGTCATCTGCAAACCTGACAAGTGTACCATCTTGTCTTTGTCCAAATCATGGACAAAAATGGTAAACTAGCCACCTGGGACCAGGTGCAGATCCCTGGGCACTCCACTGGAGACCTCCTGCTACGTACCATTGCATCATTGCCTCTGAGCCTGGCCACTGCTACTGTCCTAGGCCTCATCTCAACGTGCTGTCCACATGAAGATGGTGAATGTCTAGGTAAAATACATCTACACCCTTACCTGGTTTACTGTGTGGCTGAAATGGCTAAAAAGAGAAATGGGGTAAGTGTGGGAGTCCCATCCCTGCAGCTCTGCAAGGGGGTCATCAACACTCCCTTCATGATCTGTGAGGAGGAGGAAGGCAGCTGACTTTGTTAAGAAGGAATTTCTTGGGCTGCAATCTGCAGTAGTGGAACTCCCACCATGACGAACTTCCTGGTCCTACATTTCTTCCTGAAACTCTGCCTTAACTCCCCAAGTTCAGACCCTCATCTCTTCTTCCTGGGGCCCTGGGGGAGCCTGGCAAACACTCTAGGTCTGACATTTCCCATCAGATCAAATCTGAAACCTGTTTGGCTTTAAAACCCTTCACAATGTGGCCAACAGCATTCTACCTTCTTACACCTTAGTACCACCCACCCTTGTCCCAGATACTCTGCAATCCAGTTTCTCTGGCCTTTTCCAGCCTGGGAACATTCTTCTTCCCCATCTCCCTCTCCTGTCCTCCTGCATGCCCCAGCTAAAATCCCACCTTCTATAAGAATCATTTTCTGATTCCCTCTGATGTTAGTGTTGATTTCCCTCTGAGATTGACATTCTTTCTTTCTTTCTTTCTTTCTTTCTTTCTTTCTTTCTTTCTTTCTTTCTTTCTTTCTTTCTTTCTTTCTTTCTTTCCTTCTTTCTTTCTGTCTGTCTGTCTGTCTGTCTGTCTGTCTGTCTGTCTGTCTAGGGATGCCTAGACCAGGGACCCCCACAAACCTGGTTCCTCTTTGTCTAGGCGATTGGCCAGCATCTGCAGGGACAGTTCTCGAGACACAGAGGTGATGTTCCCATTTTCGAAGGCCCAGGCCACTTCCAGAGGTAACTCCAGCAGCAGCCGGTCCATGATGAGGACCAAATACTCCGCCATCTCCGCCGGAGGGCCTGAGTTGTCTAAGAAGACAGCAGCTGAGTTAGAGCCACAGGCAGGCTACCGGTGAGCTAGTGAGGCTGGAGGCAGGAGAATGCCAAATGTCCTGCAATCTTCCCATTGCTTGGGGCAGAGGCCAGGCCAAGAGGAACCCACGCAGCGAACTTCCCCAAACCCTCCTCCAAACCTCCTTTTTGCCCACTGCTACTGCCACTGCCACTGACTTAGAAGAAAAACTAGCACCAACTCCAAACTCTTTGCCCACTTCCCTCAGGATTTGGTCACTGTCCAGGCCTGGCTGGGCTTTCTTCCTGAATTTCTTTTCAGGATGCCTTGGGCTGCCGGGGAGGGGACAGCCCAGCTCTACATGTGTTCCCTTCTTCCTACTGAGGATCCTGTTTTTTAGTCCCAGAGCAGCCAGCTCACTCTCACCAGTGCCTACTCTGTTTCCTTTAGAATGTACTCCACAGCCCACCCGCCTAATACCAGGTGCCTCTCATTGAAAGATGTAGAAATGTTCCAACATCGTCCTTTGGTGAGCTGGACCAAGCTTCCACTGCTCCAGTGGTAGTCCCCATTCTTCTGCCTCATGTCTCACATGCACACATAACATCTCCCCAATTCCATTTCCTCTAGTGGCCAATAAACATCAAATCCTCAGGGATGGATGCTTCCTTAGAGATGGATGGAAGAATGCTGTGGTTCTCCCCACTCCAAATCCCTTGACCAATGGAGTTCAGTGTCTGGATTTCACTGGAGGGAGACTCTATCCTCAACCATAAAGCATTCACAAATGTAGGGTTCCTTTTGACTCCACCCCTTTTCCTCTCTTCTGCTCTCCCCTCTTTCACCTTTCTGCTTAAGTAAAAGAGCCCTTTCTTAAAAAGAAAAGAAAAAAAACCCAATGCACCCTGAGCAGTAGATAGAAGGGTGCTATCACTACCACAGCTGGCATTTAGGGCTCCCAGAGCAGCCAGTGGTATACTTTGGAGTCAACCATACCCTGGTCACATCACCCACCTCCTTCAAATTTAGTCTATGGTCAAGGGATGGTCCTTCCCTTCCCATGCATCCCCAAGCAGCAGATCCCCAAACCTGTGCAGAGGGACATATCATTTTCAGTCATGCTCTGAATAATAGCAGCCTTGGTGAGTGAGGCTTGGGAGGGGATATGCCCATAGGGATGGTCACAGGCTGCTGGAGTTGGGTCTTGGAAGAAAGGGAGGGAGGAAACTATTTTATTGATTCAACTTCATCACTAAATAGTTTTTTTTTAAAAAAGATGTAAAATAAAACAGAAAACAGGTGGCTCAATTCTGAGCCTGGAGGTGGAACCATAGTTGCCTACATCCTAGAAGGGAGATTTTGCCTACTTTGGGTGACAAGCCTCAGGGTAGACTTGACTTCCCTCCATCTGGCCTGGCTGGACGGTGGCTCAGAGCCTGCGGAAGGATGTCTGCACCAGGACAGAGATTATCCCCTGGTCATTTTCAGGGGGCAGAGAGGAGCCAGCAAGCAGCCAGATCCCGGGTGAGAGGGGCAGCCCACATGACCACCTGGCCACACATAGGTCAAAAGCTTCATCTGCCCATCCACTGCCTCCCTTACCTTGTGTTACTGGCGGAGGCTTCTGTTCCTTTTCCTTCATCTTTTTTCCTCCTTCACCCTGGATTCTAGAATCCAAAGCACATTTTGATGACATGCTTTAGACAAGAAAAGCTTTCTACAAAAACCTCTCACAAAAGTACAACAAAAAATTGGTCACCTATACCTTGAAGGATCATTGGATGCTGAAGCCAATGGAAGGTCTTTGTCCTCTAAGCCCAGAATGTGGGGAGATTATGCACTATGGGGGCATTCAGGGGAGCCCTTCCTAAATGCCCACATCATTGGGATCACATGGAGGGGAGGGGAGGGGAGGAGTAGGGTCTCTTGTGTTTTATCCTTCCCTGGTTTAGGTATGAGAACTATATCTGTCTCCTAAATGGATTCTGATAGGGTCTTTTCCTTCTCTATTTTTGGGCATCATTTTTGAAGCATGGGTACTAATTGTTCTTTGGAAGGGTGACAGAATTCAGGACCAGAAGTGTTTTTTTTCCTTTGGTAATTCCTTTAAAGGTAAATCTGTTTCCTTTTCTGAGATCAGGTATTGAAGATCTTAATTTGGTCTTCTGACAGTTTGGGTACTTTATATTTTTGAAGGTCCTCCTCTATTTTTATGTGTTTGCAGTTCTGTTACATGGGCAGAATATGTTCTGATCATTCTTTCTATTTTTTCTGGCTTTGCTGTGATTTCCCCTTGTTCATTTACTATTGTATTGGTTTGATTTTCTGCCCTCTTCTTTTTAATCAGATTAGCTAAAGCCTTATCCATTTTATCAGTCTTTTCAAAGAACCAGTTTTTTTAATCAGTTCTATGGTTTTATTTTGGTTTCCGGTTTATTTCTCCTCAAAATTTTAATATCTCTTCTTTTGTGCTTCTTTTAGGTTTCCTTATTAGTTTGCTTTCTAATTTTTAAATGCATCTTCAGTTTGAAAAGCACATTCATAACCCTAACCCTAATCCTCCCCCTCCCTCCTTTTGTTAATGTGTTTTTAGGGATATGATGTTTCTCCCAAGGACTGCTTTAACTACATCATATAAATTTTGGTATGCTGTTTCATCATTATCATTTTCTTTCACATGACTATTTCTATGATTTGCTCCTTGGCCTACTCATCAAATAGAATTTCACATATTATACTGTAGGATTATAGGATTTCATATATTACATCTATATAATATCTGGGTCTGTGTCTTTTTTGTGGTCACTGAATTGATTACTATTTTTATTGCATTCTGGTATGTAAAGGAGGTATTTACTATTTTTGCCTTTTTACATGTGTTTGTAATATCCAGGCACAGGCCCTAATACATGGTTAATTTTTATAAAAGTTCCATAAGTATTGAGAATACATACATTCTTTTGCAGTGCCATTTAAAAGACATTATATATCTTTTAGCTCTTGCTTCTCTAGCAATTTACTCCATCCCATATTTTACCTTTTGTTTATATTTCTGTTAGACTTATCCAAAACTGAGGGAGGGACATTTAAGTCTTTTGTCACTAATGTGTTACTGTCTGTATATTTTTGTAATTCAGCTAGTGTTTCCTTTTAAGAATTTGAATGTTAAGGCATTTACAACATAAACATTTTAATAGTGATATTGATTTGTTGTCTATGGTTCCTTTCAGCATAATGTAGCTTACTTATTTATCTCTTTTTATTTTTTAAATATTTGTTTTTGCTTTATCAGATAGAATGATTGTAACTCCTGCTTTTTTGGATTCATTTGATGCAATGTAAATTTTTTCCCCTTCTCACTTTTATTCTGTGTATGTTTTCAAACTAGTTCTTATAAGCAACAGATTGTAGTTTTTTTTCTTTTCTAATGTGTCTCTCTTTTTTCATTTTATTGGATTGTTTAATCCATTCACATTTTAAACTCTCATTTAACTCTAATATTGATTTGTTGAATGCTTCCTAGCTGTAATTTCTTATAGAACAATCACAATCAATTCCACACATGTCCCACCATCTGTTAGCCATGTTCCAATCACAGGACCATAGATTGAGTGATCCAGTGGCATCATCTAGCTCAATCCCTTCATTTTACAGCATGGGAAACTGAAGGGAGGTGACCTGCCCAAGGTCACACAGCCAATAAACATCAGAGGCTCTTGGATTCCAGAGGTAGGATTCCTTCCACTGTATTATGCTGCCTCAGTGGGAACCTTTTCTTGGCTACCACAAAAAGGGCTGCTAATGCATATTTTAGTATGTATGGGATGTTTCCTTCTGTCTTTGACTTCTTTGGGGTAGATGACTTGCAAATGGGTCAAAGGGTATGGTATGACATTTTAGCCATCTTTCCCACAAAAGTCCAAATTGTTTCTGAGAATGATTGGTACAGTTTACAGGTCTACCAACAGTGTATGAACACTGAATTTTGAGAGAAGAGCTTTACAAGCACGGTAGGAATGCAAACCAGATTTTGGGATGTTGCTGCATGAAAAGAACATGCCTTTGAGTTTTCTTGGTCCTACGCTAAACAAAACATGTCTGATGGGCACTGGTGGTATTGAGATGCCTTCTAGAAGCTTCTCACAAGTGTCTTTAGGGAAACTTGTATCAATTTGGTGAAGGCAAATGCCCCCCGGGTGGTACCTGATGTCCCAGTGGTGGGTAGCTGCGAATACTGGCTTCAGATATGTCTCCAAGGATTTTGAAATGTTGTTGAACATCTGGATTAGCTTTTCATCCTCTTTGGTCATAGAACTTCGTACTTCCTGTCTTGTCCGATACAAGGTCATTTAATTGGAGTTTCCAGAAGGATTTTTATCAAATCTTAATGGGCTGTAGAATGCTAGGTGAAGTGCTCCATCAATCCCACTCATGACCAAGCCTACTCTGGACCACCTCGCACCGACCAGGGAGGGGAGGGGAAGGAGAATAGGCCAGAGATGGCCCCATGACAAGGCTGCCTGAAGTCCGAGTCCATGGGCAGAGGTCTCCAGGGAAGGGGGGGAGTCTAGCCTGGCTGCTTTACTCATTTCTAGTGAAGAAGGGACTTTGAGAGAATCTCATCCACCCCTGCATTTTACAGGTGAGGAAACTGCATTCCACCTGTCCATGGATACACTAACAGACACAAAGTTGCTACGCCAGGGCTTCAAATCCAGATGGGAGCCTTGCGAGTTGGGGTGCTCAGGGTGCCCATTCCGGGAAGGACATCACAGGACATGGTCCCTTTGAGCTACACTCTCTCCTCTGTGTTGACGACCCGGCAACCAAGGGCCATGCCAGCAGCTTCATCTAATGGCCCCTATGCACAAATCCCCTGTCTCCTGGACTGTTAGGGCAGTCCAAGCCTGGGTGGCTGGCCTGGTGGGGGTAGCTATTCTCCAGGACCCAGGCTGGTCTGCCCTTCCACTGCAGGGGTGAACTGACCCTCCTCTGAACCATCCCTGAAATAAATGAGGTGGCCAAGGTGGCAAGTGAACGCAAGAGCATCAGTGAGCTAATTATTGCCCTCGTGCAAGGGGTGTGCATTTGGCCCTACCTTGGATGAAGGGCCCTGGTGAGCTCTAGCCACTGGGCTCCCTGCTTCCTGAGGGTTCGCCCCTTACCACATTGGCCATGACCAGCCTGACCTATTTCTTCTGTCTGGGCCCATAGCACTGCTCTCCAAATTCCCCATGGCATCCCTCATGTGGTTCCGGGAAGCCTACACATGGGACTGCTCCCTGCCAGCAGGCCCAGGGGCTCAGATGCCAGCCTGGGCCAGGAGCCCTGCCAAGGACCTGTGAGGAGGGGACCTGGGGGTGGTGCTCCATGACCACCCACCTTAGCCCGAGGCTGAGGCCCAGGCCCAAGGCCCCTTCTGAACTCTGTTCTCTACCTTCACCCAGCTCTTGGCTTCAGCCTGTGTCTAGTGAAATGCCCCCTCACCTTAGCACCTTAGACCTCTTTCTGTCCCCTTTCTTCCCTCAGGAAGACCCTGCAGCCCAGGTCTGGCAGCCCTTTGCTCCTGTCCAGGCCCATGCCCAGGAGCAGAGGCACTCCTGATCCTCATGCACCATGGCCACGCCAGACCCAGTCTGCCACTTGGGCTCTTCTGGGCTTCTCGGCCTGGGTCTGTCTGTCTCACTGTGCTGAGATTCTCACTGTTGCCTTTTCTCCCCACCCCGGCCAGGTACCTCTCTGCTCAGAGCTCAGGCCCCACCAGACTCTCTCTGTGCGTATCCCCAAGGCTTCCTTTACTCCATATCTCCCCTTCTCCCAGGTTGTCTGGAGCCTTCCTTCCCTCCCAGCCCCCTGGAGCAGTGGCGCTGAGGATGCTGCCTTTCCCCATTGCTATCTGACCTTCCCAATCCAGAATCCTGAGATTCTGCTCCCCCCAAGCTATGGTTCTAACCATCCAGCCCCTCTTCTTCCCCTACCCCCCAGGCTGTGGCCTCTGCTCTGGCCTCTCAGGCCTCTTCATAAGCCATTTCTCAGGCCTGGAGGGCACTTTCTCCTTGCCTCCTTCTACTTGCCCAAAGGCCCCCATGGCTGGGCCTAGACTGCAGCCTGGACTTCTGCTCCCTTGGCCAAGAGGTTATGGACTGGAGACTGGAGACCTCCCAGGACGAGGGATGGAAACTAGAGCTGAAAAGGGCCCAGAGGAAGGACCAGAAACTGAGCATCTGAGCACCAGGAAGGCAGGGCACAGGGGACCCATGGGGCCCTGACTCTCAGTGTGTGCAAAGAGGAAGAGAAGTGCTTTACCAATGCCATCCCATCAGGGAAAGAACGAACAAGCTCCTCCTTAAAACTATTCATGGCCCTCAGCAACTGGGAGATGGTGGTGGGGTCCTTGTGGGCCCGGAAGACCTGGCACTGGCCTGAAGAGGGGAAAAGAAAGGTGGTTCAGAGATGTCAGGCCTGCCCACCCCAGCAGGTCCTTGAGGATGAACTTCGGGAAGGCAGAGAGACAAGAACAACCCTTGCCGGAGCTCATCATCCGTCCCTCCATCCATCTCCTCCAGCCCAGAAATGTCTGGGGACTGCAGAGGGAGAGCCCAGACCCACAGGAGGCTGCTTCTCATTGTAGCCAGGGTATGCACTAAAAGAAACACAATCTCTCCGGTCCCCTGGTTTTCTACCACTCTGTGACAAGGTGGCTCCTGGGGCAGGGCTAGATCCTTGGGGCTGCTGGAGGAGAGAGAGAGGCTAGCCACAGCAGGGTCACTGTCATGAGTGTGAGTGGATGTGTGTGCATGTGTGTGCATGGGTGCTGGGAGGGGGGATGGTTTTCTTAGAAACAAGCATAGCGCTCCCACATTTACTTAAGGACCTGGCTCCCTCCTTAAAGCATGTTGGAAGGATGCAGTGGCTACCGCCTGGACCAGCAGCCTCCTCCTTCCCCTTGGGCTTCCTTTGGGCAGGGAGGGAGCTCCAGGCTCATCCTCTCACAGACCTGCAGAGCCAGAGGCCCTGAGAGGGCCAAGGTGTGAGGCTCCCATCCCCTGCTTCCAGGGCCACACCTCTGAGCAGGCTGCCATCACACACAAGGATGGGAGGGGTGGGGGTGGGGGGGTTGTTTTTGGCATTGAATGAGTGAGCACTCATGGGGGAAGGGATGTAGCCACTGGTCTCTGGGTGGCGATGGCAGCCATAGACTTTGTCTCATTGGGGGCCCAAGGAGGGTGGCACCTTGTCATAAAAACCACAGCTCTTGCTTTTAGGGCATGTTCCATGTATGATCCCTTGGACTCCTCCAACCACCCTGGGAGGGAGCTTTTATTATTAGCCCTTTTTAACAGATGAGGAAACTGAGGCTGAGGGCAGTGACTTGTCCTGAGTCACAAGCTGCTAAGTGTCCAACTGGGGTCTTCAAACCTCCTTGCCCACCCTGCCATTTACTAAGCCGTCAGGGTTATCATTTCGGCTAATTAAGCAGAGACCCCCCCACACACACACACTGCTCCAAACATAGGGATGCTGGGGGCTGTAAAGATGGGCATCTGGGATGGGCTTGGATGGGCTCTGACAAGCCCTGCTGACCTGGGGCAGTCCCTAGAATGCGGCCTTGCCTGAGGCCCAGATGCTGTCCAAGGTCACTCAGGGGGCAAATATTAGGGGCAGGATTCAAACCCAGGTTCTCTGACTAGACTGATCTGTGAAATCCCCACAAATGAATGGTACCCTTCTTTGAGACAAGTGGTGACGAGGATGGGAGTGAAAATGAGCATCTTCTGTAGAAGGGGAGGCCAACGTAGGGAAGAACCAAGTAGAATGGCCCATAAATGGTGCCCGGTGGTTGACTCTAGTGGGAGAAGCAGGGTCCCCTGTACAGAGATGCCAGTTCACAAATGGCAGCTGGGCATGATGAGGAGGGAGCTGGCTGTGTGCTGAAGGCTGGCATGTTGGCCAGCTTCCATTAACATTCTGGGGGAGCCTGGTGCCAGGGGACAAAAGTGGCATCATATGGACCAGTGCCACTAAGCCACTGCCTGGGTACACACTCACCGCTGATCTGAACGATCTTCCCCTTAGGTCCAGGGCCAAATTTTGGCTTCTCGTACACCATGCCATACAAGATTGACCTGTGTGAAACAAACATTCAGCTTCAGGCCCTGCCACCACCTTGGAGGAGGGCCTGAGGGGGCAGGGTGCAGACAGTGCCCGAAGCTGCCAACTATGGATTCCCTTGTGTGTGTGTGTGTGTGTGTGTGTGTGTGTGTGTGTGTGTGTGTGTGTGTATGCGCATGCACGTGCACGTGCTCAGCAGCACCGGAGGGCAAAGGAGGGAGTCTGAGTTCACAGGGTCCATGGGGGCCATCCCGGTTTGACAGTCACGAGTCACGCAGAGCAAAGTCCCTCATAGGGTGCTACCCTAAAGCTCAGAAATGTTGGGTGGGCACAGAGGGAGCCAACCACATGAGAAGGCGATTGCGTGAGGCAGGGCTCATTCTCGGGTCTTCCTGACCTCAGGCGCCGCGCTCCAAGCATCATCGGAGCCAAGCTGCGTCGGGAGGCCAGAATTTGATCATCCTGCTTCTCCTCCCACCTGGCCCACGGCTCCTAGACACAGCCCTTAGGACCACGAGGTTCCCGAGGAGCACCACCAGGCTGCCCTAGCCCGCCGCCAGCCTCTCAGGCTGCAGCAGAGATGAGGCACGGCTGCGGTCCGTCCTCCACACCGCGGGCCCCCGGGATGCAGGAGTTTGGGGGCCGTAGGATTCACTCCAACGCGAGACAGCAGTTGACGTGGCTTTGCTCTGGTGACTCAGTCTACCCCAAATGTCTCCAGCCTCCCCCTCCTCCCTCCATCTCGGCTAAGAGTGCCTGCCCGCTGCCCCCGTCACCAGCGATGGGCTTCTGACTAGTGGCGGAGCTGTCCTCCGGCACCCTCCCTGGACGAGTCAAGGCCCCTCCACGCTGGACTGAGGACTTCCACTGGTCCTGGGAATGTTCTTCCCCTTGACTCCTGCCCAGCTCCATCCTTAGCGCGCGCAGACTGACTGCTCCATCTGTTTCTCTCTGTTTCCCTCTGAAGAGCTGAGTCAGATAAATGACTCACTGAGATTTTTTTCTTGGATTTTCTGATGAGGATGTAGTGGGTTTTCCAGATCTATTCGGGGGAATTCTTTGTGGAACATTTGAAAGTCACCTCTCCCTGGTTCCTTTCTCTATCCCATGTCTAGCTTTGGGCTTAACAGTGGAAGTTTCTTTGTAACCTCTCTGCCCAGCAGAGTCACCAGAAGGGTATCAGGTCTTCTACATGCCTTTTCCAGAGAATTTTCCTGTGGGTGGGCCTGCCCTGACTATGAAGCCCCACCTCCAGGCCATGTTCATCGGGGTGACATTTTCAACTTGTAGTCCAGATGGAAGAGGTTTGGGGTGGGGTGCTGAGCAAGGTCTGGGGACCGGTAGAGTTGTATTCTATGTAAAAATAACACTGAGGACCGAGAAAGTTCTGATAAAATAAAAGGCCTGTGGTACATAATTCAGCAGAAGCCAAAGCCCAAGGTTCTACCTGTCTGCTGAGTGCTGGAGAATAACGATCCGATAGCTTGGAGGGAGGTCATTCAGAATATTGAAATGCTGCTCAGAAACACAGAGATTCTGCCAGGCCTGGAGAGGGAGAAACAAGCTGCTGTTTGTCATAAGCTCAGCTCAAAAGCACTTGCTCCACCCCTCCCTCTTCCTCAGCAAATGCTCCCAGCCCCATCCCCCAACCCTGTTCCTCCTCCTGTTCCTCCTCCTCCCATCCACCCCACCCTCCATCTTCCTCCTCCTCTTCCTCTCATCCACCCCCTACCTTCCTCCTGCTCCCATCCACTTCACCCTCTATCTTCCTCCTCCTCCTCCCATCCACCCACCCTCTATCTTCCTCCTCCTCCTCCTATCCACCCACCCTCTATCCTCCTCCTCCTCCTTTTCCTCCTCCTCCTCCCATCCACCCCACCCTCCATCTTCCTCCTCCTCCTCCTCCCATCCACTCCACCCTTTATCTTCCTCCTCCTCCTCCTCTTATTCACCCCCATATCTTCCTCCTCCTCTTCCTCCTCTTCCCATCTACCCCATCCTCTATGTTCCTCTTCCTCCTCCTCCTGTTTCACCTCCATTCACTCACCTATCTTCTTCCCTGCCTCCCCCTGTAACTCCAAGGAAAGGGTGACATCTCTCTTAGCCCCAGACACCCTCCCTCAGCTCTCAGCTTGTCTGGTTTTCTCAATCCTTTCAAACCAAACAAGTGACCCTTGACCAGGCTCCTCCCTCCCCAACCCCAACCCCCTTTCTGGGCTCTTAGGAAAAGTCCTGGGAAAAGGAAGGGGGAGAACAAGCCTTTGTATGGCACCTGCTATGTGCCGGGTGCTTTACAAACACTACCTCATTGGAGCTTCACAACCACCCTGGGAGGTAGGTGCTATTCTGATTCCCACTTAATAGATGAGGAAACTGAGACAGACCAAGGTGAAGGGACTTGCCCAGGGTCACACAGATGTCATTGCTGTTCAGCTGGGTCTGGCTTTCTGTGACCCCATTTAGAGTGTTCTTGGCAGAGATGCTGGAGTGGTTTTCTATTTCCTTCTCCAGCTCATTTTAAAGCTGAGGAAACTGAGCCAAACAGGATTAAGTGACTTGCCCAGGGTCACATAGCCAGAACCCTTTCCTGCCTTCAATTCTGTGTGCCCTGGTTTTCTGATATCTGCTCTCCTGGGGGGGGGCAGGGATTGAGCTCACTTTTATGCGTGCATGTTTATATATGCATGTATGTGTATGTATATATACACACATACACACATACATGTACATTTGGGTCCCAGTTCGTAGCACCTGGCAAGTAGTAAGCTCACTCATCCATCCCCTGGATCCTGTCTGCAGCCCCCAGGGATGTGTGGTAAATGCTTTAACAACTGGCTCTCTGAAAACAGGACACTTTTACATTTAATTGGCATTATTAACATTTCCTCCATTACCTTCTTAAGTCTGAACAAGTAACCAAACCACAAACCAACTGGAAGGAAAGGAGGGTATGGCCAGAGAGGACTATCAGAATTATTTGCCTTGGAGGCAGAACACCGACAGGTGAAGATGAGCTCCAGGCCAGCTCTGTGTGTGAAGGTGAGAACACCAATAAAGAGGAAGTAAGGGGATTTGTGAGGGCATCCTCATAGAAATGGAAATATGGCTGGCAGATCATGCTGCTGGATTATGCAGACCACTACGACATCTGGATCTTTTTCGAGTGAAACCTTATCTAGCTATAAAGGAAGAATAGGGTGGAAGAACAGACAGAATTCTGGACTTCGTCTAAATGCTGGGTTCAAATCCCACCTGACACTTAGCTTCAGTGCAACCATGAGCAAGTCACTGAAACTCACTGAGAGGATGCTTTCTTCTCTGTAAAATGGGGTAATGTCTACTGTTGGGTGATTCTAATGTTGTAGGCTTTAGAAGTCCCGTGTAAATGTCAGCTGGGATTATGCTAACCCATCTCCTATCTCTGAAATGGATTTTTTTTTGGATGAAAGTGTCAGACTTCACATTCCACCTTATTAGCTTGAAAAGAATGTCCTGGCTGATTGGGGTCTTTTGGGGCCCTGATGTTGTCACCCAAATAGTTGATTATTTGTCGTGGGCCTATAGCCAAGTCATTGGTGAAAATGTTACAAAGCTTGGGGCCATACACAGAGCCCGTGGGAATTCTGAGAGCCCTCTCTCCAAGACATCCTTCATATGCTCCAAACAGATTCCGCCTTGGTGCCCAAATCTGCCTCTCTCCCAACCACCTCCATTTCTGTTGGCAGCACCACCATGCATCCATACCGCTCACAGCCTTCCCTCTTCCTCCATTCCCATGGCAGATGTATATGCCCTAGCTGCTTCAAAGACAAAGAACAACAAGGAGAAGGCCCTGCCCTCAAGGAACTTACATTCCTTGAGAAACAACATGTACATGGAGACATACATATGAAACAGATACAGTCAAGACCTTTTTTGGCAGGGGAAGAGCCTCATGCAGAAGGCAATGTCAAGCTGAGCTATGAAGGAGGAGAGGAAATGGAAGAGGCTCCCAACCCAGTCCTCTGCTGAGTCTGAGAGCCTGGACCTCTTAACTCTTATCTCTAACCTTCCTCCACTCACACATCCAACTGGGGCCCAACCCCCAGCTCTGAATTCACCCCGGCATGCTAGTGGCTAACCTGCATTTCTCTACCTTTTCACAATAATAAATAACGCAAGACACTCTATCAAGTGAGTTGCTGAAATCTAGGTTAAATAACTCACAAGCATTCCCTACAATTTTGATAACCTTGTTTAAAAAAGCAAACAAGGTGAGCCTTGAGGCAAGACATGTTCTGAGGGTGAAGCCCAGTGATGCTTTGTGGGGGCTGCTTCCATCTGGGGAAGTGCACTAACCATCTTCTGGATATCGCGGTCCACAATTTTGTCTGGCACTCAAACAAATCCCACCGGCCAATAGCTGGCCAATTCATTTCTGTCCTCATCCTCCTGCAGGGTGGTGCAATCCTCCAAGAGTCCTAACCCAGCCGCAGCAGCAGTCGAGCCTCCCTGCCTGCTGTGGTCCCTACAGGGTTGGGGGGGGCAGGGTTTCTCAGGCCTGGCTGGGCAGCTGTGGCTTCTCTCACTAGCCCCCCACTTGTCTTGCTTATCTACACCCTTCCCAAGGTTCCCAACTTTAGTAGCTGGATGGTTGTGAATTAGTTTGGGGCTACAAAAGCCAAGATAAAACAAGAGACTGGCCAAGCAGAGAGCCTGGCAAGAGCATGGAGCCTCTGGAGTCCTGCATCCAACAGCATGGCCCTTCAGAATCTCCCCAGGGATGCTGTGTGACCGTGAGCTTAGGGGATCCTCAGAACACCCTAGCCTGTGTAGACAGGTCCCAGGCCCATTGGAAAGGTGAGCATGTCCTGTGGGAGATTCCAACCTCACTCTCTGCAAATGCCAAGGCCGGGTTTACTCTCACCACTATCCCTCCTGCCTGCGATTATTACGATAGCTCGGGTTCCCAGGGAAGGCTCCAGAATTACCTTGGAGATCTGCCCGAGTTTCTGCTCCACACTCTGAAACAGGGCCGTGCTGGTCTTCCCTTGCTGCTGCAGCTTTTGGTGAAGTTGGAGCAGGGCTGCCAGCTGGGAGCTGCTGGTGTTGGTTGTGACCGAGAACAGGAGCTTCCTCATGGCCAGGGATGCTGAGCAGCTCTGGGAAATGGGACCTCCCTGGGATCAGGCTGGGGCAGAGGCCCCCGCCCCCACTTTCCAGCCCAGGCTAAGGCTCTGGGGGACACAGCCTGGATGCTGTGATGGAGAAACAGCTGCAGACACGGGGACCCATGGAGGCATTATGTTTGTGTCTGACCATGTCTAGTAGAGGGTGGGCCCCTTACCACCGAGGCAAGCAGCAAGACCATGACTTGGTGGTGTGCGGGCAAAGGGAGGGGACAGAAGGGGATTCAGCCCCAGGCAGTGATGGTAGTCAGAGCTGTTCTGCCCTGCTCTAAAGAGAGCCCTGAATGTCCAGTCTCAGGACCCAGCATTAAGCCTTGGCCCTTCACCTGCTACCTGGGGACTTCAGGTAAAATCTTCCTCAAGCCTTGAGTAAGCACCTGTTATAATCAAGGCCCTATGCCTGGTACTGGGAAACACCAATGCCTTTCCTGCTCCTTAGGAACCCACATTTTTGTGTGCAGGAAAGCAAAGAGAACTGGGTAGAGAGAGAATGGGCACACCCACTCATGTAGCAGTAACCCCAGAGGTAAGGATCTAAGCAGAGGCAGGCACTGTAGGCTTAGAGATAGCCTGCCTTGGGGGAACAGCCCAGCCTGAGCAGAATGCAGACCATCTGAGGGGACTCCTGGGGACCAAGGCCGAGAAGGGAGGGGGATTGTGCAAGCTGAGGAGTTTGTCAATGGGGTGTAATCAGAGGAGTGGGGAGGACTACAACCTCAATTGGTCAGGGTGCTTCCCTTCAGAGGTTTTGGCTCCCAGGACTGAAGTGTCCTATAGCCCGTCCATGGGTCCTGGAAGCAAATAAATCTTGTTTCCCAGCTTCCATAACTACAGGTAGACAAGTTCAGGGAAAGCCCAGGCCAGGCTTGCCTCCTCACCTGGTAAAGAGCCAAGAACTGGCAGGCAGAAGGTTGATCCATGACACCGATGCTTTCCACCATCTCTAGGCTAGCTTGGGCTGTAATGCTGATCAAGTTATTGTTGAGACTGATTTGCAGGCACTGAAGGAGAACCTCAGAAGCCTGGGAGCGGAATTTCTGGGCCAATGCAAACCTCTTCTGAGAAGATGAGAGAGAGAGAGAGAGAGAGAGAGAGAGAGAGAGAGAGAGAGAGAGAGAGAGATTGCTTCTGATTATTTACTTTTTCAATTAATAAGCATTTGTTTTTCTTCCCTCCTACCTTCTCCTTTTCATCAAAAGAAAAACAAACAAAACCCTTGTAATTAACATTCATAGTTAAGCAAAACAAATTCCCACAGTAGCCATGTCCAGAAATTTGTCCCATTCTGCACCTCTGTCATCATCATTCCTCTTTAAACACAGGGTGGCCATAAATTGGGGAGCTGCTGAACAAGTCCTGATATGAGAGTGGGATAGGGTGCTACTGAGCTGTAAGAAATGATGACAGGTTGGTTTCAGAGAAGCCTGGGAAGATTCGTATGAGCTGATGCCGAGTGAAGTTGGCAGAACCACGAGAATGAAGGATACCAGAACAATAGTATTGTAGAAAGGAGCTTCTCTGAAAGACTTGGGAACTCTGATCCATGTGGTGCCAGCTCGACTGCCAGCCCTTCCACACTCACCTGCCTTGTTATGAAGTACTAACCCCAAATACCTTTAGTTCTCTGGCTTTCTGGATCTGGTCTTCATTTTGGGAAGTGTCCAGAAGGTTTGGCTTCAACCTTGACTCGGCTTCAGTCTCCTCTTTGTCCGTCTCCAAAGATGTCATGGCCATCACTCTAGAATCCAACTGTAAAACAAGTTTCTAGGAATGATTGGGGCACTTTGGAATGTTACATAGTTCTGAATTTGGTAAATGTCTTTCCTTGTATGGCTCCCCAGCTGCCCCCAGAGAGCAGTGTGGTGACTGGTTGTTATACAGCTTGCTTCTCTAAATGTTTATTAACTATCTCCTGAATCACAAAATTTCAGAGCTGGGAGTCAACCAACCTTCTGGTCCAATCCCTCTCTCAAAAAGAATATCCACTATGACTAGAATTCTCCCAGAAACTCAAGTCAAAATCAATGCCCCATTTTTCCTAGACTCGATTCTTTTTCTTTCTTTTTTTTTGAACAAAGGGGACAAACCACCTTTTGTCCAAAAGGAAGCCCACTATTTCTCCATTGCTCCTTGCGTGATATTTGTGTTTTGTTCCACATCTCCCCGAAGCCTTTTTCTCTACTGGTAGCATCTTGCAGAGGTCACTGATAGATGCTCAGCCAATCTCCACACTCATGGATGCCCTTCATCTATGTGCAACGTTGTGAACTCATCTAGTCCTTTCCTATATCACTGCACTCATCTTGAAGATCAACTTCCTGTCAGTTTTTTCTTCTGTCCTTTTTAGTCTAAAGAAATTTTCCAAAGCAGAGAAACTGGAATGGGTCTGTGATTCCCCCAACTTGGAGGCTCCCTCCAATGTCTCCTATTGCTACCCACTCCTGTCTGCCCATCCCTGGTGACTGTTCTTCACAAATAAGGAATGAGGTGTCAGTCCTTCTAAACTCTGCCCTTGTCAGTCCAGGGCACAACAGCTTAAGAATGACCTTGATATTGGGGCAGGTAGGTGGTGTAGTGGATAAAGCACCAGCCCTGAAGTCAGGAGGACCTGAGTTCAAATCCGGCCTGAGACCAGACACTTGACACGTACTAGCTGTGTGACCCTGGGCAAGTCACTTAGCCCCAATTGCCTAAAAATTAAAAAAAAAAAGGATGACCTTGATAATCTGGAGAACATTGCTTGGATACCTGTCCTATGAGGATCATTGAAAAAAATGGTGAATGGATGGTCACTTTATTATTCCTAGAGACGAGTGACTCAGGACAAACAGACATGGGTGGGTGGCAATCTGGACAGTAGATAGAGTGCCAGGTCTGGAGTAAGGAAGACCTGAGTTCAAATTGCCTCAGACACTTACTAGTTGTGTGAGCTTGGGTGACTCGCTTAACGTCATTTGCCTCAGTTTCCTCATCTGTGCAATGAGCCAGAGAAGGAAATGGCAACCCCCTCCAGTATCTGTGCTAAGAAAACCCCAAAGGGGTCAGGAAGAATCAAACATGACTGACACTGACTGCACAACACCTTGTCTGCACATAGCAGGTTTCAGGTGGTCTCTTCCATTAGTCTTTAATCTCCTTGAGGGTGGGCACTGCCCTTTGACTTTCTTTGCATTACAAGCACTCAGCACAGTGCCTGGGACATCGTAGATGCTTAATAAATGTTTATTGACTCACTGACTGCCTTCTCCTTCCTCAGATACTTTTCATGAACAGATGTTTTCCTGTTGCTTATGCTAGGAAAGGTGTTCAATAGGGCTATTTATGTTGTCATTCAAGGAATTCTGAGATAGTCTAATGAACAGATGGATGGGAGGGAGGCACCTTGTTGGAAGAAGGCCTTGAGTGCCCTGTGGAATAAAATGGACAATAAGCATATTGGGATCTGATCTCTGTTCAGTTTTCCCATCAACTGTGAAAAGGGAAAGGTGTGGTCAGCTGTGTATCACTGCTGGTGAAAGCTTGCCTGCTCCTTGCTGATGCACAGGAAGATAATTCTGTCAAAAATGGTACAGAGGTAGGAAAACAGATATGTGGGGGGGGGCAGCTGAGGCTCTCAAGGTTCCCATCTGATGTTCCCCAGTCTAGCTACGATCCCCTGGCTCTTGGTGGGCTTCCCCACCAGCCTCAGCTTTGTCAGAGACACAGTTCTCCTTGCTTTCTGCTGACACTCTCCTCACAGGTCTAGGCTTGTCTGTGCTGTTCTCTGGGGACCCTGTCCTGGAGGTTGATCTTCTAGGGAAGCTTAGGAGAGCCCAGGGAAACCCTCACCCTGGATCACACAATGTGGCTGGCTTGTAGTCTGCATCACTGAGACTCAGTCAGAGAGCTCACCGATTCACTGAAGGATTGACTCTGCCCCTGACTGCAGGTTGCTCTTCCACTCCGGACCAGATTCCCTTCCCTGAACTTACCTCATTATTTTTGTGAACTAGCTCCATGAAGGGCAAACTTTCTTTCTACCCAATCAAGCCTTCACTTCCCCTGCCATGGGTAGTATTGGAGAGAAGACTGAGAAGTCAAGTACCTTGCCCAGGACCACAGAGCCAGTATGTGTCTGAGGTGTAATGGGAACAAAGATTTTTCCTGGCTCTATGGGTGTCTATTTGACCACTCTGCAATTCTGCCCCTCCCTTCTGAATGCAGATGCCATCATTGAAGAAAACATGGGAATCTTTCATCTTTGTGCCCCAAGTCTGACTTAAAGAGGCTATCACATACCAAGAAGTTTTCATCCCAGTAATGAGCCAAATGAACGGGGTCAGTCTGAAGAGCCAGGAGATGGAGGGTTTTTCCAGTGAAGTACAAGAATTTTGCTCGAAGTTCAGTGCATCCAGTGCAGAAGTGCTGCATGCTCTCCAAGTGGGCCAGAGCTCTGTGGGCCGCAGTCCGTTTCAGGTTGAACCATTCCTGTAAGAACCCCAAAGTTGTGGAATGTACCCAAATATAAGTTGGAGTGGAACTCTGCTCCCCACCTCCTCCTAGAAGCCCAGCATTGCTATGCACCACTCGAGAGGTTGGCTACTGCCCTAGACTGGCCTCGTAAAACATCAGGGCATGTCTGTTTCCTACTGGATTCTGAATCTGAGGTATACAGACTGGAGGTGATCTTGAGAATAAAGCAGGAAAGCATCTCAACAAATACAGAAAGAATACAAAAAGGGTGTGTCATTTCTGCCTCAGTCTCCCCTCCCCTGGACTTCACAGCCTTGGGCCTCACTCTTGAGGTCCTTGTTATCATTACATGGTCACATCTGTGGCTCTGCCCCATGACCAAGGAGTGCTTGCTCTCCTGTTGGGCAGGGTGGAATAATATGTTTAAGTCAAATAAAAACTCTATGTTTTGGCTTGAGGGAAGGGACAGTACTCATGAGAAATGGGCCCCTGTGATCAGCAAAAGTCCAAGGGTGGCCAGAGAAAGGCTGAATGGGTCAGGGAAGTCAGAGGCTTTTCTCTCTGCAGAGCAGTCTCTGATACATTCTCAGGTCCCTTTCTGTCTAGATCACTAGCAGGGACACTTGGGTCATACCTTGTAAACGAGAAGAGATGTCTCAAATAGCAGGGGAAGGTTTTCCCCTATAGACTTTTGCCCCCAAACTGGAGATGAAATGTACCTACTTAATGGAATCCTCCTTCAGCAAATGGGATTCAGCTTGATCAACTGATAAACGTGACAGCCATTGTGTCAAATTAGCTCATTCCTTGGGAGGAGAAGGGGTAAATATGTCTTAGAGCAGGATTAGAGCTGGAAGGAGCCTGGGAACAGAGCATCAGACTCCCTAAGCTGGAAGGACCCTAGCGAGCTGCTCACAGATCCCATTGTTCATGGTCCAACCCTTTCCAAGTACAGATGAGGAAACAGAATTATAGCAGTGAAGTCACACAGCTTACTAATAAACAGAAGAGGGCAGATTTGAACCCAGACCCTTCAACTCTAAATCCACAGCTCCTTTCTCCAGAAGGTGTTGCAGGAGAGGCACCTGCCAGTGACCACTGCAAGGTGAGTGCAGGCAAGTCCCTGGAACTTTGGACTACAAAGCTAGCAATACAAAAATGGTCCTGAGAGGAGGCCCCATGTCTAGTGCCCAGCCTTCCACACTGATTCCTTGGTCAAGCCAGCTCAAGTCCTTGCTATCGTTGGGGGGAATCATGGCTGGCCAGAAAGGGTACCCCAGGAAAGGAGAACACCAGGAAATCTGGAAAAGTGACAATGGAAACTCATCTTCTCAAACCTCTAGGCTGGCTTTGGGGTATCTAGACACAGCTGGGGGTGCCGTGGGGCACAGAGCACTGGGCCCGGAGTCAGGAAGACCTGAGATCAAATCTGACCTCTGACACTTCCTTGATGGGTGACCCTGGGCAAGTCACATCACCTTTCCTTCTCAGTTTCCTCATCTGTAAAATGGGGATAATAATGGCACCTCCCTCCCAGGGTGATAGGCAGCCTGTAGGAACCAGTCCTAGGCCCTTGCAGCAGCCTTTTAAGTTTTTGTGCTAATTACCCATTCCAATTTGGTGAAGTCACTGGTGCTCAACAAGTAGTCAGCCAGGATTTTTTCCCATGTCCCTTTTTTCATTTCTTCCTGCAGGGCTTTTTCCTGATTATACTGAATTATCTCCAGAGAGATTTCAACCAGTTTTAGCTTGACGTTGGCGAGCTTCCTCATTAGAGGAGTGCTGATATTCTGAGTCTGAAACAGCAAAGGTTTTTCTAAGCACAACATGGCACCAAGATGATCCTTAGCTAGAGGCCTGTCACCCATTGCTTCATCATCACTGACACTTGTCCAGTCCTATGCCCTTCCATTCTCCCTTCTAGGTAAGAAGTCCTTCATTATTCCACTTCTCCCATAATCAATCAATCCACCAGCATTCCCATGTCCTCTGTGCCGAGCATTGGGACAAAAATGAGACGATTCCTGCCCTCAAGGAACTTACATTCTAGTGGGGAGACTTGCATATATGAACATATGCCCACACAGACGGATACGCAGAACAGGTGCAAAGGTCATAGGAAGTAATTTGGGAGGAAAGCCACTAGCATCCGGGATGTTTTGAGGAAGTTAAGGGTTCTGACAGGTAGGGGTGTTGAGGGAGGGCTTTCCAGGCAGGGGACCCAGCCTATGGAAAGGAAAGGAGAATGGAGGTGGAATGCCACATATGAGGCTCTGAAAGTGGGAATGGGAGCCCAGTGTGAAGGGTGTGGGATGAAGCGTGATCCTTGAGGCAGTAAGGAGTCCCAGCTTCTGGGACAATGGTCACATCTGCGCCAAGTAGGGAAAGCCCTGAGCTAGAGAGGAGCCCAATGAGGAGGCCATCACAGTAGCCAAGAGGCGATGAGTTGAGCTGAAGTGGGGATGCACATGCACGCATGCTGCAGCTGCATAGTCTAGCCATGTTATCCCCTACTCAAAAAGCTTCACAGGCTTTCCTCTGCTTCTCAGACACCCTCCAGTGCCCTCTCCTCTGGTGGACATTTAGAGCCCTTCCCAAGTTTCCTCCAGCCTCCTTTTCCAGGCAATCACCCATTACTTCTCACACATTCTGTGCTCTAGGAAAACTGGAAATTCTAGCTCTGCCTCCATGTCTCTGCTCAGGAGGCCACTCTCATTCCTGATCTTTTCCTTTAGGAATCCTTAGCCTCTTTCAAGGCTCAGCTTGAGTATCACCTCCTTCAGGAGCCTGTCAGACTTCCCCAGCTGTTGGCCACCCCCAATCATCCTACCTTCATTTTGTACCTATCATCTTTCCTGGGAACATGCTGTCTCCCTCAGGTGACTGTAAGCTCCTAGAGGGCAGATAGCCTCTCACTTCTGTGTTTGTATCCCCAGTACATAGGCAGGGCTTGGCAGATGGTGAGTGCTTAATTAATGCTTGCTGATTAATTGACTTCTTTAGGAGATCATTAGGTGATAAATTTATTAGTAGGTCTTACTTAGTATCAGGGCCAACATTTGCCTAGGTGTTCTGGGTGGGGGCTAGGAGGCAAGAGAGTAAGAAAATCCCCCAAAGTGTATTTGGGCCTTTTCTGATGGAAGGTTTATACTGAAAAGTTCTCAGCACACATCAGTGGCTGTCAGTTTTTTGTGTTTGCATCTTACCTGCCTACAAGACTGTGAGCAAACAGAGACTGCTTTATCTAAGCACAGAATCTCCCCCACTGCTGAGGTCAGAGCCCTGTACACAGTGGATGCTTATTCAATGTGGCTTCAGCCCAACTTACTGTTTTCTTTCTGATGATGGTGACTCCAAGGAACCATCTTTGGGAGAGGATGGCCATTAACTTCCCTGAGATTCTGACTTTTGTCATGGAACCTAGAGCTACAATGACTTGTCCAGGGCACATCTTTTGACTCCTCTTTGTACTATCCTCTTCTTTCCTGTACATTTCTCCTCAAAGGGATGGGGTATCATGGACAGTACAGATGTTTGGCTAATATTGAGGGGATGCAATCTATGTCAGGAAGCTTCCTCTGTAAGGGCAAATGTCAAAGGGCCCTAGAAAGTGGGCACTAGGGGGCAGCTGGGTGGCATAGTGGATAGACCACTGGCCCTGAAGTCAAAAGGACCTGAGTTCATATCTGGCCTTAGACCAAACACTTGACACTTACTAGCTGTGTGACCCTAGGCAAGTCACTTAACCCCAATTGCTTAAAAAAAAAAAGAAAGTGGGCCCTGGAGGATGGCTCTTACCTCATTAAGTGGCAGCAGGGACTGAATATTACAAAATATTTCTTCTAGATACATAATAGCTTTCTGGGTCAAGTTATAGGCTTCTAAATAATAGCAGACCTTTGCTTTTTCATCAGCCTCATATTTGGCAAATAACCTTAGGAAAAAAAAAAGATAGGTAGCACCAACAGTGAAGGCAAAATTAGTACTTTGCTCAGTTACCCAGGTGACCTACAAAACCCTGACACCAAGTCATGTAATGTTTTCTTCTTCAGTTAATCTATGCATTTCATTTTTGTAATTACTCATTAATTTCATCTCGTTATCAATTACGTTGGAATTTGATTGGGCAAAAGTTTCTGATAGTTTTTTTTAAAAGTTTCCTCTTTAATTGTTGTGAATTCTTTTAAATTTTTTATAAGAATGATTTTGTTTTCCCTTTTCTTTTTTTTGAAGTGAGCTAACTTTATTTTATTAGATTTTTATAAAGCTCCAAATTTTATCAATCAATTCAGTTTTCATTTTATTTTTTATTTTTTGCTTTCACTTTTGCTACACTTTTATTTGATGTTCGGAATTTCTACTTTGATGTTTAGTTGAGGGATTTTGTTTTTCTAGTTTCAGCTGTGTGACCAATTCATAGTTTTGTTCTTTCTTCTATTGATTAAGGTTTTCAGAAATTTCCAAAATTTCTTTTATGGATTGCTGTGAAATTGAAAATCTACACTGCACATTATTTTATATTATTTGTTAATTGAGAATGTATTTAATCATGGGAAATGAATATTTGGGGATCAGACTTGATTGTAGAGGCCTCAGTGGTAAGGTTTGTAAATGTTTAACTCCCTATTCTTATGGGCTACAACCTGACCACCAAGACTCAAAATTTGTAAATTTTTGCTCACCAAGGAAGGGAGGAGGAAAGGAAAATGAGTGAACCTGGTCATAGGATGTTTGCCCACCAGGAGATTTTCCAGAAGATGTTAGCCAACTCTCCCTTCTCTTATTTAAAAAAGAAGTATGCATACTTTTCTCTGTTCCCATTCCTCAGTTTCCAGAGATCTATCAACTCAATTTTTCTAAAGTTCTTTTCAAGTTCTTAACTTCTTTTGTCTTTGTTTTTCGTTTTTCTAGCTTTGTGAAAGGTATATTGAGGTCCTCTGCTTTTACAGTTTTACTACCTTTCTCCCTGCAATTTAACTCACTTTTCCTCTAAGTATTTAGATGTGATGCTATTTAGTGCATACATATTAAATATTTACATTTGTTCATTCTCTAGGGTTCCTTTAATCATAAGTAGTTTCCCTGCTTTTCTCTTTTCATGATGTCTATATGTACTATAGCCGTATCTGAAATGATAATTGCTACTTTTAGTTCACCTGAAACTAATATATTCTATAACATCCCATCATTTTAGGTCTACGTGAATCTTTATGTTTCAAGTGTGTTTCTTATAAACAACACATTGTTGGATCCAACTTTCTAGTCCATTCTTCTTTCCCCTTCTGTTTCATGGATGAGTTCACCCTATTTGCATTAACATCCAATGATTATTCATTGTGTATTTTCCTCTATCCTTTCCTCTCATACTTTTTCCTTTCTTTGCTCCCACCTACTTCTTTCCACATAAAACGGAGGTAAAAGAAGAGCTTGCCTGTCACTTGGGACCTATAAATGAAATGGTCTGTGCTGTTACCCCTCTTCTCTTCCCTTTGCCTGACCCTCCAATAACAGAATTTTACTCTTTCTTGCTTTCTTTTAGCCCTCCCTTCACACCTCCCTTCCTGTGTATATATATATCCCTATGTTTGTGTATGTGTGTGTGTTCAACTTTCCTCCCTTTGTCTGAATCAGATGAAAGGGAGGTTTGTGGAATGTCCATTTCTCCCACCCCTTTCTTCATGAGTGAATATTCTTCATATCAGGTACAACTCATTTGTAAGATGGCGAGTTCCTTTTCCTTCCTCCTCCTTTCCTTTCCAGTGCAGTCCCCTATCTCTCCCATCTCCATCTTTTCCTAAGATCATTAAAACATAACAAAATCATCCCAGGCCCTTGGTTCATCTTGCTTACATTTCCCTATAATCCTCAAAGACATTAGAATTCTGAAAGGAAAAATGTTTTCTTATTAACATGTGAACAATGCATCCCTATACATTCCCTTCCAAATGATCAAATGTGTATGCCTTTCTGTGTTTCTCTTGACTCTTGCATTTCCATGTCAAAGTGTCTGACATGACATGACTCAATTCTGACCTTTTCATTAGAGATGCTTTGAAATTCTCTATTTAATTTAAAGAACATTCCACCCTCCCCCATCACCCTCGTGGTATTATTCTCAGTTTTGCCATGTGGGTTATTCTTGGTTCCAAGCCTTTATCTGTTACCTTGTGTAATATGATATTGTATGTTCTTTTTTGCTTTATGGTGGTAGCTACCAAGTCTTCTGTGATACTGATAGTGGCTTCTTGGTTCTTTAACTTTCTTTTTGTCAACTTGTCATATTGTTTCTTTTCACTGGAAGTTCAGATTTTGGTTATAACATTCCTGGGTACTTCATGGTTTCTTTCAGGAAGTGACTGATGGACCATTTCTATTTTCACTTAGTCCTCTGGTTCTAAGAGACCCAGGTAGTTTTTATTTATAATATCTTGAGCTATTGTAGTTAAACTGCTGCTGCTGCTGCTGCTTCTTTCTCTCCTCTATTTCCATTTCTTCCTCTTCCTCCTCCTCCTCCCTCCTCTTCCTCATGTCTCATTGAGTTGTTTTCTATTTGGCATTTTTTGGTATAATTTTCAGTTCATACAGTTATTGGTTAAGTTTTATCGCCTTCTGTCCTAAGGTATTAATTCTTCTCGTCATTGTTTCCTCCCTGTTTGTTTCTCATTTCATTTCTTCCAAGTACTCTTGTAGTCTTTATAGCCAGAGCAATTTTTCCTCTGAGGCTCAAATTGAATTTGTTGTGGAACTATTCTCTTCTTCTGGGTTTACTCCTAGAGTGTCTCTCAGTACAAGATATTTCTTCACAGTGTTTAATGTTTTCTTGTTTTCTCATATCTCTAGCCTAGGTTTCTAGTATAGAGGCTTGTACTTGGGTCAGACTCTATATCTGTACTCAAATGGTGTTGGCTAAGCCTAGGTCCCACTCTCTGAAGGAATTGTCTGACCTTCTCCTATAATGTGTTTCTGGCACAGGCTCCTGCTGTGGCTGGGGTTCCAGAACCACCCTCTGCTGGTTGCTGCCTTGGGTGTGGGACTGGGCTTGTTCACATTGCATCTTCCACCTCCCCTGGTCTGTCTCTATCATGAGCTTCCATAGGATTCTTGCATTCTTTGTTCTGTCCTGGACTGGATGGAAGAGTTTTCTGTTCATTTTTATTTTTATTTTTTTCATTTCAGGACATTTTAAAATCTTTACTAGGCTATTTGTGGGGGATCTGAGTTCATCTTCCCACAATCTTCCCTCCTCAGGCATTCACTCATAGTGAACCCAGGAGGAAGTTGGCATAAGCAACATTGTACTCATTCAGCAAATGATGAAGTAGATGAATGAATGGATGGAAACACAGTCCCAAACACTATCCTAAGTGCTGGGCACACAAACATAAATGTGAACAGTCCCTACTCTCGAGGGGTCCAGGAGCTACAAGTCAGACATCAAGGCGATCACAGCAGAGAGGAGTGCATCATTCTCAGGGTCACTTCCACAGACAGCATCATGGGCATTCTGGACATTGAACCATTTGGTAAGGTGGAAGGGCTTTGTGTTCAGGTGTTCTGTAGCTGTGTCTGCAGGCTGTTGCCAAGCTGCATGTTGGGGAGGATTGCTTTCCTGGGGGATGGCTTTGGGGCCAGAGGTCTGGGGAGGTGCCCTTATTCCTAGGGCTCTTGGGCTCCCCAGTCCACTGGGGGCTGTCAGCTTTGGGGATGGAATGGTAGTCCTCTTCTCCCCAAAGTTTGCCCCTACTCCTGAGTAGGGGTGGGTTCAGGCTGGAAGGCAGGAATGGGAGGCACTGTTATTCACAGGAAGGGAGGAAATAAAGTGCCTACTATGTGCCAGGCATGATGTTAAGTGCTTTTTACAAATATCTGTAATATGAATATTGACTTGCCCAGGATCACTCATCTAGGAAGTATCTGAGGCCTTCCTGATTCCAGGACTAGAACTCTATTCACTGCTATCCTCTAGCTGGGAAAGTTAACTCACCCCAAGGTCACATAGTGAGTTAAAGGAAGAGCAGAACCCGGCTTTGTCTGGAGTCATAGAATAGCACAACCAGCCCTGGAATTGATTAGGTCCTTTTGCAATAGGCCCATCAGAGCATTCATTTAAAACCATATTTCATGGAAAAATTCATTTTCCTAGATTGACTGGGCAAAGAGTCTGCTTGATAACTCAGCTAACTCTTATGATCACTTCTTAGAACTCAGACCATCTCCATGCTTTTGAATGCCTGTCTGTCCAGTTTTTACAGCAAAGTCCATATAAGGGATGTCCACTGCGCATGGCACGTGCATGGAGAATATGGAAAAAGGAACCCAGGAACTCCCAGTCTTTCTGAGAGACAGGAATTCATCAAACATGGCAATCCCAAAAGATCTGCTCTGACCCAAGAGGTGACAACCAGCACATAGGCCCTGAGTGCTCAATGCATTTGAGAGAAGACTTCCTGGAGGAGGCAGTAGGGAGCTGGGATTTCAGCAATTCACAGGGGATTGGGCCTCACATAGAGGAAGGAGCATGTTTTTGGCAAGAAGGTGCAGGAGACAAGAATGTGCATCAAAGGTGTGAGAACAAGAGGAGAACTGGTCTGGAGAGAGCAGAACATGCCCAGGGGAGGGGGAGGAATTGCTGAGATGAGGAGGAAAAGGGGAAGGAGGGTCATCAGTGCAGGGCAGCCTTGACATCTGGGGTGAAGATCCACGAAGAGTCTGAGCAAAGCCTCTGCTGGCAGAGGAGGGAGCAGAGGAGGGAGAGATCAAGAATGAGGATCTGGACGTAGTCCAGGGGAGAGGGAACCAGCTGAGGGAAGAGGAGCCAGAAAGGAAGGCGGGGGCAAGGAACCTAGAAGACCTGGCAAGGTGTCCTACCTGACTCAGGTTAAGGAGCAGGAAGAGTCCAAAGAGGCTCCAGCTTTCAAGGCCAAGAGGGCCAGAAAGAGGGACATCAATGTCACTGACAGCAACAAAGCATTGGGAGAGGAATGGCTAGAGATGTCAGAGAAGGGAAAATGCTGCCCTCCAATTGGTGAGTTGACTGGGCAGTGACATTGGCTAGCCAAGGGGCTGAGTAACTGCAAAGGAATGAGTAGAAGAAGTCTGGAGGCCCAAAGTCCTGGCTACGGGAGGCAGACATGGTCAGAAGGTGAGAGGAGGCATGTGATGACCCAAGATGACCCAAGCCTTGGATCACACTGAAGCCAGTGTGGCTTTGCCACACACACACACACACACACACACACACACACACACACACCCCTCACCTCTTGATCCTGGCAGAATGGAGGATTAGATCCACACAGTGGTCTTTATAACCATCATCAAAAAAGCTTTTCTCAATTTTTACCATCCTGTTATTGATAGCCTCTAGCAAGTATGAAAAGTCGAAAGGATCACCATCTTCGGCTGAGTCCAAGACAATATTCAGCTGAATTTCTGCACTCCTGCAGAGGAAGAAACAAAAACAAAAGCAAACCTCACAAAACTCTCCTTTGGGTCTTCTGGAAACACTGACTTATTATTCCTATAACAAAGGATTTTGAAACTTTTATGTCAAAAAATTCCCAGTACTGTCTTCTCTATGGCAATCGTGTCCTTTTAAATGGCCAGGTGCACCAGTCATGGAGCTGATGAGGAGCCACTGGAGTTTATCAGGTGGGATAGGGTGACATGATCAGACCTCTGCCTTATGAAAATCACTTTGGTGGCTGAATAGGAAGATGGATTGGAGTGGGGAGAGACTGGAAGCAGGAAGACAGTCCCACCCCCAAGCTACGGTAATAATTCAGGCGTGATGTGATAAGGGCAGGTACCAGGGTGGGGGCAGTGCCAGGGGAGAGATATCAGAGAAGTGAAATCACCAAGCCTTAGCAACAGCTTGGAGAAGGGAGGTGAGAGAGGGCAAGGACGGGAGGATGATACCTTGGTTTTGAGCCTGGGGACTGGGAGGATGGCGGTGCCCTCCACAGTCATAGGGAAGTTTAGAAGGGAAAAGATTTAGGAGGTGCATTTTGGACAACTGGACATCTAATCTGAGATGTCTGAAAGGCAACTGGAGATGTGCGATTGCAGGTCAGGAGAGAGACTGGGGCAGGAAAGTTGATTTGAGCATAGAGGTGGTAATTAAATCCATAGTAGCTGATGAAGCAGGATAGAGGGAGAAGAAAAGAGGGCCCAGGACAGAAACCTGAGGGACATCTATGCTTAGAGGAAATGATCTGGATGAGAACCCAGCAAAGAAGATAGAGAAGGAGTGGTCAGAGAGGTAGAAAGAGAGCCAGGAGAGAGGGATGCCCTGAAGACCAAGAGAGAACATAGCTTCAAGGAGAAGAGAGTGACCCGCAGTGTCAAAGGCTGCAGAGAGATCAAGGAGAAGGAAGATGGAGAAAGGGCCACCAAGAGATCACTGGTCACTCTGGAGAGGGCAGTTTGGGTGGAATGATGAGGTCAGAAGCTGGACTGTAAGGGGTTAAGAAGAGAGTGTGAGGAGACAGAGTGGAAGCACCTATTGGAGATGCCCCTTTCAGGGAATTTTGGTAGAATGGACAGAAGAGACAGGATGATAGTAGAGATGGAAGAATTGAGTGAGCATTTTTGAGGATGGATGAGACATGATCTAACCCTAAGCCCACTGCAAGCAGTAGGTAGTGAGTCACTACACAGGAAGATAAGTGACGCCGAGGGGCAGCCTGCTGGAGGTGACGGGATGGAATGGACTCCCTTGAACATGCAGCAGGATTAGCCTTGGTGAAAAAGGAAGGCCACTTCATCATGTGAGGTGGAGGTGGAAGAGAGAGGGGCAGAAGGCACCCCAAAGATGATGAGAAAGAAGGGAAAAGGGCAAGCTTACCGCAAAGAGCCTTAATTCTGTCTGTAAAATAGGAGATTCTCAACGTTCTCAGCTAGGAGTGTGAGGGAGAGGGGGAGCCATGGAAGGTCTGAAGAGGGATGAGAAGGTTTGGAAGAGACCCTGGGGAGGAGGAGCTAGGGGCTATTCATATGAAAATGTTCAATTAGAGAACTTCTGCTCATTGTTAATCAAATGTGATCAAAAGTGCGATGAAATGTTTGTATTTCTGTGTTCCAGTGGGGCACACCTGGAGGCTGTCTCTACTTATGGTTCATACCATCCTGACTCTCCTATATCAACCACCAGCTGCTCAGTCTTCTATCCCCTACCTGAACCTTCTGGGGTGCCAGGACTAGCCACCTCCTCCATCAGGCTGGTCCCAACCCCCCAGAGCCTGGTGACCCTCCCCACCCAAATTACCTCATCTGACCTTGGTCCATGGCTATTTCATACACACTGTGTGTGACATATACGTGTTGTCTCTCCCTATAGACTGGTAAGCTCCTTGAGGACAGGCAGTGCTTTATTTATGTTTGGTATCCCCAGCAGCTAGCCCAGACAAGGAAGGGGGAAGAATGAGGGGAGGAGGAAGAGGAGGATCTTTCAGCCTTTCTCCAGAGACATCCATCTCCTTGAATGATAAGAGGCTTGTCCACACTCAGTGCTTTGCCCATGACAGTTCCAAGTCTGGAACAATGGGGATTTATCCTTCTCTAAGTGAACAGAAAGCTGCCTCCCTCATGAACGGAATGTGGTGCAAACCCCTCATAAAATCTAAACTCAAAATACAGGCCTTTTGCCCAACTGTGTGAAGAAATGGTTGTATCGTGTCTGCAGAGGACCCTGGGTGGGGTGGGAACAGGAATTTTGCAGGGATTTGCAGAATTCGAACATTTCAGGATAACAACATCTGTTTGTTTATCACTGTCTCCGGGAAGATTTACCTTCAAGGCTTGGGGGGTGGGGAGATGAACTGTTGAGGAGGGCCTTATAAAAACCTGTTGTATTTATGTTCAGTGCGCCCTGACACTGAGAGGGTTTTCAGTGTGGGTCACCCTTTCTCACAAGATCATAATAAAAATTCCTTTCTGCCTTCTACCTGGAGAAGACTCTGAATTTATTGGAAATAAGGATAGCTGTCCCACACCCTCATTTTGTCCATATGGAATCTGGAGGGTCCTGCTCTGTCCTGGGGCCTCACTCAGTGACCTCATCAGGTCCTGCCATGGGTTCCAGGATACCCTCGGTACAAATGGCCCCCACTTCCTCACATCGAGACCCATGTTCTCCTGAGTGCCAGGGTCCTACATGATCAGTTTGGGCCCTTTCAAATGGGATGTCCCAGAGACATCTCAAAGCTTCCTATGTCCAAAGCTGAGCTTGTTATCTTTTGGTCCCGACCCATCCATCCTTCAAATGTCCCCATCCTGTGAGTGGTCCCACTATCAGTCCTCTTTCACACAACTCTTGCTCAAGTTCATATTGCACTTCCAAGGGCATTTACCCTTTCCTGAGCCTCTGGGTAGTGAGGAGCACAGATTTCTCTCTCTCAAAGTTGTTGTACAGTCGTTTCAGTAGTGTGTGACTCTCCCATTTGGAGTTTTCTTGGCAAAGATACTGGAGTGGTTTGTCATCTCCTTCTCCAGAGGAAACTGAGGCAAACAGGGTGAAGTGACTTGCCTAGGGTCATCCAGCTAGGAAGTGTCTGAGGCCAGAATTGAACTCTGGAAGATCCGTGTTTCTAACTCTAGGCCTGACATACTACCGAGGTGCCACCAAGCTGTCCTTCCCCTAACTTCTCCAAGTTACTTTATATTTATTTGTTCATATTATGTAATTCTATGTGGATACTTTGTATCCAGCTAATAAAATGAAGGGTGGTTTCTTTCTTCCTTTTTCTTGTCTTGTCTTTTCTTTTTTTGTTTTGTCCTGTTGCGTTTTATATCCCCAGGCCAGGGTTGGGCCTTCTGGGGCTTGCATACAGCAGGCACTTAAAAAGTATTTTCTGAATTGAATGGAATTCAGTGCAAATATTGATGCCCCCCAAGACCCTCCTGGGAGCTCAAAGCTCATGACCTCTAACCACCATGACCTTCACCTTCCCTTCTCTGTCCCTCACAGGGCTGTCTTCCATAACTGTTGGACCTCCAAGATGCAGACTTGGGAACCGTCTGCATAAGGATGATCTTTGGGTTCCAGCCTCATGGAAACTGATGGAATCCCAAGAGAGAGAATCAACTGAAGAGAAGAGAGACCGAGAGAGAGCCCTGGGGAACACTCACCTACCCACAGGGGATGGATGGGAAGACAACCAAACAAAAAAGGAAAGTTAGAATGAGCAGAGAGGAAACAACAGGGAGAAAACATGATGGAAGCAACTGGGAGAGTGGCCAATAGTGTTCAAAGATAGAGAGAGAGCCCACAGGAGGACCAAGAGATCCCCATGGGACTTAGCACATCAGTGCTTCTGGGTCAAGCGCCATGGAGTCCCCAGGTCCACATGGTGGCATTAGAAAGTCAAACTCAAGAGGGTGAGAAGCGATAAGTGGGAGGCAAGGAGATGGAGTGTGGAGGTACTGGAGACAGTGATGGGAGTTTGATGGTGAAAAGAAGAAGAGAACTTAGCAAGGGCTACAGGGAGTGGAGCGATCTAGTGAAGACAGGGGCAGCCTAGCTATGTTTGGAGGTGGGGCCAAGGCTTATTGATCAGGAGAGACTGAAGATGAGAGAGAGGAGAGAGACAGAGAGACAGAGACAGAGAGAAAGAGAGAGAGAGAGAGAGAGAGAGAGAGAGAGAGAGAGAGAGACAGAGAGAGAGAGGGACAGAGAGACAGAGAGAGAGAGAAAGAGAGGGACAGAGAGACAGAGAGAGAGAGGAGAGAAAGAGATGAAAGAGAAACTGAGAGAGACAGAGAGAGAAAGAGAGATAGAGAGAGAGAGGGACAGAGAGACACAGAGAGACAGAGAGAGGGAGAGAGAGACAGTGAGAGAGATAGAGAAAGAGATGAAAGAGAAACGAAGAGAGACAGAGACAGACAGACAGAGACAGATAGAAGACAGAGAGAGACAGACAGGCAGAGAGAGAGAGAAAGAGAGAGAGAGAGAAGGGAGAGAGGGAGAGGGAGAGAGAGACAGACAGACCAGGACCCAGTCAGAGCCAGAGAGCTGAAGTCTTCCTGACACTCCTGCCTGGCTGTGGGGGGAGAGAAGGTGTTTCCCCAATGGCAGAGAATTCTCTTAGGAATGTCCCCTGTCTAGGAAGCTCAGTGCTTTGGGAAGGGGCCTGTGAGCCTGTCAGGAACCACAAAAGAATCTGAGAGAAGTTCTGGCAGATTTCCCTCTGATCTTTCACATGCATTAGTATCGGAAGAAGTTTACGTGCGAAGAAAGTGCAGACCCAGCCTGAGTTGTTCCTATCATCTGCTGAAAACTGGCATTCTGTCACCTTGTTTTCATTTCTTGACAAAGAACACACAAGATGTCATCTCTCTTCACAATATTCCTGGGGAAAAGTTACCTGGCTTCCAGAGATGTGGCTAAGAACTTCAGGATGGACTTCCTGTTGGGTCTTTCTTGGATCAGAGAGAGGAAAACATCGATCGTCTTCTGGATAATGTTAGGAATCTGGGGACCAACATGACAATTTGGGTTCATCTCTGAACCTGAGAAAGCTGGAAAAAGGCTGGAAGGAAGGAATTTGTCCCAACAAAGAGTAGGTTTGAGAGTGGGTAAGGGGGGAGCAGGGGAGGAGGACTCAGGTGGGGAGGGAGCAGGCTTCAGGAACTCTAGGCCAGCATTAGCATCTGTCTGCCCTGGAGGGGGTGGCCAGAGGGACTGGAAGGTCTCTGGGAGATTTCTTACTAGAGATTCTCTTCCTCTTTCTTGTGCCAAGAGGGTCTCAATCAGTGCTATTGTTGAGTAATACCAGAATTCTTCACTTCCTCCCAGGATCTGGGCCTTCTCAATCATTTTCTTGGCCTGTTCATATTTTAATTCTTTCTTTGCAAGTTCAGCTAGAAGATAGAGGCTCTTTGCCTCTGCACATGTATCCCTAAGTTCCTGAAAAAAAGAGACATACCCATGTACACAGGAATTAGATGGGTCAGAGTACCCCCCAAACCCCACCCCCCCCACACTCATGTTGACTGTTGAAAACCTGCCCTCAGTTGTGAGCTACTCGCAGCAGAAGGCTTCCTTATTACTTTACCAAGGAATTCTCTGAAATGCTACTTAAAACATGAACACCGGGCAGCATTTCTGGCCTTTCCTAGTGAAGCCGGTGCTCCAGGCCTCCCTGGGTTTCTTGAGTCCTCCTGACCCTGCAGCCTAGAGGCCCCACTCAGCTTGGCTTTCCAGGTTTTCATTGGGAGCTGCTGTCTGCATGGACCTTGGCTCTGGAGAAGTCTGGTGTTTCAAGGACCATTCCAGGCCACAATGAAAGATAATGTTTTGCCCAAGGGTGGATGAAGACAAAAAAAAGTTTTAAAAGGCCAAGATCTCACAAATGATGGCTGCCAAAGAGCCAGAGGAGTCACGATACAGTGTGATGTCATCGGTCCTCTCTGAAAATGAAGGCCCAACAACACCCACTGCCTTAGGAGGGCCCTGGCAGCTGGAGGGGCTGGAAGACTGCCTCTGCAATGTGCCCGGCATCCCATCAGCTTCTTGAACAGTGACAAGATTGGTAAAAAAAAAAAATACAACCAATTAAGCCGATCCCAGCTGCTAAGCATTGCAAGGAGCATGGAAGTCTGGTCTTGGGACAGGCAAGATGAAGGCCAGAGGCCTGAAGACTGGACACAAAAGTCATTGCTGCTGGAGGGCCCCACTTTTTTATGCTGAGCTTTACCCAAAGCCCTTGTCAGAAGTCGTCAAGGCAAACTTCTAAGATCTGGGCAGACACCTCCGCCCAGATCAATGTTTGAGGATTTTAAAATTTCTGGTGGCCTGGAAGCCTTATCCTCTTTAAAGGAGTGATGCCTTCTGACAAGTAAATTGATATCCTGAGAAGGAAATCTACTCCGAAATTACAGAAATTCTCAAGTGGAGGTGAAATATGGACCCACGTCCCTACATCATGACAGGTAGAGGGATCTATACAAGAGATGGGGATCCTCGGGGAGCCCCTGTGAAAGCCCATAGACTGGCCTCCGGAAAACAGGCTGATTGTTTGTCAATAACAGAGCTGGATGTTAATACAAATGAGGTTTCTTGATGAAGACTTGACGGTTAGGGGTCAACGTCATGTGAAGCCCTGATGGGAAGGTGGAAGTCGACATGCAAGACCCTGTAACTTTGTCCCAAATAATTCCCATGCTGCGGCAGATGCTGCTGCTTCTGAATGAATGGATGAAGACACGGGCAGCTTGGAGGCATGTTTGTTTTGGGGGCTGGTCACTTTGCCGTGGACGTGTGGGCTTTCTAGTCACCAACCCAAGCCAACAAGCACTTCTTTTCTTTTTCTTTTTTTTTTTTTTTTGTTAATTTCTTTTGATTTATCAACAATCGCTTCCATAAGCTTTTGAGTTTTAAGTTTTTCTCCCCCTTCCTCCTCCCCTCCCTCCCCAAGATGGCACACAATCTGATGTAGGTTTTACATATACATTTCTATTAAACATATTTTCACATTAGACATGTTGTAAGTTAGAACTGGAACCAATAGGAGAAACCTCAAGAAAGAGGAAACAAAACACAAGGGAAGAAAAAAATAGCAAATCATCTGCTTTGATCTGCGTTCAGACTCCATGGTTCTTTCTCTGGATGTGGATAGCATTTTCCATCATGAGGCCTCTGGGGATGTCTTAGAGCCTTGTGTTGCTGGAAAGAGCCAAATCTGTCAGCATTAGTCATTGCACAATGTGGCTGTTACCGTGCCCACGTTCTCCTGGTTCTGCTCACTTCACTCAGCATCAGTTCATACAAGCACTTCTTAAGAAACTATTACAAGCCAGGGACTGGGCTAAGCTCTGGAATTACAAAGAAAGGCAAAACCAGTCCCTGCTTCATGGAGGTCACAGGCTAATGGGGGAATCACTGTGCAAACAATTAGGTGTGCACAAGGCATAGACAAGTTAAATCAGGGGTAATCATCAGAGAGAGTGCCTTAGCATTCAGGGGGACCAGAAAAGGCTTCTTGTAGAAAACGAGATTTGAGCTGGGTCTTTTTTTTGTGTGTGAAGCAATTGGGGTTAAGTGACTTGCCCAGGGTCACACAGCTAATGAGTGTTATGCGTCTGAGGCCGGATTTGAACTCAGGTACTCCTGACTTCTTTATCCACTGTGCCATCTAGCTGCCCCTGAGCTGAATCTTAAAAGAAGCCAGGAAAGCCAGGAGGTAGAGATGAGGAGGGAGCATGTTCCTAGCCCGGAGGATGGCCAGGGAAAATGCACGGAGGTGCGAGACGGAGGGTCTTCTTGTATGAGGAGCGGTAAAGAGGCCAGTGCCACTAGAACCCCAAAAATGTGGAGGGCAGTAAAGGACGAGAAGACCAGATGGGGGAGGGGCCAGATGTTGAGGGCCTTGGAATACCAAATAAAAGACTCAGAGTTTGATGCTGGAGGTTATGGGAGCTAGGGGACTTTACGTATGTGACATGGTCATGCCTGAACTTTAAGAGTGGATTAGAGTGGGGAGAGACAGGAGAAGGCGCTAGGGGGCACCACAGTGCACAGTGCACGGGGCCTGGAGTCAGGAGCACTCCTCTTCCTGAGTTCAGATCTGCCCTCAGACTCACTAGTTGCGTGACCCTGGTCAAGTCACTTAATCCTGTTTGCTTCAGTTTCCTCATCTGTGAAAATGTCAGAGAAGGAAACGTACATGAGAGGCCATGTAAAAGTCAACAGGCCATGGCAATTTGAAAATGTGGTTTGAGAGTGAGGAGCTGAAGGTAACACTGAAGTTCCGAGCTTGGGTGACTGGGAGGAGGGTGGTGCCCTCCACAGCAGTTAGGAAGGTAGAAGGAGAATGGGGTTCGGGGGACAGAAAATGCGTTTGGTTTTGCACATGTAGAGTTTTTTTTCCTTTTGCTAGGCAATAGGGTTAAGTGACTTGCCCAGGGTCACACAGTTAGTAAGTGTCAAGTATTTGAGGCCAGATTTGAACTCAAGTCCTCCTGACTCCAGGGCCAGGCACACAAGTAGAGTTTAATTTGTCTAGGACATTCAGTTCAAAATGTCTGAAAGGCAGTTGGAGATGGGAGACTGGAGGTCAGCAGACAGTTTGGGGCAGGAAAGGTAGATCTGAGAATCAACAGAAGAGATGATCGTGAAATCTGTGGGAGCTGATGAGGTCACTCAGTGTGGCAGGCTAGAGGGAGAAGAGAAGACGTCTCAGGACAGAGTTCCAGGGGAATCCATGGTTAATGGGTGGGACTTGGAAGAGGACCCAGCAAAGGAGACCAAAAAGGAGTGGACAGAGTGGCAGGTGGAGAACCAGGAGAACGCAGTGTCCCAAAAGCTGAGAGAGAAGAGTATCAAAGGGGGACAGTGGTCAACAACATCCAGGCTGCCCAAGGTCAAGAAGAAGAGGATTGAGAAGAAGGTCATTAGGCCTGGCAGCTAAGGGACACTGGTCACACTGGAGGGAGCTATTTCAGGGCAATGACAAGTTTGGAGGCCAGGCTATGGAGGACTGACAGCAAGAGGAAAGGAAGGCAGAATAGCCACTTCTCACTTGTCCTAAGCACTGGGGAAGTCAAGACTGGATTCTTCCTCTAGCTCAAATCTACAAGCTCCTGGGAGAAACTTCTATCCCAACTCACCTCGAAGAGCACTCTGAAAAACTGGAGAGATCTGAGCCCCACCTACTGCCTGCTCCCCCAAAGCATTGCCCAGGAGTTGTGGGACTTACCCGAAAAGCAACCTGGGCTTCTGCGAGGAGCAGCCAGGCAGGCTGATAAGAGTCCATCTCCAGAAGTACTTCAGCCTTGTACATCCACAGATATGGGAAGGAAATACCCTGCAGTCCTTTCCTTGTCTGCTCATTGATCTCTAAAACCTAGAACACAATACAGCCATTAAGAAATTGCCTCCTCTGAAATACTCACGGTTAACATTTATATGGCACCCACTACGTGCCTGGCACTGTGCCAAGCTCTTTACAATTATCTGCTCTGATTCTCACAATGATCCTGGGAAGAAGGTGCCATTATTTACCCTTGTCTAACAGATAGGGAATAGGGGTAAACAGAGGTTAAGTGACTTGCCCAGGGTCACATAACCACTAAATGTCTTGAGTTGGATTTGAACTCATGTCTTCCTGACTCTAATGCATCTAATGTACCTCCTAGCTGCCTCCAACCAGAAACACCAAGGGAAGCTCACAAACAAAAATGAAATGTGACAAAAGGCAGGATCTGGCACCAAAGGGAGCACATGCTGAAGACCTTCCTGGAGCCCTCCTAGCTGGCTAAGCAAAGTTTGTTAAAGACAACCTCCATTTTTCATCAATGACTCTCTGAATACAAGGGAGTCCTGCAAGAGGATCTTTTAAAAAAATGATGTGTGAATATATACATATACGTACACACACACGTGTGTGTGTGTGTGTGTGTGTATGTGTGTGTGTGTGTGTGTGTGTGTGTGTGAACTCTAGGGAGCTAGATAGAGCAAAAGATAGAGTGCTGAGCCTGAGTTCAAATCTGTTCTCAGATGCTTCCTAGCTGTGTAACCCTGGCAAGCCACTTAAACCAGTTTGTCTCAGTTTCATCTAAGAAATGAGTGAGAGATGGAAATGGAAAATATTTTTGCCATGAAAACCACAAATGGGGTCATGAAGAGTCAGACATGACCAAAAAACGACTCAACAACAACAATACGGAAGGGGGGGCAGGGAGGGAGGGGGCAAGGAGAGAGAGGAGAGAGAGAGATGGGGAGAGAAGAGAGAGAAAGAGAGACAGGAGAGAAGAGAGACAGGAGAGAAGAGAGAAAGAGAGAGAGAGGAGAGAGAGAAAGAGAGAGAGGAAGCAGAGGAGAAGAGAGAGAGGAGAGAGAGAAAGAAAGGGGGAGAGAGGGGAGAGAAGAGAGAGAGAGGAGAGAAGAGAGAGAAAGAGGGGGGAGAGAAGAGAGAGGAGAGAGAGAGAGAGGAGAGAGAGAGAGAGAGAGAGAGAGAAAGGAGGGGGAGAGGAGAGAGAGAAGAGGCAGAGGAGAAGAGAGAGAAAGAGAGAGAGAGAGGAGGGGGAGAGAAGAGAGAGAAAGAGAGAGAGGAGAGAGAGAGAGAGAAAGAGAGAGGGGGAGAGAAGAGATAGAGAAGAGAGAGAGGAGGCAGAGGAGAAGAGAGAGAGGAGAGAGAGAAAAAGAGAGAGAGAGGAGGGGGGAGAGAAGAGAGAGAGGAGAGAAGAGAGAAAGGGGGGAGAGAGAGAGGAGAGAGGAGGGGGAGAAGAGAGAAGAGAGAGAGAAAGAGAGAGAAGAGAGAGAGAGGAGGCAGAGGAGAAAAAAGAGAAAGACAGAAGAGAGGGAGAGAGAGAGAGAAGAGAGAGAGAGGAGAAAGAGAGAGGAGAGAGAGAGGAGGCAGAGGAGAAAAAAGAGAAAGACAGAAGAGAGGGAGAGAGAGAGAGAGAGAGAGAGAGAGAGAGGAGAGAGAGGAGAGAGAGAGGAGAGAGAGAGGAGAGAGAAGGAGAGAGAGAGAGAGAGAGGAGGCAGAGGAGAAGAGAGAGAAAGAGAGAGGAGAGAGAGGGGAGAGAGAGGAGAGACAGAGAGGAGGCAGAGGAAAGAAGAGAAAGAAAGAGAGAGCGAGGAGAGAGAGAGAAAGAAGGAGAGGGAGAGAGGAGAGAGAGGAAAGAGAGGAGAGAGAGGTATTCCTTTGCAATACCACAACAGAGATGCTCTGTAACTCCATAGCAATCTGATTCATCTGCCTCGGCATTGTGAGAGGTTTGTGTGTGTCTCTTGTCTCCCCAACTCTCGGGCTAAGCCTATCAGCTCCCCCAGGTCTGTGCTGGGCATAAACACCCACGCCGGTTAGGCACTGACCACTATCCTGGATGCTGGATGAGAAAACAGCTCAGATCCCATGTGAGGCCTGCCCTCAAGCAGCTTGCCATCTAGCTGAGGGGGCTCAGGCAAGATCCCAATATGGATGACTACAGTGTACAGTCTGTCACCAGAGTGGGGCTCAGAGCCAGCCAGATTGCAGAGGCCGTTACCCCGGGGGAGGAAGGAGGCAGACACGGGCAGGCCAAGCTGGATGGATGTCTGCTGACGAATGATCCCTCATGACCCAGTACAAATGAACCAAGGAAAGCCCCGGTGGGGGGGGAGGGACAAGTGTCCCAGAGAAGAGGCCCTTCCCGTTACCTTGTCCTTGGCCTCTAGAACCTCAGGCGCGGGCCTGCTCTGATTCACGGGCCTGTTCTCTTCACTGGCCGCTTCCTTCAGAAATTCACTTCTTTTCTCTTTCCTCAATCGAACTTCATTTCTACAACTAATTAGAACACACATTTAAAACACTGTGGCATCTGCCAAAATTATAAGGGCAAAATAAAATCTGTGCCAAGGGGCACTGCCATCCAAAATGAGTGCTATCGTCATCCCCACCAGGTTCTGAGACCAAGCTCTTCCAGTGGCAAAGCATTCTGGGAGAATGAGAACTGGTTGCCTTCAAATAAACTTCATTTCCCTATACACACGTAGCACGAGGCTCTCCATTTTACAGAAGAGAAGACTGTGTAGAGAGGAAGAGCTGTTTGCATGCATCAGAGCTAGGAGTCAAACCCAGGCTCTGGCTGTGCTGTTTTGTTTTGTTTTGTTTTGTTTTGTTTTGTTTTGTTTTGTTTTGTTTTGTTTTGTTTGTTTTGTTTTGTTTTTCTTTTTCTTTTCTTTTCTTTTCTTTTCTTTTCTTTTCTTTTCTTTTCTTTTCTTTTCTTTTCTTTTCTTTTCTTTTCTTTCCTTTCCTTTGCTTTGGCGAGGCAATTGGGGTTATGCAACTTGCCCAGAATCACACAGCTAGTGAGTGCTAAGTGTCTGAGGCCAGATTTGAACTCAGGTCCTCCTGACTCCAGGGCTAGGTACCACCTAGCTGCCCCCAGTTGCTAATCTTTCAAAGCTGTTCATCTTTACCACACTGTTGTCAACAGCTCCCCTGGGTCTGCTCTTTCCCTTCTGCATCAGATTTCTCTGAAGCCACCCCCTTTTTGTATTCCATCACAATCCTATATCAGAGCTTGTCCAGCCATTCTCCAACTGACGGGCAACCCTCAGATTCCAGAAGATCCCTTTTAAGGTTTCTTCATGTCTAGGCTGGGCAGCGTGAGCAGCCCCCCAACTGGCCTACACTGCTGCCCTCCTTAGCCAGGACCTCCCCAGCGCCACACTGACCTGGCTTGCTCCAGCTCATTGATGTAGACACCTCCCACAATTTCTTCATGGAAGGCTGCTGCTTCTGATAACCGCAACTGGGAGCAGGCCAGAGCCAGCCTGTGGACATAAGGGGCAATGCTTACCACATTGTGAGCACTGGCCAAGGCCCAGGTGAGGGCCCACCCCACCCAACAGAACCCTGCCCCTGCCCAGAAGAAGAAAGGACTCTGCTAGGGGCCCACGGGCAAGGAGCCCAGGCAGGGCTTCAGCCCAGGCCTCAGATATCCAGGCGAGCAGGGGCTGCCCAGGTTGGGAAGGTCTACATTCAGAGCTGGGGGCCTAGGCAGGTCCCTTTTCCTTCTTCCCAGGCTTCAGTGTCCTCATCTGTAAAATGGATTCAAAGGCCTCTAAAGCCTGTGATTTGGAAGAAAACCTTTGAAACCAGAACGTGACATTGCCAGAGAACAATCAGCCTGAATGTGTTTCAAGCGGCAAACACATATAACTGTCCCCTGTTACTGGAATCACTCATTGTCAGCCTCGGTGTGCAGAGAAAGGAAACCTGCAGGACACATGTCCTTCGAAGCTGCTACCTGGACCCTGCCCTCCCAGGAGGCTCAGGCATGCCCATATTCTGCCCTCCAGAGGCTAGCCAAGAAGGCCACAGCTTTGGAGATGCCGCTTTGACTTTCCACAGCACAGACCACTCCTCTAGCTTAGATCTGTCAATGGCTAGCTCCCCTTGCCTGGAGAGGTCTGCTTATGGCATGTGCCATGCCATGGCACCATGAACCTCTGCAGACCACCACAGATGACCCTAGTGGACCTGTCTGCCTCTTCCAGAAAGCCCAGCATTGGAAGTGGAGAAGTTTCAGCTCTTAAGCAACTCTGTCCTGCACTTCCCTAAACTGCTACTAATTTCCCCCTCTGGAAAAGGAGACAGGGACAGCTAGGGAGCGCCATAGTGCACAGAGTGTGGGTCCAGAGATAGAAACACTCAACTTCTGAGTTCAAATCTGGCCTCAGACACTTACTAGCTGTGTGACCTTGGGCAAATCACCTAACTCTGCTTGCCTCAGTTTCCTCATCTGTTAAAAGAGTTGAAGAAGAAAATGGCAAACCCCTCCAGTATCTGTGCCAAGAAAACTTCAAATGGGCTCATGGAAAGTTGTACATGACTGAAAAATGACTCAACAACAATAGGAGGTAGGTTGTACAGACCTGAGGTGGTAGAGGTCGGAGACAGTTTTACTTTCCATAATTAGGTCAGAAATCACCACAGCATACTGGAGGATGGGAAGCGTGAGGTGGACGAGATAAAGTGAATTCAGTGCCTTTACCAGATGGTCCAGGTAGTACAGGCTGAAACTCTGCACGGACACAAAGCACAAGACCAGTGGTCAGAGGAGAGCCTAGGAAGTGGGGGGCAGGGACTGAAGGCTGCTTCACATTTCTAGAAGGAAGTAATGAAGGAAGGAAGGAAGGAAGGAAGGAAGGAAGGAAGGAAGGAAGGAGGGAGAGGGAGGGAGGAGGGAGGGAGGAAGGAAGGAAGAAGGAAGGAAGGAAGGAAGGAAGGAAGGAAGGAAGGGAGGGAGGGAGGGAGGGAGGAGGGAGGGAGGGAGGAAGGGAAAGAGGAGGAAGGAGGGAGGGAGGAAGGGAGGGGGGAAGAGAGGGAAGAAAGAAGGGAGGGAAGAAGGAAGGAAGGAAGGAAGGAAGGAAGGAAGGAAGGAAGGGAGGGAGCGAGGGAGGGAGCAAGGGAGAGAGGGAGGGAGGGAGGAAGGGAGGAAGGGAGAAAGGGAGGAAGGAAGGAATAAAGGAAGGGAGGGAGGAAGGAAGGGAGGAGGGGGAAGGGAGGGAGGGGGGAAGGAAGAGAGGGAAGAAAGAAGGGAGGGAAGAAGGAAGGAAAGAAGGAAGCGAGGAAGGGAGGGAGGGGGAAGGAAGAGAGGGAAGAAAGAAGGGGGAAGAAGGAAGGAAGGAAGGAAGGAAGGAAGGAAGGAAGGAAGGGAGGGAGGGAAGGAGGGAATGAGTCAGGGAGCGAGGGAAGGAGGCAGGGAGTGAGGTTGGGAGGCAGGGAGGGACTCAGAGAACGAGGGAGGGAGGGAGGAAGGGAGAAAGGGAGGGAGGGAGGAAGGGAGAGAGGGAAGAAAGAAGGAAGGAAGGAAGGAAGGAAGGAAGGAAGGAAGGAAGGGAGGGTGGGAAGGAGGGAGCAAGGGAGAGAGGGAGGGGGAAGGGAGGGAGAGAGAGAGGGAGGGAGGAAGGGAGGAAGGGAGAAAGGGAGGAAGGAAGGAATAAAGGAAGGGAGGGAGGAAGGAAGGGAGGGAGGAAGGGAGGGAGGGGGGAAGGAAGGAAGGGAGGGAGGAAGGGAAGGAGCGAGGGAGGGAAGAGGGAGGGAGGGAATCAGGGAGCAAGGGAAGGAGAGTGTGTTCTCTTCTCTTCTCCCTCCTCATCTAAAAGAACAGCAGAACAGAAACCAGGGCCCAGAAGGAGTCGCACAAGAAACCAAAATGTCCCTTCCTCCTCTACTGAACAGTGTCTTCTTGCTGACATATACACACAGAAAGATGTCTCCAGAAACATCCTCCTGCCATCCTGCCTTCTTATCCATATCTTAAGGCATGGGGGCAGCCACATGGAGAGGGGTCTGATTGAGCAGGGCAGAGTCTCCAACAAGGTAAGCAGACAGACACAGGGACCACTCACAGGCCTCAGGACTGTGTTCTTATTGATGGTGGAGTCACTGGCATCCTGGATGAAGAGGGCGATCACATCCTTGTGGCAGTGGTAGAAAGCCCACTCTTCCACACTGGCTGGCAAAGCCTCGATTGGTTTATTGGCCATTATCAGCTGCATCTGCTCAGGGCAGAGATCAACATTAGCTGCACCGTGGACCAATGCCACATAGGCACAGAGGTCAGGGAGTCTACATTCTTCAGGCACCGGTTCTTGCCAACTTTCTCCTTGAATCCCCAAATGGCCACTTACTTAATAAAGCAAACTTGTGAGCATAGAAGGGCTTCTCTGGAGAACTTAGTGACTTCCTCCTGACTGGCCAGAAAAACACTGGGAGAAAACCACTAGATGGAAGTGTCACTTCCAGGAAACAAGCCTCCTCGACCTGACTCTGGGCCTCAAGCTCCACCACTGGGAACCTGAAACATGGGCTCCCTTTCAAAAATCAGCTCACCCTCAACAGCTCTTGGCTGAGATTTTTCTCCTTCTGCTTGTTTTTATCTTTGTCCTTGCCCTTCTCCTTTTTCTTCTCTTTTTCCTTTTTAAGGGATGTAGATTGTACACTCGGTTCTGGTGGGCTTTCTTGGAAGGTTTGAAGAACATTCCCCACTGTTTCTAAGGAGACCTGGACAAGAGAAGGGAAACAGGAATCCCGACCCATCAGCAAAGAATACACTCCCAGTGCATACCTCCTCCCACTCCCCACTGGATCAGAAAGGGCTGGGAAATAGGAGCTCTGATGCTTCTCCAGGGATGCCTGTGGATGCTTCTTCATCCAAAGGCAAATGGCCTTTTATGAAATAAGAATGGGGGCACTGAGGGAGTCCATTGTCCCATTACAGGGACACCACATGGGAAGAAATCTCACCTCTTTTGTCTGAGTAGTGCCCTTTGATCTTCCTCCTTACCCCCCTCCATCCCATCCCCCACAAAGCTATGGAAGGCCAACCTTGGGGAGCACTTGTGCTACACCCACAAAGGAGACTTTGATAGGATGTCTACAAAGAATGAAAAATCAGACCAGGGGGACATTTGTAGAGAACCTTTTCCCCTTGAAATGCTTCTTCCTTTCCACAGGACATGCTACCACTACTGGACATGGTATGGGTCCTACAGTGCCATTGATGCCAGTGGCTGTGGGACTAGGAGGAGGGAAGGAATATTGGGAACAAATGGGAGCTGGCCCTTTCAAGAGATGAGATGGGTACATGGCCAAGGACTCTGTGAGCTGAGGGTTGAGAAGGAGAGTGGTACAGGGGGAAGCAAACTTGGTGGTGGTGACAAGGAATAGGACCTAGAACTTGACCTTCATTCCTGGCAAAGCCCTCCAATGTATTGTAATGGTACAGTGAGTAACCACACAGAAAGGGAAGCAGAAATCCCCAAAAAACAGTTCTATTTCTTGAGGCATCCTCTTCAGTGGATATTTGTTCCTCGTTTTCCATTTGGCCAATTCTGCAGATAAAGGACATCCCCTTAAGTGCAGAGGTATTACAACTATTTGATTACGGAGAAAGGTATGTATATGTGTGATTTATCTATGTTTTGGCAAAATATTTGACAGTTTTCCACACAAACCTTGAAATGGTTGTGAGATGAGGGTTAGACAATAGTAAAAATCAGATGAATTTGGAATTGGTTAAATGACTGGAGCCAACAGACAGATGCTCATTCATGTCCAAGGTCAACATGACAGAAGATCTCCAGCTATTTAATACTGTTCTCACAGACTTGGAGAAAAGCACAGAGGGCCTGCTCATCATATAGAAAAAAGGCAAAAATGGGATGGACAGCTAGCTCCATTGGATGATGGTCAGGACACCAAGATTCATGATGATCTTGAGAATTAGCCTGAATCTAAAAGGGTGACACATAATGGGGATAAATGTAAACTTTTCATTGAGTAACAAAAATCAACCCCAAGAGTATTGTATGGGAGAGGCATAGCTAAAGAACAGCTTCCTGGGGGAAAATGTGGAAGTATTATGTGGAAGATGGATCAGATTTTACTTCAGTTTGGCCCCAAAGAACATTGCTGCAAAGAGGTCAGTTGGAGCTGGAGAAAAGGGAAAACTTGCTTGATCAGAAATATCTACCATGATTATTGGATGACAACCACATTGATGCCACTGAGATTTTGTGAAAGATGTGAATTTGAAAGCCAAAGTGAGTACAAGGGAGGTGGGAAAAATGAAGGTGGGGCAAATAGATCAAGAATCACAAATGAGACTACCAAGGTCAGTCATTGAGAAGACGCATCTTGTATTTCCTGAATCCTTGCTAGAGATGACCTGGAAGGTGCTGATGAGGACTAACAACCATCAGTGATGATTCCTCAAGTGCATCTGGTATGAAACTCCCAGTCTGTCTGCAGTGTGGAGGCCAGGGAGAAGCCAACACAAGGACCGTGCAATTACGATGATTCCATTCCAACTGATAGATAGGTCCAAGCAATGACAAACTGTCCTCTTTGAGATGAGCTTTAGCAAGAGGAAACCATCATGGGGAAAAGGCTTCAGGAGCTCAAGATCAGCTTAGTCACCAAGATTTCAACCCCCAACAGAGAAAGACACTCAAGAACAAAGGGATCATTCTGAGATCTCTTTCAGAAGGTGATTGGTGGATTTTTTCAATTTCTATTTTACCCTGTGATTCTGGGATAACGGGCAGTTTTCCTTGATAATTTCTTGAAATACAATGTCTAGCCTCTTTTTTTTTTCTGGTCATGACTTTCTGGTAGTCCAATAATTTTTAAATGATCTCTCTTCAATCTATTTTCCAGGTCAATTATTCTTCTGATGAGATATTTCACCATTTCTTCTATTTTTCCCATCTATATGACTTTGTTTTGTTTTGTTTGCTTGTTTTGTTTTGTTTTGTTTTGGTGTCTCATGGAATCATTAGCTTCCCCTTGGCCAATTCTAATTTTTAAGGAATTATTTTCTTCAGTGACCGTTTGTAGCTCTTGTCCCATTTGGCCAATTATGCTTTTTAAGCCATTCTCCTCTTCAGTGGATTTTTGTGCCTTTTTTTTTTTGCCATTTGACCACTCCTATTTTTTTAAGATATCATATTCTTCAGTATTTTTTTTTGCCTCTTTTACCAAGTTGTTGACTTTATTTTCACAATTTTCTTGCATCACTCTCATTTCTTTTTCTAATTTTTTCCTCTACCTCTCTCATTTAATTTTTTTTTTAATTTAGAACTCTTCTGGGAAGTCTTTTGGGGCCTGTGACCAATTAACATTTTTCTTGGAGGTTCTGCATGCAGCTGTTTTGACTTTGTTGTCTTCCTCTCAGTTTGTGTCTTGATATTTCCTGTCACCATAGTGACTTGTTATGGTCAGTTTCCTTTTTTGTTGTTTACTCATTTTCCAGACTATTTTTTGACTTTTAAAGTTGGGTTCTGCTCCTAGGGTGGAGGTGGCACTGTTCCAAGATTTAGGTCTTTCATGTTTCTATTTTCAGAGCTAGCTCCAGGAGTTTGTAGGTTTTTGGTTCTTCCAAGGTGGTATGATATAATGAGAGGGGTGGTCACTGCTGCCCTGGCCTGTGCTCTGGTATTTTGTATCCCTGTAGCCACCAGTGTTAGTACTTCTCCTGGCCCTGGGACTGTGACCAGGTCCCCTGCTCTCCTACAGCTATAATTACTATTGCTCCCCTCTATCTTGGAATCGAGAGCCTGTACCCTACCCCCCAACAGTGACCACAAGCACTTCTCTCCTCCCTAGAATGCTGACCAGGGCCCTTGCCACAAGTGTTATCTATTGCACCTTTTGGTCCTGCGATTGTAATCTAGAACTACATATGGGCAAAGAAATAGGGTCCTGGAACCATCTCCAGCAAAGGGTCCCCTGAAATCTCCCTGAAATTGCCCCACCTGCTATCCCTGGGCTGAGAGTTCCCATAGTCGCTGCTGCAGCCAATGCAGCCATCCCCAAGCTGGAACACTCAAAGCGCCATCCTCAGGCCCCCCACTGCCCTGGTGACCACACACGCTGGCTGGGGCCAGAACTTGTTTCACCCGAATCTTGTGTTAGCTCTGCCACAACGACATTTGACTTGTGGCATTGTCTTAAAGCTGTTTGGAGGGGAATTTGGGAGAGTGTGGCTCAATGCTTCTCCACTCTGCCATTTTGGCTCCTGGAACCTAAGCAGACTTTCACTGACTCAAAGCAAGTCAAGTATTTGAAAAGTTGTTATTCATCAATTAACTAATTAGTATTGTTTGAAAATGAAAACAATGTTATGGGGCAGTGCTGTGCTGACCAAGGCAAAGGATGTGAATATGTGACCAAGAAGAAGAAGGTGGTTAATAATGAGCAGATTGGGTCTGAGGCCAAGCTTTCTGGTCATTGATAGCTGAGGAGTTCTTGGAAGAGAAGGCAGGAACCTGACATCTCTAGGGATCGGCACAGGATCTGGTCTGTGCTTGACCAGCCAGGACAGTCTCACAGTCAACCTCTCAAGTACCAGGGTTCAGGGTCTTCTCTTGCTCCCCTAAAGACATGCGGGCACAGTTTAGACTTCTGTGTATCACCGGGGCAGCCCCTGCAGAGGAGTCACTGCCCCATGGAGGTCTGGGTTCTTACCTCCCAAATGCGCATGATGTATCTGTATGCCATCAAACAATTCTCCTCATATCGGGAAGACCCGCTCCCCAACACTAGCGCCAGGAGTGTGTGGGCATAGGCTAGTGACTCCAGCTGCCTCACATTGGTTAAGGTCTCCAGTGTCACCTTTGGAACTGCCTCAGAAGACACTTGCAACAGTCCCTCTTGGTTTGAAGATGTTTTGTCTGCAAAACAAAAGCAAACCCCCAGCTTAACAAGCACCATTTCATAGAGCTCTTTTAAAGTAAAACATACTGAGTCTCAGAGAGGGCAGTACACAGCTTCAGTTAAAGGAGAAGTCAGGGCTTTGCTTGCATCAAGGGAAGTGGATGGAGAGGAGATGAAGTCCTCTGCCCTCCCCCGCACCAGTCCTCCTCTACTGTGCAGAGCTTCTTGGCAGTGACGTCATCGTCACTCAGGCACCAGGGTTTCAATCCCAGTGGCCAGCACTAGCATAGCAGCTGGGACTGAAGCAGATGCCCCAGTCTGGTAGCCCATTTATGGCCTCAGATTCCTCTCCACAAACATACAAAGTATTCATGCCATAAGTAAGATAAACTGGAAATGCAAATGCAAGAAGTCAAATTGGACCTCCTTGGCATCTCTGGGACATAGCAGGAGGAGACCAAAGAATCAGACCACAGTTGGGGTAGAGGATGCCTTAAGCCTGCAAAGGGAAAAGGAGAGAGAAAATGGGATGGAGGCCATTGGGGAAGGGGGAAACAAAGCACATCACATGCCCATGGGAGGAAATCCAGAAGGTGCAGGGCAGTGGCATGATGGTGAAGATCTGAGTGAGGATCCCTGGAGATAGAGACTGAAGCAAAATTTCCACCAAAATAAATCACAAACCACCTGGTCAGAAAGAAGAAAGAAGCCACGAAGTGATCAAGAAATGGCTGCTAGCCTGGCATGGCATAATAGAGAGAGAGGACTTCAGTTATACAGAAACTGGCAGGCACTCTCTCCCTGCCCCAGAAAGATAACTTCCTTCTTCAAAAAGCGGAGGAGCCATCAAGTCACAATTCCATCCTGGATCTCACACTTTTTTTTTTTTGTGAGGCAATTGGGGCTAAGTGAACTTGCCCAGAGTCACACAGCTAGTAAGTGTCAAGTGTCTGGTCTGAGACCGGATCTGAACTCAGGTCCTCCTGACTCCATGGCTGGTGCTCTATCCACTGTTCCACCTAGCTGCCCCTGATCTTACATTTGGTAACAAGAAGAAGCTTGTTGTGAGGGTATAAATGACAAGAATCTTTAAGAATTTTGACAGGGAAGAAATCTGGTCGTGGCCAAACACGTACTCTTGATTTTTGGAAAGTAAAATCACAGAATCATTGGATAGCAGAGTTAGAAGGGAGAGTGGGTCTGTCTAATCCTACTGATTCCACAGCAACACCACCAGCAACAAATGACATGCCCCACAAACAGACAAATCCTTCTGCAACATGCATGTGTGGTCATTTTTCCATTGTGGGAATGCCTCTAGTGAAGGTGAACCCCTGACTTCCCAACACAGTCCTTTCCACTTCTGGAGAGCCCTAATTCTTAGGGAATTTTTTCCTTAAAAGGAGATTTCATGAAGTTCAGAGAAAATGTAGGTAAGATCCCAGGGACTAAGAAAATTCTAAAAGGGAAGTCTGCCAGGAGGACTGAGAAACTCGAGAATGAAATTCTAAAGACCCAAAGAGAAGCTAGTCAGATAAGAAGAGGGAGAGGACCCTGGAGCATGATGCGGGTGCACAGGGGCTTACGGAGCAGCCAGCTCAGATTTTAGACGTGCCAGGAAGATGGAGGCACATGCAGGGAACAGAAGGGGAAATCATGGTCTAAGTCCTGTTTAAACAGGACCGGGTGTGCTACAGTTTGTAGGAAGCCCGAGGACAAAGAGGAGGGTTCTCGACACGACACTGGGGCCGGACTCCTGCTCAGCAGTGACAAAGAGGACGGTAAGGGGCTCTCTGGGTAGATGCTGGAGTGGCTTCCTGGATATCTGCACCTGCTTTCTCTGTCAAGGAGAATGCCCATCAGAATGAAAAGAGAACTGAAGTGGCCAATATCAAGCTGGATAGATTCATGGTCTGGAGTGGAGTGCATGATTGGTGATGCTCAAGATCAGGAAGGAGATAACATGAGTGAGAGAGAGAGAGAGAGAGAGCACACAGTTATGCTTCATGAGTCCAGGGCACTTGGCCCTGGCAAGCTGCATCTTTGGGTAGAGAAAGAGAAAGAGAAAGCACCAGCCAGGGTGTTGACGGACAAGCCGTGGCCCATAGGTTTTTTTTGTTGTTGTTGCTGTTCATCCAACAATTATTTAATAAGTACATAAAACACCATTTTCATCATATCATTCTATTTCTTTAAAAAAAATTTCAAGGATTCTCCACTGCATATAGAACAATTTTTTTTTGTTTTTTAGTATAAATTTATTTATTTTTAGTTTTCAACATTCTCTTCCACAAGCTTTTGAGCTCCAAATTTTCACCCATCTCCCCCTCCACCCACCCCAAGATGTCATGCATTCTGAATAGCCCTTCCCCTAGTCTGTCCTCTCTTCTATCTCTCTCCCATTCTCTTATCCCCTTCTCCTTCTATTTTCCTGTAGGGCAGGATAGACTTCTGTACCCCATTTCCTATATTTCTTATTTCCCAGTAGCATGTGTAAACATTTTTTTAAACATATGTTTTTAAAACTTTAGATTTCAAATTTTCTGTCTTCCTCCCTCCCCACCCACCTTCACTGAAAAGGCAAGCAACTCAATATAGGTTGTACATGTGCAGTTATGCACATGTACTATTCCATAGTAGACATGTTGTGAAAAACTAACTCTATTTCCCTTAATCCTATCCTGCCCTCCCATTTATTCTATTCTTTCTTTTGACCCTGTCCCTCCTCAGAAGTTTACTTCTGATTACCCCTTTCCCAATCTGCCCTCCTCTCTATCATCCCCCTGCTCTCTTGTCCCCTTCTCCCCCTATTTTCCTGTAGGGTAAGACAGATTTCCATACCCAATTGAATGTGTATGTTATTCCCTCCTTAAGCCAAATCCTATGAGAATAAGATTCATTCATTCCCTCTCACCTTCCCCCGTTTCCCCTCCACTGTAAGAGACTTTTCCTGTTTTTTTTGTGAGATAATTTACCCCATTCTACCTCTCCCTTTCTTCTTCTCCAAGTATAATCCTCTCTCATCCCTTAATTTTATTCTCCAGATATGACCCCTTAATCTTCAACTCACCCTGTGCCCTCTATCTATCTACATATACATACACATATAATTTTTTCCTCCAACTACCCTAATACTGACAAAGGTCTCATGAGTTATAAATATCCTCTTTCCATGCAGGAATGTAAACAGTTCAATCTTAATAAGTCTCTTATGATTTCTCTTTCCTGTTTACCTCTTCATGTTCCACTTGAATCTTGTATTTGAAAGTCAAATTTTCTATTGAACTCTGGTCTTTTCATCAAGAATGCTTGAAAGTCCTCTATTTCACTGAATGACCATTTTTTCCCCTGAAGGATTATACTCAGTTTTGCTGGGTAGGTGATTCTTGGTTGTAATCCTATCTCCTTTGCCCTCCGGAATATTATATTCCATGCCCTGCGGTCCTTTAATGTAGAAGCTGCTAAATCTTGTGTTATCCTGATTGTGTGTCCACAGTACTTGAATTGTTTCCTTCTGGCAGCTTGTAATATTTTCTCCTTGACCTGGGAACTCTGGAATTTGGCTACAATATTCCTAGGAGTTTTCCTTTGGGGATCTCTTTCAGGAGGAGATCTGTGGATTCTTTCAATTTCTATTTTGCCCTCTGGTTCTAATATATCAGGGCAGTTTTCCTTGATAATTTCTTGAAAGATGATGTCTAGGCTCTTTTTTGATCATGGCTTTCAGATAGTCCAATAATTTTTAAATTCTCTCTCCTGGATCTATTTTCCAGGTCAGTTGTTTTTCCAATGAGATATTTCACATTGTTTTCTAATTTTTCATTCTTTTGGATTTTTCTACTGTGTCTTGATTTCTCATAAAGTCACTATCTTCCAATTGCTCTATTCTAATTTTTAAGGAAGTATTTTCTTCAGTAAGCTTTTGGACTTCCTTTTCCATTTGGCCAATTTTCTTTTTAGGGCATTTTCTCCTCATTGGCTTTTTGGACCTCTTTTGCCATTTGGGTTAGGCTTTTTAAGGTGTTATTTTCTTCAGTATTTTTTTGGGTCTCCTTTAGCAAGCTGTTGACTTGTTTTTCATGATTTTCTTCATCTCACTCTCAGTTTTTCCTCTACTTCCCTTACTTGCTTCTCAAAATCCCTTTTGAGCTCTTCCAAGGCCTGGGACTGATTCATATTTTTCTTGGAGGCTTTGGATGTAGGAGCTTTGACTTTGTTGTCTTCTTCTGGTTGTATATTTTGATCTTTTTCACCAAAGTAAGATAATATAGTCTGACTCTTTTTGCGCTGCTTGCTCATGATCCGGCCAATTACTTGAGTTTTAAACTCTTTGTTAAGGTAGAATCTGCTTCCAATGTGGAGAATGTACTGTCCCAAGCTTCAGGGTTTGTACAGCTGTTTTCAGAGATACTTGTAGGGACCTGTAAATTTTCAGTTCTTCCAAGGTGGTATGATAAGGGGAGGTGTTTACTCCTTTCCTGGCCTGTGACACAAGTACTTTCTGTCCTGTAACTGTGAGGAGGGTTCCTCTCCACAGCCACTACAAGCTCCACCAGCCAGGCTCCTCCTCACCCCAGCACTGCCACCCAGAACTGTGGCCCAGATCCAAACATGGGCAAAGCAAGAGATTCCTGCCTCAGCACTGGCAAAGAGATTCCTGCAATCCCTCTCTGATCAGCCACTGGATTTCCCCTCAGTCTGTGGGCCAGAAGCTGGGAAGCAGCTGGCCCCCAGGGGCACGCTCTTGGGGAATGGAGCTGAGACCCCACCTTCCTTTCTCAGCACTGACAGAAACAGACTTTTCCCAATGACCTTCTAAGTTGTCTTTGGCATTGGTGGATTGGGGAGTTTGGAAACCTCCACAGCTGCCCAAAATTCAGTTCTCTGAGGCCTGCTCCAGGTTCGCTGTGGCCCACCTTTGCTGCGCTCCTAGGCCCCCAGCCCAGTGTGATACACCTTTCTGATCAATAATCCAGGTTGTCTTGGGCTGGAAATTTGTTTCACTCTGTCTTTTTGTGGGTTCTGCTGCTTCAGAATTTGTTTAGAGCCATTTTTTACGAGTATTTGGAGGGGTTTGGAGGAGAGCTCAAGCAAGTCACTGCTTTCACTCCACCATCTTGGCTCCGCCCCCCAGAACAAAAAAAAATCTGTGGCCCATAGGTTTTCAAGAGGGAAGATGTTTGCAAGTCTGTCTACTGTTCATATCAGCATCTCTTCCTCTAACTGGAGGGCTTTCCCTTCCTAATGCTCAGCTTGGATCACGTCACTCCCTGCTCAGTAAACCTCAGTAGCTCCCTGTCACCTCCAGGACCAAATATAAAATCCTCTGCTGGGTGTTCAAAGCCCTTCATTACCTGCTGCCTCCTCCATCTCTCTGTCTCTCCCCCTCTCCCTCTCCCTCCTTCTCTCCTCTCCCTCCCTTCCCCCCATCCCCATGCCTTTGCACACTGACACTTCTTTCAGTGCTTGCCTGAAACACCCCCTTTTTCAGGCAGCCTTCTCAGATTCCTCCCCAAACTCTCTGGTGTTACTGTTTTGATTCTTTATCTCCTTGCTGTGTTTGCTGATTGACACAATGGAAGCTCCTTGAGATCAGGGATGAAGTCAGTCTCGATTCTGTATGATCCCATGGTAAGCTCCTAACTCCTGAGTGCTCCCCCAGGAGGCCCCTCCCTCTGACTGGAGCGGGCGGAGGTGAGGATGAGAGAGCTCCTCCCAGATGCTCTGCCTCTGAAGGAGGGCGCCCAGAGAATTCACTTCACTGTTTCCCAGACAGCTACTCTGATGGACTTCATAATATCTACAAACTCCTTATTCTGATAGATGAAATCACATCTGAAACCTCGTGCTGGGCAACCTCCTTTCCCTCCCTTCACCTTCTTCTTATGTGGTGTCTCTCCCATTAGAGGGCAGCTAGGGGGCGCCCCAGTGCACAGAGTGCTGGGCCTGACGGGGACGTCAGTGGGAGCCATAGTGGATAGAGTGCCCAGCCTGGAGTCAGGAAGACTCATCTTCCGAGTTCAAATCTGGCCTCAGACACTTCCTAACTGGGTGACCCTGGGCAAGTCACTTAACCCTGTTTGCCTCAGTTCCCTCATCTAGAAAATGGGCTGGAGAAGGAACTGACAAACTACTCCAGCATCTCTGCCAAAAAAAAACCCCCAAAACAAAAAAAAAAAACAAAACCCAAATGGGATCACAGAGAGTCAGACACCACTGAAATGACACTGAAGTGCTCTCCCATTAGACTGTGAACTCCTTGAGGGTAGGGCACTTTTTCCAATTCTTTGTAAACCAGTGCCAAGTGCAGTGCCTGGCACACAGGAGGTGCTTAAGCAATGTTTCCAGACTCTGACTCACGCCTGCAGATCAGCCAATGGTTTTCAATGGGACAAGGCTGATGGGGGGTTTACAGCTGGGCTTCTGAGAACCAGGGAAGGGGGGGGGCAGCCAGGGCAAACGTACCCAAGTCAGCCTCCTCCTCCACACCAGCATCCTCCATTGGGATCGGCGAAGAGTACATCTCCTTGCTTGGGCAACGTGGTGTCCTCATGCTAAGGAGGAGGTCAATGGCCCAATCCAGGTGGAATGTGATGTTGTTCAGAGGAAAGTGATTGCAGTACAGCCACTCAGAAAACTCCATCAGGTAATAGATCTTCTTCCAGGTGCCCTCGGGTTTCTTGGGGGAAAGAATAAAATGGAATCTCAAGGAGAGAGCTGACCCATTGAGGCAGTTTTGAGTAACCGAGAAACCAAGACAGGGCTGGTGAAAGGCATCACAAAAGCTTGGCCTGTGGGTAGCTTAATAAATGTTCATAGAGTGGTTGCTGAAATGAATGGGATTTCCTGAGGCAGATAAATGAAGGCCGGTGCCTGGAGGCACTCTACAAACCACCAGGGATGTTGCTCAAGACTGACTCAAAAGCCCAGGGCTCCCTAGTGTGTTTTTGTTAGAGAATCGTCCTATGACCAATCAACCCGTCGATAAGCATTTATTCAGCTCCTACTACGTGCCGGGCACTGTGCTAAGCACACATCAACAAAAGCAAAACTGACTTTTTTTTATTCAAAAAGAAAAAAAAGGGCCAGCAAGCAAACAAGTCACCTCAGGCAGCAAAAATGCTCACCGTGGACACCCCCTTTGTCTCCATCCCCAACCTGCAGCGGTGGGGGCAGGGATTCCTTCCCAGACTAGCCTTCTTCCAAACTGCCCCTTCCCTGGCCCAGACCTCATGGTGGGCAGGGGCTTCTGCCCTTGTTTCCCCCTTCACCTGGGCGGCTGATCTTGGACAAGATGAGAGTTAACAGCTCCCCTCCTTCAGAAGCGGTAGGTAATGGTGAGCACCAGCGCTTCCCATCTGCCAGGCCCTGTCATTGCCTGAGGACCTCTGGGCCCTGTGCCCACTCCATCACTGCTCCCTCAGGCTCCCTGACCTTGCCACCTGCACTGCTGCCCCACCACACTTTCTACCCCCCAGTAGAGCAGAAGACCCTTGAGAACGGCCTCGTCCGACTTTTCCTATTTGTGTCCTGGGGGCTCACGCTGCGTGTGGCACATGGGAGGCTCAGCACATGCTCGTGCTCTTTCATTCACTCACTCACTAAGGGTGCACTGCATGCCGGGCATTGTGAAAAGTGTTCTCTATCTGTCTATGCATGGTTTGGTCAGGAGGATGAGCCTGCACGGGCGTGTGGTGGTCTGTGCACTATGGCGCCCCCTAGCTTCCCCATCTATCCATCTACCTGCCGTCTTCCTTTGCTGCCCATCTATCCAGGCACTCCTCGATTAGATAGATCCCCCCTGTGCCTGTTTCTCCACACTCCATCTGTTTACTCCCCTGTCAAAAGTGTCACGGAGGAAACACAGGAATAGCAGGCCTCTTATGAAACGCCACTGCACCCCCCCCCCACGGGACCTGAACGACGTGCCCCGCCCGAGGCACACCCACAGTGGTCCGGGTGAGGTCTGAGCTCTCAGGCGCGGCGCCCCCCTCACATACAGCCCTTGAGCTGCACTCTGGCGCCAAGTCACTTGCGGGGTCTGCTTTTGGCGGGCAGCCATGACTGGCTTAGGGCTTAGTCAGACCCTCAGGAAAAGGAGGAAGGGAAAGGGGAAAGCGTTTATTAAGTACCGACCATGTGCCAAAGGGCAGCAATGGCTAGAACACTGGGCCTGGAGTCAGGAAGACCCGAGGTCAAATCTGACCCCAGACACTTCCTAGCTGGGTGACCCTGGGCAAATCCCTTCACTCTGCCTCAGTTTCCTCCTTTGTAAAATGAGCTGGAGAAGGAAATGGCAAGACATGCCAATATCTTTGCCAAAAAAAATCCAAATTAGGTCATGGAGAGTCAGACAAGATTGAAACAACTGAACAACATGAACTCCTGGGAGGAAGGTGCTAATATTATTTCAATTTTACAGACGAGGACACTGAGGCAGACAGAGATGAAGTGATTTGTCCAGGGTCGCACAGCTTTTAAGTGTCTGAGGCTGTATTTAAACCCAGGTCTCTCTGACTCCAGGCCCAGCACCCTATTTATTATGCAACACACCTGCCTAGTTTTAATAGAAGGGAATACATTTTCAAAAAATACAATTTGGCTAATTACTTATTAAACCTAAATGGGAAAATATCCCAAGCCATGCCAACTGGGAGTAATCATCAGGCATGCTGGGAGCCCTCCTCTCCCTCTGGCGCTGCTTTCTGTCTACAGCAGACTCCTTTCTGTGCTGTGAGCAGCCTCTCCACTACGCCCTGTCTCCTGCAGTCTGGGGGCCTTCCCCTGACCTGCCTCTCTCACTGCTGTGATGGAGGTCCTGCCCTCACAAGCATCTGTTCCAAGAGGCCCAAATGGCATCGCAGGCCCAGCCCCTGTCAGCACTCAGCAGCATCCTTCCCCTGGCAGGGGGATGGGCTCACTCGTCTCGGGCTCAAGAGAGCACAACGCCTCTCATGTCTGTGGTCAACATGATTCCCTCACTTTAGAGATGAGGAGGAATGCCCAAGGGCCTAGTCTGGCTGACCCGGCCTCCATAACACAAATCTGGGCAGGAAGGACACTGCCCGCTTTCCCCACGAGGTTCCCAGAGTGCACCTGCAGCGCGTGGATGGCATTGTGGTAGCAATAAAGACTCCCCAGGAGGTCCTTGGAGCTGAAGGCTAGGCAGTGCCACATGTAGGACAAGTAGTCCTCACTGGTGTCCTTGAACTTCTGGATCTCCATCGAGAAGTTCTGGCCCAGCCTGGCCTTCACCATCACCATGTGTTTGAAAATTAAACTGTAAAAGAGAAGTCAAGGGGTGGTGAGCAGGGGAGGGTGGAAATGCCAGTGAAGCCTCAGTGCTGGGAGAAAGAGGAGATGGGCAGAGGGGAAACTGAGTTTCAGGAAGGTTGTGCAGCCTGCCTGATCATGGAGCTGGGATGGAGAGCTTACAGCACATCTAGGAACCATGAGCCCTCTGAGTGATGCCATCGGAGGGGAAGGAGAGACCCTGTCTGCCTCAGCTTTATGTTCACATGAGACTTTCCTCCCTCCCTCGGTGCCCCACTCCCAGTGCAGGTGGCCCCCTCTCAGTCCCCCATCAGCAAGCCCAGAGCAGACACCCACAGATGCACTTACAGCCGGTGCCCTGTGCGGGGCAGAACTTGTATAGCTTCCTCCAACAGCCGGAGTCCACCCAGCAGGTCATTCTGGTCGGTATACATGTAGAACAAGAGCCTGTACAGGGCCATTTTCAGGGTGATGTCATCATCAGTACCTTTGGGGGTGGGCCGACATCAACATTACACATCGGTTTCTCTTTCTACTGGCCACCCCCTTGAGTGTTTAAAAAGAGGCATTTCCCAGCCACATGAAAAAGATGGTCTTGCATTTCATGTTGAAATCTCTAACAGTTCTGGGTGAGAAGAGGTCTCGCTGATGCAAAAGCAGACTGATTGAGGGCTGAAGGCCTGACCTCAGGACAGTTGAGGATGGTGAAGGCTCTTCCTCAGACACCATCACCATCATCTCACATATGAAGAAAAGACACCTACGGGAAGCCCTGCCTCATATCTCTGAGTTACAAAGTTTACCTGGTTCAATGACTTTTTTTCTATTATGAGTTGTGATGAGTGATATATTTTAAAGTTTCCTAATGGTAATATGAATCTTTGAGCTGACAGTGAATATTCCTAATATTTAAGAAAATCCAATCTGAGTTGGTACCTCTATGTGGCTCCTCGCCTATTTTGTTTCTGTTTTTAGGTTTGTAAGAGTCCCCTTTGATTCCTCCAGCTCACTGAGACCTCAAAACATGGAGAACAAGACAACAGTAATCACTAGTGACAGGTCGGTATTGAAGTGAGTGTGGGGTTTATCATTAGATTTTTTTTCTATTGGGGTGTAGAGTATCATTATTTCAGCAATTTTACTGAATTGATATTTCCTATGACAACTTTTCCTTTGAGGAATGGTTCTTACCCACAAAAATTTCCATTCCTTCTTTGTCATTATGGCTGCCAGGATTTGTCCCTGGTTTCTTTATTCCTTTTTTCTGGATATATTGTTTTGGTTTTTGAAATTCCTTACTTTTCTCTCTTATAACTTCCTTCAAGGCAAGGCTTGTTATGAACTTATCCCCTTTATATAGTTAAGGAAGATACAATGTTTCCTTGCCCTCTGGTGTGTCTGTGTGTGTTTCAGTAGGTGCCTAAGTGTGAGTTTTTCTGGCTCTCTGATCCAGCTGGGCTTTCTAATCACATATAGAATGTGAGATGCCAGGCTGCTCCCATTTTTTTTTTTTACCAAATGAATATCCAGGTGGTTCAGTCTACCAGCCAAGATCTTCTAGGGCCTAGGGGAAAGGCTGCTTTGGTGCCCTTCTCACCATCTGAGTTTGGCACCCTTTCAGCCACCTGACCCTCCCTGAGCTCCAGGGTTTCTGGTTCTGGGACACAGAAGTTGGAGAGGAGTGTAAGTCACACAAGTCTCCCTTGTTGCCCACCTCCATCAAAATTTTCACAAAGGGAGAAGCATCCATGAAGTCAGCACTATCTATTCCAAGTTCCTTGTGGCAGTGGGGGGGGGGGGGTGTCCGCTCTGTGCTTCCTACATATTGAGTCAGAGATGGCATGTACAATGAGGAGAAGTAGCCACATCCCTTACTCATTCTGGGTGGCTGATAAATCTGGCTGATTCCAACAGCTACACACAGGTGCCAATGGCTGGAAAACAGGATGTAGGTCCCTTGACCTGGGCCGAATGTGCTACTAAACACCAGGACACTGGGAAACACATCTGCCATTCCTCTTCCCAAACAAGGTGCACTAACCACTTGGTGATCAGGCACACAGTCCTAGAAATATGCTCCTGGTCTAAGGGTGGGACTTGCCTTGCCCAAGACGGTCTTGGGGCCAGTGATAATGGGGTATAGATGACCACATCAGTTTTTCTATTATTTTTGTTCAATTTCAGTCAAGTCTAAGAAGGGGGAAAGGAGATAAGGAATAAGCATTTATTAAGCATCTACTGTGTGCCAGGCACTGTGCTAAGCTCTGCAAATTCTTCTATATGATCCCAATATTACATAAGTAAGGTTCTTGACAACAGGGGCTTTTTAGCTTCGACTTTGTGTCCCCAGCACCCAGCACAAAGTGAGTGCTTGATAAATGTTTAAGAGGCCTAGAGAAGGGAGTCTTTCCTCCCTCTAAGATCCTATGTTTCTTGAACCCCAGACTTCTGTTTGCATCTGATCATTCTTACCTGGTCATTCCACAGACCCTCTGAAATGATGTGATCATGGGGTGGCCTCATTATTAATGTGTGTGTGCGTGCAGATTTCCCAACAGGGGCTTATTCAGGCTTGTCTTTCAGGCCCAGAGCCCAGCACAATGCCGGGCACACTTGGGCTGTTTCCTGCCCTTTCTGCTGGTTTGATTTCATGGATACATTTTTAACCAACAGGACAAGTTTCCCTAGATCCCTTTTCCTTCCATAATCTCCCTTGATTTTTTTGACCTTTTGTTCTTTCACGTGAATTTTCTTTTCCTTTTGTCTTATTCTGGGAAGCGCGCTGTTGCTTTTAGTACATGATTGCCTTTAGTTTCTAGAGCAGTTTGGGAAACACCACCTTTCCCACATCCACTCTTTGAGTGTACTACCCATTATTTATTTGCTCAACATCTGAATGTGGGACTATGTCGACAAAGTGCAGGAGTGTGCATTCCCTTAGGGTGGGGCATTGGGCTGAAGGGTGCACAGACAATAATAATGATTCATATAGCAATTACTATATGTCAGGTAGAGGGAGCGAGGTGGTTCAGTGGATAGACCACTGCGCCTGGAGTCAGAAAGATCTGACCTCAGACACTCAGTAGCTGTGTGACCCTGGGCAAGTCACTTTACCTCTGTTTGCCTTAATTCACTGGAAAAGGAAACAGCAAACCACTCCAGGATCCTTGCCAGGAAAACCACATGGACAATACTGGCATTCTACAATTCACAGGGTCATGAAGAGTTGGATTTGATTGAGCAATAACATCAACGATGTACCAGACACTGTGCTAAGTGCTTTACAATTATTATCTGATTGGATTCTCACAACAACCGTGGGAGGTAGGAGCTATTATTATCCCAATTTCATAGATGAGGAAACTGAGGCAGGCAGCCGTGAAGTGACTTGCCCAGGGTCATAAAGCTAGAAATTGTCTGAAGCTGGATTTGAACTCAGGTCTCCCAGATTCCAGGATGAGTACTCTGTCCACTTTACCACCTAGAGAAGTATAGTCCAAAGAAAACTATCACCAGGGGCATCAGGAGAAGCCTCAAGAAGGAGGCATATGGTTCCTGGGCTGAGCCCTGGGAGGTAGAGAAAAGGGTGGCATGGAGGATAGCCTGGGAAAAAGCCTGGAAGTGAGAGATGGGACACTGAGTTCAAGGAACAATGAGACGGCCAGTTTGGTAAGAAAACAGTGTGAGTGGAAGGAAATTGTATTTGGTAAGATGGGAAAGGAAGGTGGAGCCCACCTGGGCAAAGCTTTAACTGCCATGCTGAGGAGGCTGTATTTTAACTTAGAGATGATAGGGAGCCACTAAAGTTTCTTTAGCAGGACGTGACATAGTCAGACTTGCTTTAGGAAGATTATCTTGACAGCTGTATGGAGAATGGATCAGAGAAGGGGAAGCCTGAAAGCCAGGAGAAATCCAAGTAAGAAATTGTGCAATAGTCTAGTTGAAAGGTCATGAAGACCTAAGCAGAGAAGGGGCTTGGATTTCTGTCTGATTTAATGAATTTCAAAGTATTGAGTGGTTCCAAAAGTGGTCCAAATGTTTTACCTCCTCCTCTCCCACTGCTCTGAGCAATACACATGTGTCTATCTATTCACGTGGAGACACATATGCACATACATCTACACATACACCTACAGATACACCTACACAAGCATGCAAGCATTGGCTTTTTGCAAACCTCCTTGGAAGTGACCGTCAGTGTTTCCGCTGTACTGAAGGTCCATGCTGGGCCACTGGTGCAGAATCAAAGACTTTTCCTTCCCCTACAGGCAATGAACAAAGGACAGTTGGCACCATGCTCATCCTCCTCGCCAATCTCTATTCACTCTGATTCCCTCATAAGCCCTGTATGAGCAGAGACCCAGCATTGGGCTGGGGAGTAAGGAGAGATCTCAGAACCAACAGAGTCCCCCACAGATGGGGACTTAGAAGGACCAAAGACCCTGGGCAGAGGTGCAGCCCTTGCCTTGAACGGGAGGGCCTGATGACCAGGGGCTTAGGAGCCAAGATGCTTGGCCAGAACTTCCTGTCCATCCAAGCACTCACTCACCATGGAAGCTGATGCTTCTGCCTCTGCCTATGTCCTGGTGCCACCCTGCCCCAAGTCAGAAAATCCCTTCTTCCCTATCTTCACCTCAAAATCTCTCCTGGAGGGGTGCTATCCTTGATGAATGAGTCTGTCCTTGATAGGACTCTAGGCACTTAGTTCAGAATCCAGCCTCATTGGTTATCATTATCGGAGTAGGGAGGTGTCTCCAGAAGGCCACATACAGGGGCATTAAGATAGCACAAACCCATGGCCATGGAGGTCCATGGCAGATAGGGAGAAAGGCAGCCTGGGACTCTGGGAACATGAGGGCCATCCAGGTGGAGGGCTGGTGTCACAGTGCCCTAAAGGCGTGCTCCCTGGAGGATCTCTAGGACACCACAGAGGTGAGCGGGAGGGGAGACGCTTTTCAACTTCTTGTGCTGAAGCCTTTCATGGGCCACCCCCAAGTAGCAGGTGTTCCCTGGCCTCTGTCCTGAACCCTCTTCCACGGTTTCAAGTTTCATCTTTTGGCAAGTGAAACTATGTTGACATATCGAGCCCTCCTCAGCATGGCATAGGGGGCGGAGTCCTGGGCTTGAATCCAGGAAACTAGCTGGGACTCTAGGCAAGTCAGTTCATCTCTCTCTGTGCCTCAGTTTCCTCCTCTGTAGAATGTGTTTGGATTAAGATCCCCTCTCACTCTGCCTCCATGAGTCCATAATCTTGCTCACCCCAGCTGACGGATGTCCCAGAAGCCCCTCAAGCCCAGTGCATCCTAAGGAGCTCCTCTCCTCCTCCTTCCCTCCCTCTGTCCCTCTCCCTTCTCCAACCTCCCCATTTGGACCAAAAACACCACCAGGCTCATCTTCTCTGCCCCTCCCCCCCCAGCCAACAAGGGGTTGGATCCTGTAGCTTCTGCCTCAACCTCCTCTCCTGTGTATTCCCTCCCGTCCACTTAGGACAGCACTCCCCTAGCTCCTGCCTTCTTCATCTTTCCTCGGAAATGCTGCTCCCCACTCCCCAACTATGGCTGTATCTTCCCCTCAAATCCATTTTCCACCAGCTCTGACCATATCACCCCCAGTTCAAAATATCGTCAGTGGGTTGCTATTGCCTCCATGTGAAAGACAAAGCCTTCACAAAGTTCCCACTGCCTGTTCCTGTCATCTCCCTTCCTGCCCAACTAGCCTGGTGGCTGTGGTTTCTGTTCCTTGTTGTTCGATGACGCCAGATCCCCAAAGGCTCTGGCCTCCTCAGCTCCTTCCCTTCCAAGGACAGCTGGGGGCCACCTCATACCAAGTCCCATAGCACTCATGCCCGCAGCGCTCACCTCATGTGGGTTTTACAGCCACACTGATTATGTGTCATGGGAGACACGGGTACAAGCCCGCCTAGCATGGTGCACCCTCTTCAGAGAAGGCGCTGTGCTCTATGAGCAAAGCAGAATGGAAGTAGCTCAAAAGAAAACACAAGATGCACAGATTTTGAGAGCCCACCCCAGACGTTCACTCGGGACCATTTGTGCCCAGCCTGCGGCAGCTTTCCCAGCTCATAGGGGCCTGAGCAGCCAGTCAGACTCACTGCACCTCGTGGGTGTCTTCAAGGACAAAAGAGAACACCCAACCAACCGAGGCACACTGTGTTTCCCTTCTTCCCTCCCCAGGTAGAAGGTAAACCCCTTGAGGGCAGGGACTTCTTTTCTCTTTTGTATCGCTGGTGCCCAGCAGCATGTCTGGCACACGGGAGGCCCTTGTGAATTCGCTTGGCCAACTGAAGTGAATTGAGAGAGGGAGGGGAACCAAATGAGCCCATGCACGGAGGCCAGAGTGGACAGCAGCTGCAGAGGGCCCCACAGGCCACCAGGGGGCTTAGACTTGGTCCTGCCGGCAGTGAGGGGCCAGGAACAAGGCAATGACAGGATAAATGCAGCAATGGACGGAGGACCTGCCGATGTCAGGGGCTCGAAGCAGCTCGGATACAGGGGAGACTTCAGGATGACCCCAGCTGTGCTATTCTAAGCCCCCGCCGCCTCCCATTGACTCCCCCGTCTCTACGGTAGGCACATCAGATATTTGGGTAACCCCCCTGGATTAAAAGAGGATTCAGTGAATTCTACAAGTGGGCAGAGCCACTGGGGGGATTCTGACGTAGCTCAGGGAAGGCTGCCCCAAAGATTCAGGGTGTTCTGTGCTTGAGCCCAGGAGCGTCTGAGGACAGGCTTCAGAGACCACCCGACACTCGCTGTGTGACCCTGGGCAAAGCCCTCGTCTGAACCTCAGTTTCCTCACTTGTAAAATGGGAGAGACAATGCTGCGGGGAAAGGGGTCTGGCAGCTGTCCCCAGGGGCAGCTGCTGGCCCCGCCCTCCTGGGGGCCTAGCTCCCTCCTGGATCCTATCGCCGACCTGGGTTTTGTTTTCCGTCTTGTTGATGATTTTGAGGATCAGCTGGACCGATTGTTTCAGCTTCTTCCGGCAGAAGGGGGAGCTGAAGAATGGCAAGCAGGTGTTCCAGTAATGGCGGGTTGATTGCATCACCAAGGTGTAGTTCTCTGCCAAGCCCGCATACCTGGGGAAGGATTTGGAGCCCCTCAGGGCAGGGCAGGAGAAACGCAGGCACCCAGACACCCCGACCAATCACTGGCATTTTCATAGGCCCGGGCTGACTTAATGCACTCCTATGGTTGTAGGGATCACATGAGGTAACACTTGTAAAGTGCTTGGTACAGCGCTTGGCACATAGTAGGTCCTTCATAAACACTTGTTTTCTTCCCTTCTCCTCCCCACCCCAAGCTGGCTGACATTGGCTGAGACCAGCAGCGGCCTAGGGCAGCCCATGGTTCTGTTTCTCACAGTCAAACCCAGACCTAGAGCCCTGGAGCCCTGGGGCCCTGCAACCCTGGGGCCCTGCAACCCTGGGGCCCTGGAGCCCTGCAGCCCTGGGGCCCTGGAGCCCTGCAACCCTGGGACCTTGCAGCCTTGGGGCCCTGGAGCCCCGGGCCCAGCCCCCATGGCAGCCATTAGGCTGTGTCCTGAATCGAGGGAGCCCCTGCTCTGTTTCATGGAGGACTTCCAAGCACCCCAAACACTTCAAAAAGCAGCACTGAGCAGAGTAAACACGAGCCAACAATCAATCCCAAGGGACAGAGCACAATCTGGTTATGTTGAACAGGAGCCAATGATCAACATATCCTCTCGGACCCTGGCCTCACCAGGGAGGAGTCGCCAGGGGGAGTCCTACACACACCTACAGGCACACACCACATCCACACACCACACACGTACATACCACACGTAATGCAAGCACACACGTGCACACATTCACACATGCACACACATGCCGCACGCTCACCACATCCGCACACTCACCACATACGCACACGTGCGCACGGGACACACGCACACAGCCAGTGGGGTACATAAACACTTTCACTCAACAGTGAAATGGGAAGGAAAGGGGAGAAGAGAAAAGTGGGGAGATTACAGGGAGGGCAGACAGACAGCAGATCCGTCCCATCTATGACAAGTGCTAAGTGCACAAAGACACTTAGGGCACCCTGGAGCCTCATCCGCTTCCTCCTCTGGACGATGAGAGAGGCGACCTTGGTGACCTTGGTGTTCGGTCCCTGACATGGTGGATATTCACCAATGGCGGAAGGGGGTTGCAGGGGAGCCCCCCTCCCCCAGGGATCTGGGCTGCCTAATATCACCATCAACGGTGAATGAATAAAGGTACTAAGGGTTCTGTGTGTGCAGAGGGCACAGAGAGTCAAGTGGCAAGTCTGGAAGCCAGAGCCTGGGTTCCAGAACAGCTCAACAGTGAAGTCATTCAAGAAAATTCCACAAGATGATATTGAAAAGGTATTGATGTGAATCCGTTTGCGGGAGGGGATCTGGACCTGGGATTTCACTGGCCTGAGGAGTTCCCGGGGAGGAAATCCCCTTTCCTGGTCAGGTGCAAGTTCAAAAAAATAAGATTTCACAAGTATAAGGTGGGGAAAGCCTGGCTAGATAGTAGTTTGTCTGAAAAAGCCCTCAGGGTCTGAGTGGACTGCAAGCTCAGTCTGAGATCCAGTGCTATCTGAGATGGCATGGAGGGGCAGAATGTTTTGGAGCCAGGAGGAGGAATCCCACTGTCTCCTGCCCTCCTTAGACCTCAGCTCACTTCCGGGCAACATGGTATAGTAAGAACATTGCTAAAATGGCTATAAGCATTTATGTAGCACCCGCCATGTGTCAGGCACTGCGCTAAGTAGTTTACAATTATTATCTTCTTTGAACATCACAACTACTTTGCAAAATAGGTTTTGTCATTACCCTCCTTTTGCATATGAGGAAACTGAGGCAAGCAGAGGCTAAGTGACTCGTCCAGGGTCACACAGCTATTAAATGTCTGAGGCTGTATTTGAACTCAGGGCTTCCTGACTCTGGCTCCCCCCAGCTGCCAGTGTTCAGGGGAGGGCAGCCAGGATGGAAGCAGCTCCTGGGGGGTTCCTTCCCTGGGAGATTTTGTTCATCCCAAACTAATCACAATCACTTCTGTGCCTCGGTCCCAGGAAGGCAGTCAGCACCGGTCATTGCCAGAGCTGGAATGGGTTTCTCTGCACTTTGGCCACAGGAAGCCTTCCTGGGCAGGTCTCACGATCATCCCTCAGGACTGAGGCACAGACACTGGCCTTGGGCATAGGCTGGACGGTGCCCAACACTGGGCTCTCTCTGTGGCGCAGTGCCAAGGGTGTGGGGAGGGGGCAGAAGCATCCTCACAGGCTACAATGTAACAGAGCCCCAAGGGGCCAGATAAAGTCAGGCTCAGAGCAATGCCAAGGACGTGCTGGCCTTTAAGAGGCTTCGGGGGGGCCCTGGTCTGTTTCAAGGCAAAGAATCACCTTCCTGGGGTAGGGGTGTGTGTGGCGGACCCATCCACACAGGCCATGCTTCCCTCTCTCCTTGGTCACAGAACTGAAGCAGCCTGGGCTGGTATAGCAACAAAAGTCCTGGCATCCTCAACCCCAGCCCCCGGCCTCCATCCCTTACCCTACGACCCCTATCCTAATATTCCCCAGCCTCCATCCTCTACCCCCAGACCCTATCTCCTTCCCTCGATCCTCTGACCCCACCCATGATCTAGCCCCAGACAGTGCAGGTCTCTCTCTCTTCTACCAAGGGGTTCATAGTCCATCTCTCACCTTCTGACCTTTTACTTCCTAAGGACTAGAAACCACCCTTTTTTTACTACAGGCTCTGGAGTCTACCTATGCCTGCAGCTCTGGCGGCCCCTACCTAATGCTGCCCAGAAAGGCCTTGGCTGCCTGCTGGCGTAATTGCCTCCTTCCTGCCAAGTTCTCCATCGTACTTTTCCCTTGGGTACACAGCAGAGCGCTCAGTAATTCAGCTCGAAACAAGTTGTCGTTTCTGGGGAGAGAAGCAGTGGGTCACCACGTTAGTGAGCAGGGATCATTTCTCCCTTGGGGATGAGCCTGGGCCCCTAGTCCCTTCTGGTGTGCCCCAGGACCACTGGCCCTGGCCACCAGACAGGTGCCACCTCTGGCTCCTGGTTGGTTCCCTGGTCCTAGGATGGGCAGTGCAGGAACAGTCATAGAGGAGATCTAGCTGCCTACTCTATGGGCAGAAAGAGCGAAGAGCCAATCCAGCCTCTCTCAAGGCTGCTGTCGGTAGGGAGTGGGGGAGCCCAGGGGAGGGGCTGACACAGGCAGTGTCCCACAAAAAGGGTGGGGCTTGGCTGCTTTGGGAGAGGGCACTGATCACACCAATCTTCCAATCACAGGAGGTGCACACGAGGACCGACCAGGCGTTCTCGTGGAGGGCCCTCACCCAGCAGGTCCTTCCCTGATGTCTTGTTACACTAGACTGTACTTATGTGTTACAAGGGGTAGTTTTTATGGCAAAGGTAGGGAAAGCAGGCATGTGGCAGCAGTGAGGCAAATACACACACACATATACCCCGCCCCACCCCATATTTGATCTGTTTGGACAGATTTGGATATTAGAGATCTGGAAAATCCCCTTTTCTGAGAAGCCTCACCCTCAGCCACAGCAACCTGGGCAGAGAGTACAAAGCTAGACAAGATGACAGGTCTGCCAGGAGGCTCAGCGGGCACTCCTGGGAGCCAGACGGCATCTCTCGTGCTCAAAATGAGCTTGGATTCGGCCCCCACAAAGCGGACTGAACACCGATATGTAAACATGTGTGTAACACTCTCCCTGCCCCCACAGGTTTGGGTCATTGCTGTCACTGCCATTATGAGGTTGAGAAGGAATATTTCAAAAATAAAAGCACAAAAGTTGGAGAAAGCCATTTAACTCTTCCTGTTTGGCAAAAACAATCACGGTGGTACCCAGAGACTTGAGGTGATTCTATGCAAAGTCAGCAACTAGTGCTGAGTCAGTCTGAGTGACTCCATTTTAAACCTTGCTTTAGTACTTAAGTCAGGCAGCCAAGTGGCACAGTAGATAGAGCTCAGACCGGGAGTCAAGAAGACCAGAGTTCAAATCTAGCCTCAGACACTGACTATCTGTGTGACTCTAGGCAAGTCACTTAACCTTGCTTGCTTCGGTTTCCTCATCTTTAAAATGAGCCAGAATGCCCATTATCACCACTATTAATCAATATTGTACTAGAAATGCTAGCTAGAAAAGAAAGAAAAAGAAATTGAAAGAATTAGAATTACAAAGAGGAAACAAAGTTATCACCCTTTGCAGATGATACGATGGTATGCCTAAGAGAATCCACTAAAAAACTAGTTGAAATAGTTAACAATTTTAGCAAAATTGCAGGATATAAAATAACTCCACATAAATCATCAGCATTTCTATATATTGCCAACAAAGTCTAGCAGCAAGAAATAGAGAAATTCTATTTAAAATGAGTGTAGACAACATAAAATGCTTGGGAGTCTACCTGCCAAGACAAACCCAGGAACACAATTACAAAATATCTCCCACAAATTAAGTCATAACAATTAGAAAAAATATTGTTCATGGGTAGGCTGAGTCAATACAATAAAAATGCCAATTCCACCTAAATTAATTGACTTGTTCAGTTGCCATACCAATCAAACTACCAAGATTCGCTTTATAGAGCTAGAAAAAAATATGAATAAAATTCATCTTTAAGAACAAAAAGGAAAGACTATCAAGGGAATCAATGGGGGGAAAACTCTAAGAAAGGCGACTTACCAGTAGCAGATCTCAAAGTGTCTTATAAAGTGGCAATCAGCAAAATAATGGGGCACTGGCTAAGAAATACAGTAGTAAATCAGTGCAATAGGTTAGGTACACAAGACACAGTAGTAAATGACCATAGTAACCTAGTGTTTGATGAACCCAAAGACTCCAGCTTCTGGGACAAGAACTCGCTATTGCAAAAACTGCTGGGAAAATTGAAGAGCACTCTGGCAGAAACTAGGCATACACCAATATCTCACAGCATATGCCAAGATAAGGTCAAAATGGGCACATGATTTGGACATAAAGGGTGATACCATAGGACAGCAAGGAATAGTTTGCCTGTCAGAGCTATGAAGAAGGGAAGAATTTAGGACCAAACAAGCTACAGAGAGCATTATAAAATGTAAAATGGATAATTTTGATTATATAAAATTAAAAAGTTATTGCACAAATAAAACCAATGCAACCAAAATTAGAAGAAAAGCAGAAAATGGTGGGGGGATTTTTACAGCAAATATCTCTGATAAAGGCCTCATTTCTTAAATTTATAGAAAAGTGAGTTAAATTTATAAGAATAAAAGTCATTTCCCAACTGATAAATGGTCAAAGGATATGAACAGGCAGTTTTCAGACTAAGAAATCAAAGCTCTTTATAGTCATATGAGAAAATGTCCTAAATCACTAATGATTAGAGAAATGCAAATTAAAACAACACTGAGGAAAATGATAAATGTTGGAGAGGATGTGGTTGAAAATTGGGACACTAATGCTCTGTTTGGTGGAGTTGTGAATTGATCCAACTATTCTGGAGAGTGATTATAAAACTATAAAACTCTTTGATCCCGTGATATTACTGCCAGGTCTGTATCCCAAAGAGATAAAAAGGGGATGCTGGTAAAGAACCTACTCAAAAAAAAGGAAATTCACAATTTTTATACTGAATTCTCTGTTTATATGGAAATCTTTTTTCTCATTTTGTATTTAAATTTAAGATGAATTAAAAATTTAAAATAAAAACATTTTCTAAATGAATTCTCTCTTAATCAGCAAACTTAGTTTAAAAACTGCCAAGTTGGCATCGCCATTTACGGGATTACAGGTTGTTGGAGAAGCCGGGACTGCCAACCTTCTGGCAAAGAGAAGTCTGGGGGCAAGGGAGGAAGCTAGGCTGCCTTAGGTGGTGGCCAGGGAAGAGCAGCAGAGCGCGTGCCCGGCACTCAAGGCTACCAACTCACTTATCTGAAGACTTGACTTCCTGTTGGTTCTCCAAGGATTTCTCGCCCTTACTCAGGACTTTCTTGGACAAAGCCATCACGTTTTCATGATCACGTAACATATAAGCAAAATGTGCCAGTCGGACCAGGGTCTGGATTTCCATGAGGGGATCTGTCCACACGCACTCTGAGACCAGCCTCAGCACCTACAACCACAAACAAAATACGCCAGACTATGGATGTCCCGAGGGATTAAATGGGCAGTTCTGTCTTTCCATATAGCTGCCACAGCCATTAGCATGTACCGACAGCCAGAGATCACTGATCACCACTGGTCACTGCAGCCACTCACCTGGGGACTTTAGCTGAGAAATGTCCCAAATCTACTCCCACATTTTAATCAAATGTGTAGATAAAACACCGTTTGGCAAAAGGGATTTGGGCCAATCCACAGAGGGTCAAGATCTTTCAAATGAAGGATAGGAGTTAAAGGAAAATTTCCCAAGAGAAAAGCAACTGGTAGTTGTTTGTGGAGGCTGGGGGAGTCCCTTCAGTGGCCACTACCTCCTCGGATGAACATAGCAGCCCCTCCACAGCCAAGCCAGAGTTTTTCTCAAACCCCTTGCTCCAGCGACTGAAGGGGAATAGGGGTGCCTTGATGTGAGCAGAGTCTGCAGCTCCCACATGGCCCATCTCTGAGAGCCCCAGAGACAAGGCCTGTCAACCTAGGTGGCACTATGCCAGACAGCCCTGTTCTTCCAGCAGCCTGGCTTGAGCTCGGCTTGGTGAGCCCAGCTGTGGGCTCCAAGGAGCTTCTGCTGCTCCATGCTCCCTCACAGGCAGAAGGTGACAAGAAAGGGACTGCTCAGGAGCCTCTGGCCACCTCTCCAGACCACCCCATCTGTATCCCCCAACCCTCCCTCATTCCCCTCAAGAGATGGGGTGATTCCTGAGCCAAAGGGCACGAGGGGAAGAATGCCCTTGAGACCCACACCATCTGTGTCCATGAATCCTCCCTGCCCCCTGACGGGATGGTGACATACCTGGGTTAAGGAGGGCAGGTTGAAGTCCATGAGGCCTAGCCCATTGCAAGAGTACATCTCCAAGGCAACCAGCACCTTGGTCATTCGCCCCTGGCTTTCATTTAGGCTCTGAGAGGGAAGCATCACATGCTGGTCAGGAGCAGCGGCTGCTGGGAAGTCCAGGCTGTCCCAGGAGCACATCTGGGCAGAGCTAAGACATGTGTGGGCACTGGAGGTTGAGAACTAATGTTTCTATACCACTTGGCCTTCAGGGTCTAATCCTTAGGCAGAGGTCACAACCAACTTTCCCAAGATGGCAGAAACAGAGTTACAGGGCAGAACGAAGCCAATCTAGCCCAGTACCACCTGATCAACCACTCACCCTGTGCCAAGGCTAGTGTCAGGTCTGGCTACATGAAGACACACTCCAACAGTACTTGCCCTCAAGGAGCTTCCATTCCACTGCCTACCAGCCTTCTCTGTGCATGGCACCACCAAGCCCCAGGCCTGGAAGGTCAGGATCACCCCTACCTAGGCAGGGGACAAGCCAGCAGTGCCCAGGGGCCCCCAGGACTCTGGTCCTTGAGGAGAGAACCTGCTTCCTGATCCAGTGGGCTGAGGGCTGGCTGGGTGGGACCACAGGGAGGCATTCTCTCAAAGCAGGAAACAGGCATCCTACAATGACTAAAAGTAATCCTCTTTTTGAGCGCTTTCCCCACCTTGCTGCCTGTGCCCTCATCATTCATCCCCACTACTTCCCCTGTGCCTCATTGTTTCTGCTCACCTTGGGCTCACACCCCTTTATCATAGTCCCTCCTCTATCTCTGGTGTCCCTACCCCCTCACACTGTTGTTCACACCCCCCATCATTGTTCCTGCTCCCAGATGGCCCACTGTCACCTTTCATTCACCTCCTCCTCTGTGCCCCCTCCCCCTCCGTATCCCCTAACCCCCTCACCTCCTCATCTGTGCCCAGTTTGCTGCCGATTTGCTGCTGAACCAGCTGCTTGGCTTTGACCCAGGTGGCAATGAGCTGCTGCCGGATGCCGATGGGTACTATCTCTTGAGGCAAATTCCCATTGGTCAGAGTGAGACCAAAGTCACAAACCTAAGACCCAAGACCACGGATGTGAGAAGACAATTAAAACCTAGAATGACTTTCAAAAGAAGCCCCAACATTTCCCACCAATAATTTACTTGTGTCAGAAAGTCTTGGGATCAGATTACAAATTGTAGGGGGGCGGGGAGAGGGGAAAAAAGAATGACAGAGATTGTCCAGCTGACTCTTATTGTGCAGATGAGGTACCTGAGGCCTCCCAACCTTTATTTCCCAAACAGTAGGAGGGAATGGGCACTTTTTCCTAGTGCTCTCATGACTTCCAGGCTAGCAACTCCCTAGAATCAGAACTAGAAGACAAAGTCCCTTTGTCACTTCTTCACCTTCTGAAGGATGAAAATATCACCAAGGCCACAACAAGAGAAAGGGAGAGAGAGAGGAAGGAGGAGAAAAAGAAGAGGAGAGAGAGATAAGAGAAGAGAAGAGAAGAGAAGAGAAGAGAAGAGAAGAGAAGAGAAGAGAAGAGAAGAGAAGAGAAGAGAGAGAAGAGAAGAGAGAATAGAAGAAGAGAGGAGAAGAGAGGAGAAGAGAGGAGAAGAGAGAGAGGAGAGAGAGGAGAGGAGAGGAGAGGAGAGGAGAGGAGAGGAGAGGAGAGGAGAGGAGAGGAGAGGAGAGGAGAGGAGGAGAGGAGAGGGGAGGGGAGGGGACGGGAGGGAAGGGGAGGGGAAGGGAGAGGGGAGGGGAGAGGAGGGAGAGGAGAGGAGGGGAGAGGAGAGGAGAGAAGAGAAGAGAAGAGAAGAGAAGAGAAGAGAAGAGAAGAGAAGAGAAGAGAAGAGAAGAGAAGAGAAGAGAAGAGAAGAGAAGAGAAGAGAAGAGAAGAGAAGAGAAGAGAAGAGAAGAGAAGAGAAGAGAAGAGAAGAGGAGAGTGAAAGCAGGAAGGAGAGAGGACACCATGAAGCCCAGATGGTGATTTGTTTCCCAGACTCCTCAATGCTTTGCCTTTTCTGTCCAGGGGGTCTGTAATCTACTCCCTCCTTTGACCTTTACCCAAAGATGTGGCAGGAGTCTTTGCTCAGTCTCCTTCACTTCCTCACAGGAGCCTGCCTCCTGAATACACAATGCCACACTCTCCCCTTTACCTAGATAGAAAACGGTCTGCCCAGCCAGAGTCACATGTTGGGTATCACCCTCCTGATGCCCTGTGATGCCCACAAAGCCACACTGGCTTGATGTTCATGTTAGACCAAGTCCTTCTGTACTTGGCCCTGTGGTGTGACACTTGGAGTGCTGGGTTCAACCCTGGATGTTTGTTGGCTGGAAAGCCAGTAGAAAGCAACCGTCAAGGTAAAGGATTTTCAGGTCATGCCATGTGATCTGGAGCTTATTATCCAAATGGAAGGAGAGAAGCCTGGGGGAGCCCTGCCAGATGCCCCAGTCTGTTTGTTTAGCATTGTCATGGGAAAGAAGGAGTAGAGGGTCTGAGAGGGTGAAGGCAAGGGAGATGTGGGGAGAGGAAGAGCTGTCCGAAGCTCAGAGGTGCTGAGCTCCCCATCAATGGAGGTCTTCGAGCAGAGGTTGGAAAACTACTCGTTAGGTATTTTGTGCAGTTGTGGCCGTCCTTCAAGACTTCTCAAGTTTCTTCCAAATCTGAGATTCTGTGCAATCAGGAGGGGCTTCCCAGCAGTGCTAACTTCTGCATTGAGCTTTACAAGAAGAGAAGGATGCTGAGAGGCAGAGGTGCGAAGGGAAGATGCTAGAAGGTAGTGTGCTAGGATGGACAGTGTGCAATGAATGGGATGGAAAGGAAGGGAAGGGAAGCAGCATTTATTTAGCACCTACTAAGCACTGCACAAATATCTCCCTTGGTCCTCTCAACCCTGGGAGGAAGGTGTTATGATCCCCATTTTACAAATGAGGTAACTGAGGCAGACAGGGGTTAAGAGACCTGTCCAGGGTCACCCAGACAGTATGAGGTCATATTTGAACTCATGTTTCTCTGACTCCAGGCCAGGTGGTCTAGGCATTAGAGTGGCCTCTAGGTCCCGGGGGGGGTCAAATGTCACCAGGCTGACTTAGCTGTGGGACCCTGGCTAAATCACTTCATTCTCAAATACAGCTTCCTTACCCATAAATGAAGTCATATATGTAAAGCACTTTGCAAACCTTAAAGTCAGTCAGTCAGTCAGTCAACACACACTTCTTATGTACTTATTAAGCTCCTAGGGAGGTGCCAGGCCCTGTGGCATGCACTGGGGATACAAAGAAATGCATCCCCACATTCTAAGGGGGAAGGATAACACAGACATGCATAAAAGGTACGTACAGTGTAGAAGGAGCCAGGAGGAATGAGCGGTGGCTGAGAAAGGCCTCCTGCTGAAGGGGGCGCTGGAGATGAGTCTTGGAGGAAGACAAGGAAACAAGGGGGAGGGGGAGGGGAGGCTGGAAATGAGGGTGGTGCATGCCAGCTGAGGAGGACAGTGAGTGCAAAGACACGGAGGCAGAATGCTGTGTTCAAGGAACAGTAACATTATAGCTGCATCAAAGACAAGGTGGTTATTTGTGGTCAAGGCATGAGCTACAGTACCCCGAGCAAAGCCACAGTGGCAGGAAACTGAACGTCAAGGGTGGCAACCAGTTCTGAGCCTTGGCTGACCAGAACGCAGAATTCAGTGACACACAGCAAGCCTGGGAAGGAAGCATGGTCAGACTCTGCCTTTGGAGAGCTCCGGGAGAGGCTGGAAGCAGGGCTGCCAATCAAGGCTGTCCCCATAGGTCAGGCAAGGGGTGCTAAAGACAAACTCGGGTGGTGGCCCTTGGGAAGGACAGACAGACTAAAAGAGGTGTGAGTGAAGAGTGGTTACAACTACCAACTGACTGATGCGGTCAGTGTGTCAAGGATGCCTTTGAACTCATGAGTCTGGACAGCTGGCAGCAGCCTATACAGAAGGGGGGATGCTGAGGGTGCAGGGCCAGGGGAAAGACAGAGACTCCTTTTAGATGTTGATGGGGACAGGTGGAGCTGAGATGGCAGAGTGAAGGCAGGAACTCATCTCAACTCTTCCAAATTCCCCTCCAAACACAATTAAAATAATGTCTCCGAGTGAACTCTAGAGTGGCAGAACCAACAAAAAGTGGGTGTGAAACAATCTTCTAGCCCAACACAACTTAGGCGGTCGGGAGGACAGGTCTGCCTCGCTGGGATGGTGGTCAGCTCAGGACAGGTTATGCCCTAGCAAGCCAGCAGCAGGTTTCTGAGGTGGCTGCACCGGAGGCTTCAGGAGCTCTCAGTCAACAGACAGTAAGGGGGTCTGACAACTGCTCAGAAGGAGATTGCAGGGGACCCTTTACTGGCACTGGGTGTAGGATCCTGCTGCCTTGCCCATATGCAGTTCTGGGTCACAGACCCAGGATGAAGAGAGGAACATATGAAGCAGAGGAGCAGGAACCTGGTTACAGTTTTAGGGTGGAGGAGAGTGTTTGTGGTCACTGCGCCTGGGCTCGGGCCCAAGGCAGAGAGAAGCGCGATCACAAAGCAGAAAGGCTGAGCTGCATTCATGAGTGCTCTGGGCCACAGGGCAGCAGGGGCCTTGACCCTGCTTCTGGGACAAAGAATAGTGCTTAGGGAGGCTCAAAGGCCAGAGCACAGGCCAGGAGAACACTGACCACACCTTGCCTTAGACCAGGCACTCTGGAAACAGCAAAACCCAACAGACCCAGAGAGATAGCTCTGAACAGCAGCATAAAAAACCTGAAGCTTGAAACAGCGCCACCCTCACCCCAGATGCAGATCCCAGCTTTAACATAAAATTAAAAGTCCAGAAGTAGGCTGGAAAATGAGCAAACAACGAAAAAAAGAACCTGATCATAACAAGCTACTGTGAAGACAGGGAAGACCAAGACACAGACTCAGAAGCCAACAAAGTCAAAATAGTTGCATGCAAAGCTTCAAAGAAAAATCTGAATTGGGCACAAGTTCAAAAAGAACTCTTAAAAGCACTCACAAAGGGATTTTTAAAACTCAAACAAGAGGGGTAGAGGAACAAGTAGTCCAAGAAAGGAGAATGATGCAAGCAAATTATGAAAAGAGAGTCAACAGCATGATAACAGAGGAACAAAAAATTCTGAAGAAAAAAAAAAACCTTAAAAAAACAGAAGTGGCCAAATGAAAAAAGAGAGGGAAAATTTACTGAAGAAAAGAATTCCTAAAATGTTGAGTTGATTGAATCAAAAAGAGGCACAAAAGCTCACTGAAGAAAATGGAGGACTCCTTGAATTCCTGGAGGATAACCTCTTGCCATACAACCCAGAAAATTTCAGTCAGCTTTTATATGAGCAGTGGACTCCTTACCTTGTAAATCTCATCTGGAAGAGAATCAGCACCAGGCTCTTTGCCACACAAGAGGAACCTAGTGGCATTCAAAACCTCTTCTTCAGTTGGAAGTTCAGCTATAGAGGGATTGACTTCAACCTGAGGCAGATGGTCAATGGCTTCAGCACTAATTGATGATGGTCTGTTGAGAACACTATGGAAGCGTTCAGCCCATCTCTCTAGGATCATGTCCTTATCACTAATCAATGTGGCTCCATCAGCACTGAGTAGTTGAGATGCACCATAGGTCTTTGGCCCATAAATAGCCTTTGGGGCATCACAAAAGCTCTTTGGATTGTTACTATCAACCTAAAACTGAATTTTATCTGCCTCCTTACTGAGCCAAGAATCCTGCATCTCTCTTAGATTTGCTTGTACTTCACTTTTGATGGAGTTAAATGATGCCTTCTTAAGACGGATGAGCTCTTGCTTTTCAGCAGCAGCTTCTGGATCTCCCCATCATTCTCATCAAACCAATCCTGATGTCTGTGAGTGTTCTGATGAGTAAATGAAGTGCATACATCGACTCTCTGGAAGCTGCCCACTCCTCTTCACCCAAACTTGTCCTCTTCCAGCATACCGATGAGGCTGTCCAGGTTTTCATGAATTTTTTCTTTGACCTCATCAGGGTTTGTCATGATGGGAGCACAGAAACTGATGATGGTGGCGTGACAGTTTCCTATAAGTGGCAATCACATTGTCATGATCCTGGCTCTCACGCCTTTTGGGAGGCGTACAAGCTTGTTGACTACATTAGATTTCATGGAGAAACTGGGTGTGCCAGCTTCATGGCGCTCCTCTTCACTGTGGCCACTCCGGAAAACCATGATCCAGCTCCAACTAAGCTGGCCTTCTTTGGCCAGCCTTGTTTCACTCAGGGCTGCTATCTGGATGTGACACCTGCTGAACTCTTTCACAGTAAGAGCTGTTCATCATTCAGGTCTCCTGGATTTCTTGTTGTCCAGACACATGTGTGTATTCCACATACCAATGGTGAGTAGAATCATATTTGCACACGTTTTTGCACTTTTTTGTGTCTGGACCACAGGGTAGGGTCCCCAGCTGCTGCAGTAAGCAAGACAGGGTTAGGTGAGGTAAACCCTTCCTCATGCCAGGAGGTGAGCAGTGCAGTCCTTAGAAAGGGTCATTTAGACACCCAGGGTGCTACCAAATCCCAGGGGTGCCTTGGTCCAACGAGAAGAAAGCTCTATGCCCTGGGCTGCCCGTGTGCAGCTCTCAGTGTCTCCACACCCACTGCTTTGTCACGTGCCTGCTGCCATAGGACATCAAGGTAGGTAGAAATGGTAAAATGGTGTGGGTGATGTCTTTTGACTCACGTACATGGTGGATTTAATTGAGGTGGTTTGCAAAGTCATCGGCCTCACTCTCTCTTCCAGAGTCATCAGAGTCCAGTAGCAAGAAAAAAGTCAAGATGAGTGGTGAAGGCCTGGGATGGATGATCTTGGCATCTCCAGTGCCTAACTAAGCTCTAAGCTGCCCAGCGCCTGCTTCAGCCGCCTTCATGGCCTTTGGAACAAACAGCTCTCATGTGCCCATCCCACTGGGGGAAGTCTTCACATACTTGGGGTAGACACCGCCTAACCCACCAATAGGTGTGAGGCCTCTCAGTTATCCTCAGCCTGGCTTAGCCCATCTGCTGAGATGGTTTACTGGGGTGTGGCTGCTGCACATGCAGGCCCAGGTGAGAATTGGGTGGCAGGTGGATACCAAAAGTGGAAAGCAGCCCTCCCGCTAGAAGCACTCATCCTCCAGGCACAGCCCATCCACCCTGGCCTAGCAGTACCAGATCCAAAGTGTATTATACGATGGCAATCATCAAAACAATCTGGTACTGGCTAATAACTAGAGTGGTGGATCGGTGGAATAGAGGAGGTATACAAGACAGTAAATGCTCACAGTAACCTGGTGCCATTTGACAGAAACTAGGTAGAGACCAACTTTTTACATCATGTACTGAGATAAGGTCAAAATGGGTACAAGATGTAGACACAAAGTGCAATATCATGAGCAAATTAGGGGAGCATGGAATAATAAAGGAAGAATTTACAACCAAATAAGAGATAGAGAGCATTATGGGATGTAAAATGGATAATTCTGATTATATTAAATTAAAATTTTTTTTTGTACAAACAAAATCAAAGCAGCCAAGATTAGAAGGAAAGCAGGAAACTGGTAGGGGTGGGAATTTATAGCAAGTATCTCTGATAAAGGCTTCATTTTTCAAATAGACAGAGAATTAAGACAGATCTATTAAGAAATTGAGTCATTCACCAACTGATATACAATCAAAGTTTATGAACAGGCAGTTCTCAAAGAAATCAAAGCTATCTATAATTCTATGGAAAAAATGTTCCAAATCACTATTGATTAGAGAAATTCAAACCATAGCAACTCTGAGACATCACCTCACACCTATCAGATTGGCTAATATGACAGAAAAGGAGAATGACATATGTTGGAAGGGCTGTAGAAAAATTGGGAAACAAATGCACTGTTGGTAAAGTTGAAAACTGACTCCACCATTCTGGAGAGCAATTTGGAACTATGCTCAAAGGGCTATAAAACTGTGCATACCCTTTGACCCAGCAATAGCACTTCTAGGGCTGTATCCCAAAGAGATTATACAATGGGAAAAGGACCCACATGTACACAAATATTTATAGTAGCTCTTTTTGTGGTGACAAAGAGTTGGAAATTGAGGGGATGCCCATCCATTGGGGAATGGCTGAACAAATTGTGGCATATAAATGTGATGGAATACTATTGTGCTATAAGAAATGACGAGCAGGCAGACTTCAGAAAAACTTGGAAAGACTTATATGGACTGATGCTGAGTGAAGTGAGCAGAACCAGGAGAACATTGTACACAGTAACAGTTACATTGTGGGATGACCTTAGCTCTTCTCAGCAATGCAAGGATCTAAGACATCTCCAAAAGTCTCATGATGGAAAATGCTATCCACACCCAGAGAAAGAACTCTGGAGTCTGAATGTAGATTGAAGCAGTTTTCAAACTCTCAGTGGTGGCGGTAGTGGGGCTCTTCCTCTTCCCCCTCTTCCCCTTCCCCTTGTCTCCCCCCCCCCGCTTTTCTTCTCTGTGTTTTCTTTTTCGACATGGCTAATACAGAAACCATTGCCCCTGTGGAAGCTGATGAGATAATCAAGGAAGCATGTTACAGAAAGATGAGAAGAGGACCTGCCTAAGATTGAGTATCAGGGAGAGAGAGAGAAAGAGAGAGAGAGAGAGAGAGAGAGAGAGAGAGAGAGAGAGAGAGAGAGAGAGAGAGAGAGAGAGAGACAGAGAGTGTGTGTGTGTGTGTGTGTGTGTGTGTGTGTGTCTGTGGTGACTGGGAGGTGGATGACCGTTCAGCCACACAGACTGAGCCAGATCAGCCACAGATACCAGGATAGTTGGGTCTCCAGGGAGTGTGGGCTGAGGCTCACCAAAAGCCACCTTGGAGGTGGAGTAGAGACAGACCTTTCCAGAGTGTCTGTGACCTTGAGCACGGCTACAGCTGCATGGTTGTGGCAGCAGAAGGGAGGGCAGGTGACAAGAGGGAAGGCCCCTGAGCTGCTGGGAAAAAGAGAGGTGGGTGTCTGACAGGCCACAGGCTGGGGGAGCTTTGACTATGTCCACCCACAGAAGGAACTCAGTGGGAGGAGGCAGCAATGGCCAGTAAGAGGGCTGGGAGGACGCAGGAAGAGACTCAGGCAAGGTCCCAAGGATGGGGATGACCTGGGTGGCAGAAGGGCTGCCTCTAGCTCCAAGTTGGCAGCCCAAGCTCGGCCCAGCTTGGCCTCCATGGCCGAAGAATCCTTCCTGAAGACCCCCAGCTCCTTAGGTCTGACGCCGCCATGGCCAGCGGATGGACCTGCTCCTCCTCCCCACCCCTCTCGACATTTTCCTCCCAGATCCCTACCTCAATGGCCATTTTAACCTCAGAAATGGCGTTCCACTCCAGGGGAGCCACATGAGTCTGGGCTGACTTCAAAAACCTTCGGCCCCTATCTGATGTATGTGAGGGAATCCAGGAAAGGATGAGTCCCCGAGCCAGGGCATTGCACAGCAACACCAACGTGACGGTGTCCCTGGAAGGATCATGCAGGAAGGCCCCAAGTCAGAGCCGGGATAGTGCAGCCAGAGGGAGGGCTCGGAGCATGGCCGTGGGGAAGCGGCGCCCTCTCTTCTTTCAGTCCCCACTTCCTACAAAGTGATTCCAGGAAACCTCTCCTCCCCCAGTGGGTTTGGGCAGTGAGCCTGGCTCCTCAGGGTGACTTGGGGATCCCCTAGTGGGCTCCCCTCAGCACAACAGGCCTGGGGTGAAAACCATCAGGGTTTCCCGGCCCATGGGGCTGTGTGATCCAGGTTTCCTGGAGGTAGCTGCCAAGACTGGGGCATCATTGACTGAAATGCCTCTGCTCCTGACTCGTATTTTGTGAAAGTTCTTGTTTTTTTGGAGGCAACCAGGATTGAGTGACTCGCCCAGGGTCTGCGTGTCTTTGTGTCTGAAGCCAGATTCTAAGCCGAGCTGATGCTCTGTCCACTGAGCTATCTAGCTGGAAGTTCTTTCACATGAGGCATAGGGCACCCCCAAGTAACCCGAGATGGGTCATGTTTGCTAAAAAGGGGTTAGGACAGGGGGGATGAGCTAACCCCTGGTCCTGTTATTTGTTACCTATGTGTCCAGGCCCAGGTCTCAGTTTCCTCATCTGTCATAGGAGGTCATGGACAGGACCGTCGCTGACATCCCTTCCCAGTCTAGATAGTTAGAAGGGACTTCGGAAGCTAGCTATTCTAAAATGGTCATGTAACAGATGGGGAAACGGAGGCCCCCCACAAGGAAACTTCCAAGGAAGTTTCCAAAGGATAGCCTCTGATCCCTCCCACAGGGTTTCTTGTCCAGAGCAAGAGTCCAGATAGCCCGACTCTGGCCATGCTGCATTGAAAGGGGGAGGAATGAAAAGATGGGGGTTTCCCCCTCCCCCTCAGGGCATCCTCTTTGGGGGCCCCAGGTCCGGAAGGCTCCCCCTCCTCTACTCCCACTAATGACCTCACAGATTCCCATGAAAGCCCCCTTCATTCCCAGCCTGTTTGTAGACTGGGTTTGCCTATTGTCTCCTCCATTAGACAGTGAGCTTCTTGAGGGCAGGGCTTGTACACAGAAGGTATGTAATAAATGCTTGGGGACTTGCCAGTCCTGTGTATGGGCTTCATTTGCACACGAGGCTCCCAGCACCTCCCGGGACAAAAGATACCTCGAGCATTTAGGGGAAGGCCCCCTCCCCATGTCCCTGTCACAGGCACGTTTTCCCTCTCGGAATTACCCTGTCCTTATGCTGTTCCCCACACCTCCCCCCCCCGGAAAGTGTAAACCTCTGGAGGGCAGGGCCTTGCAGGCTAAGTGCAGCTAGGGCCTTCCCTCACCCATTGTGGCCCGTGATTTTCATGATGTTCAGCAGGCTCTGCAGCAGGTCCACCAGCTCTCTCTGCCGGCCAGCAGTGATCAGGTGATGGTTGTGGTTGAGGACATAAACTACTGTGTTGTGGACCAGCCAGGCCTCGTTGATCTCCTGCCCGATCTCTGCTGACCGCAGCCAATTCCTCATCGTGTACTGAGATAGGTTTTCGATCCAGGAGCTGGAATGATAAGAGGGCCCCAGGGACCCTCAGAACCACCCCAGTAAGAGTCTTAGAAGCCCCTCCCCCAGGGAGCTGGGAAAGGGCAGTCCAAAGCCAGGGAGGTCCAGAAGGGCATCTGGAGAGTGGGGGCCCCACTTCTGTCAAGGACCAGAGAGGTCCAGGAAGGTGTCTGGAGGGGCAAGGGGGCCCCACTTCTGTCCAGGGCAGGGAGGCCCAGGAGGGCATCTGGGAGGGCACTTCTGTCAGCCACACAGCTCTGGAGCTGCAGGCCCCCAAAAGAAAGAGCAATGCCTATTGTCACTATTACTTGTAGTCACAGAGATCAAAGCAGAAAAAAGCATGAGAAGCCTCTAGTCTTCCCAGATGGAGGATGGGGAAGGGAGGGAGCGAGTGTGAGGTTTGAAGGAAGAGAGCCTGGGTTCAAATTCTGGCTCTTCCATTTACTAGTTGTCTCCATCTCTGAGCCTCAGTTTCCTCATCTGTAAAATAGATACTTTGAGGTCCTGTCAAGTTCTCAGACAACGATATCAGCCCAGGATACTTTTGTGCATTTTCTGGTGTGAATTCCCTCTTTGCTGATCTAGGTGATGCTAGACCAAGGAAGAAAGAAGGGAAGGAAGGAAGGAAAGAAGGAAGGGAGGGAGGATGGGATGGAGGGAGGGAGGAAGGAAGAAGGGAGGAAGAAGGAAGGAAGGAAGGAAGGAAGGGAAGAAGGAGACAGGGAGGAAGGAAAGAAGGAGGGAATGAGAGAGAAGGATGGAAGGCAGGACAAAGCCCTGACATCCTCCTGTCAGGCCAGCAGAAGCTGACACCATCTTGTCCAAGCCCTTCAGTTTTGGGAGCATGGGGAGGAGAGGCCCCCCCGCCCCCACCCAGTGAGTTCTTGGAAGACCTGGAGCTGTGGGGGGTGGTCATCAGTAGTGCAGCTCAGCTAATTCCAGTCACCCAACCCTGATGGACACCATCCTCTGGTCCCAAAACAACTGCCTACTTGGCTAAGCCATGATCAATGGTAGTTTTAAGATGATGGGAAGCAGGTCTAGAGTGGAGGTCCCCAGGAATCTGGGCTTGTCTCTCTCTGGTTCACATTTTTATCAGGGATCTGGATAAAGGTCATCAGATTGGCAGATGACACCGAGATGGAAAGAAGAGCTACCCCACTGTGGATGAGAGCCAGGAGCCAAAGGGATCTTGACAGGTCACATATTAGGCTGAATCTAATAAATGCAATATCTTTCATGTGGGCTCAAACATCAGCTTCATGAGTAAAGATAGTAAACATCTGGAAGGTCTGAGTGGTTCACAAGCTGCACTGGATTTGGCAGTGGGATGTGGCTGCTGACAAAGCTCATGGGATCGTGGGACACAACCTTCAAGAACAGGGAGGTGAAAATGCCCCTGGTCTCAGACCACCCTCTTCTAGACTGTGAAGTGCAGGCAGGGGAAAGGGCCCTGACTCGTGCCACAGGAGGGCCACACCCCACTGGCTCAGAACCAGAAGCCGTGCAGGGGATTTAGGCTGATTCCTGAACAGCGAGAACTGTCCCCCAGTAGGGAGTGCTGCCTGGAGGAGGGAGGCCTCCCCAAAGGTCACTGAGCACAGATCAGGAGACCACTCGTCAGGGACGTCAGGGCAGGATTTTGGTCAGTTTGGCTGCTGCAGCCTCTTCTAAGACTGTGACTGTGTGAGAGGGCTGGGAGGGACACAGCAGGGGAGGCCCAGAGACCCACAAAACCAGCCAGGGGAGAATACCCACAGGCTGACATGGAAGGTGGGACTCAGACCTGCACCCGTTGGAGTGCCAAGGACATGCTCCTGGGCTGTGAGAAGCAAAAAGACTGGGGCAGAGAGAAGGCCTCCAAATCTGGAAGGCTAGGATTCTGAGATCTGTGCTGGTGGAGGGAGTTCCCTCACCTGGGAGTTCCTTGTCCCAAGGGGCCACAGAAGATGGTGCTCTAGGTGGGAGGGAACTACCCTGGTTGGCTGCTCTTGGCCCTGACTCATCAGTTTTAGCAGCAGCAGGAAGGAGGCAGAGGGGGCCATTTGTCAACCTGCCCTGGGATCCCCTGGCTTACCCAGTGTGCACCTGGGAGCCAGAGGAAGAGCCAAGGTTCTGAGGGGTCCTTGCACATCTGCCAGGGTGGGGAAGTGAAACCCCTATCGGCTCCTGCTATGACCCCCAGCACTGCTCTCTCTGTCTGTCTAACCTGGCCATGAACCTATTAGGTCAGAATGTAGGCTGGCCTCAGGAAGAATGAGCCCAAGGGGCTGGGGTGGGTAGGGGGGGAGCAGACCTGTAGGTAAGCCACTCGGCGTCCTCCTCTGGGGGAACCATGGTGTTGCTGGAGTGGTGCTGGACTGAGGTTTCTGGGGGGATGGGCCGGTCATTCAGTGCGATGCCCTCTGACTGAAGGAAGTGGATGATGGCCTAGGAGTGTTAACAAAGGACTCAGGAATGATGCATCCCTATGCTCAGGGGGCTGAAGACCCAGCATCACTGCTGGACCCTAAAGTTGGCCACATGGCCCCACATCCCATGAGCAGCAGGGACTGTGGGTCTAGGCGGCCCATCGCATGGAAGGGCCATCGCGATTCTGCACACTGGGGTCTAGGAGATGGGGCAGAGGTGGGGAGGAGCCATCACCCCCCCCCCAGGTTGTAAGGATACCGGGTCATTGACCCCTCTGGGACTTTCCTGTTATGGTGGAAGGGGTGTGTGTGTGTGTGTGTGTGTGTGTGTGTGTGAGAGAGAGAGAGAGAGAGAGAGAGAGAGAGAGAGAGAGAGCGTACCAGACACACAGAGACGAGAGACAGAGAGAATGTGAGAGTGACAAAGTGTGTGTAAGAGTGTGAGTGCTTGTGAGTGTGTGAGACAGTGTGAGTGTATGAGCATGAGTGCATGTGTGTGTATGTGTGTGTGTGTGTGTGCGCGCATATGGGTGCATGGGAGTGCCTGTGCCAGTGTGACAGCGAGCACTGCAAGTACAAAGGCTTAGCACGTGCCCATCTCAAGCACGGTCTCAACTGTGGACCATGGGCAGCTCTCTCTCTTCTCTCTCGCTGTCTCTCTCTCTCTCTGTCTCTGTCTCTCTCTCCTCTCTGTCTCTGTCTCTCTCTGACTCTCTGTCTGTCTGTCTGTCTGTCTCTCGTCTCTCTCTGACCCTCTGTCTGTCTGTCTCTCTGTCTCTGTCTCTGTCTCTCTCTCTCTGTCTCTCCTCTCTCTCTCTCTCTGTCTCTGTCTGTCTCTCTCTCTCTGTCTCTTTCTCTCTGTCTCTCTCTGTCTCTCTCTCCTCTCTCTCTGTCTCTGTCTCTGTCTTGTCTCTGTCTCTTTCTCTCTGTCTCTGTCTGTCTCTGTCTCTCTCTCACCATCGTCTGAGGGGTGGCCTCAGGACGCCTGATTCCGCCCCCACACCCATAGGAGCAGGTGTCCCTGTCCCTGCTGACCTCGGCGTTGATGAAGCCTACTTCAGCAAAGGTGCGCTGGATATCCACCACCATGATCCTGGGGCTCAGCGCCACCTCTGAAGAGCTCGGGATGTCCAGGAAGAGCTCAGGCCATGGCTTCCTTTTCCTCACTCCTCCTAAAACAATGGTCGGTGGTCCACTTTCACCACACTGGAGTCCTCATGCAGAGCACACACACAACCCAGCTCTGGGGTCCTGGGAAAGAGAGACCCTCCCCAACCTTCCCCCGCTGCATCCTCAGGGCTGCCCAGGGAAGCTCCGAGTCCTGGGCTCAGATCTGAGCCTCAGTTTTCTCATCCCTCTGATGGGGATGGTAATGGCTGCCCTGCAGACCCCCACGGGTCACACAAAGCACTCTGGGTACCATAAAGACACCCCACAGACACCAACTATTCTGGTCAAAGTCCCCATTATAGAAGCTGATGTGGCCCTCCACAATCTGGTCCCAATCTTGTTTTCTGTCATTACAAGATGAAATCTGCCCCCACTCAGGGCCTCTGTGGCCACAGTGGCAGTGAGGAGGTGCCACAGAGTGCAGGGCCTAGAACCAGGAAGACCCAAGTTCAAATCTAGCCTCAGACATTTGTGAGCTGAGTGACCCTAAATATGTCACTTAACCTCTGCCTCCATCTCCTCAACTGTAAAATGGGGGTTCATAATAGCACCCCCTCCCAGGGGAGTTGTGAGAATCCAATGGAATAATAACTGTAAAGCATGTAGCACGATGCCTTCACACAGTAGGTGCTTAATAGAATAAATGCTTGTTTCCCTGTTCCTTTCCTGAACCAGCCTCCCACGCTTCATCCTCCATCCATCCAATCTCCCCGTCTCCCTGGTGCCCTCTCACTTCCACTTCGTCTCAGCCTGCCTTTGTCATGGAGTTGCCTCTGATCAGGGGAGAGGAGCTAAGGCCTGCAGAGTGCAGGGAGTGCACGTGTGTGTGTGTGTGTGTGTGTGTGTGTGTGTGTATGTATGCAAGTGTGAGGATGTGTGCAGGTGGGAGTGTAGGGGAGGGGTAGGAGGGCATGTACAAGTGTGAGGGTGTGCATGTGTACATATGTGTGTGAAGGAGTGTGCGCATGTGTGAAGGATTGTCTGGGGGAGAGTGAGTGCTTGGGGGGTATGGGTGCATTGGGAGGGTGTGTACATGTAAGGGTGTGTTGCACACATGTAAGGAGTGTGTGTACAGGTGAAGGAATATGTGTGCATTCATTGTGGGGGGGTGCATGTGTGTGAGGGTACTATGCACAAATGTGTGAGTGTTGCACACATGCATGTGAAGGGATTCACGTGCATGAAGAATGTATGTACACACATGTGCATATGTGAAGGTGTGTGCATGCACAAAGGGGTCTTGCGGAGTTGTGTACATTGTGAATGTGTGTGTACTCACGTGAGGGTGTGGGTGTGTGCTCTGTGAAAGGGTCTGGGGCAGGAGTGTGCGGGCAGGGCCAAACAGCTGACTCACCTTTCCTGACCTTGGATATCTTCTTGGCCATTACGTCATAGAGAAGGCAGAATCTGCAGGCAGTCCGGCACACGTCCCACACGCCTTGCTTCCGGGCCACCTTAGCTAAATCGGCCCAAATGTAGATCCTGGCCCCAAGAGCCCAAACAGGGAAAGGCCTTTGGGGGCTGACTTGCCCCGCCCCCCAGAGGCCCCGCCCCCACGGCCCCGCCTTGCTCCCTTGAGCGACGGGGTGGAGGGGGTGGAGAGCCGACCCTGGAGCCCCGTCTTCAGGAGCCTCTAATCTCCTGCCTGGACACTGTGGGCACGGCCGACAAGCCTCGGTTTCCTTATGTGAAGGGCTGTTGTGAGCAGTCACCGAGATGATGCCTGAAAAGCGCTTTGCAGCCTAGCCCCGTCGTGTCCGAGACAGGGAGACCGAGGCTCCGCGAGGGGGTGGCATTTGTCCGAGGTCATACGAGGTCATACAGAAGCAGGACAGCCTGGATGGGAACTTTCCCCACAATGAGCTCAAGGCTTCTTCCTGGGGCTCCGCGGCCTTTGGGTGGCTGGCTGCAGGTGATGCAGGCGCCAGCAAGCAGCTGCCCCAGTGACTGCGAAGCCCAGAGACAGACCCTGGGAGACAGTGACCTTGAGAGAAGGAGGCTGCCTCCCCAAGGGCTGGGCGGGTGTCTCCCACATCGTCCCTCCTGCAGCCCCTCCCTGCAGCAGAAGCAGCCCTGGGGGGCGGGGCCGGGCGGGGCTCACCTCTCCTCCCGGTTGTCCAGCTTCAGCCTCTTCAGATGGCCATCGGCTTTGTCTATGCTCGACATGTGATGGCGGGCCTTGGCGCAGAGGAAGCTGATTTGTCTCCTGCTCTTACCGGCCGACACTAAAAGTGGGGAAAGAAGCCCAAGACGCTGAGAGGCTGTCGAAGATGCGGCCTCTCCTTTGCGAGGCGGTCCAGAAGTTCTGGGGGCCTGTGCAGCCGCAGGCCGTGGCCCCGCCTCCTCCCCTCTTCCTCTCTGCCCGAGCTTCATGCTAAGCTTGGGGGGAAGAGCAGCAGAGCCCGGGAGAGCAAAAAATGCCAAGCCTCTTATGCTGGCTAATGTGGATGCCCAGCCAGAAGGCGCAGATGTGGGGGCGGAGGGCATGTCCGTCCTGCCTCTGTGGGCCTCTGAGTCATCTGTGCAAAATGATAAGACTGCTCAAGCCATCTACCCCCGAGGCTGCTGTGGAGACAGGGCTTCTGAGCCACTCGCCACTCCACTAATTCTCAGCGTCCCTGTGGACAGGTGAGTTAGGTTATGAGGCATGTGATGGCACTTTGAAAGGTGGGACCACCTGACCTGCGGCCCCCAGCTCCCAGCCCCCTCCCCTGCCCAGAATAGGACAACCCATAAATGGGATGGGACAAAATATCTTTCAAGTTCCTTCTCTCTCTCTCTCTCTCTCTCTCTCTCTCTCTCTCTCTCTCTCTCTCTCTCTCTCTCTCTCTCTCTCTCTCCTCTGTCTCTGTCTTTGTCTCTCTCTCTTTTTGTCTCTCAGTCTCTTTATATTGAGAATGGACGACAGTCTTCTCTAAGAGCAGGTGAAGAATAATGAACATCACAGATCACAAAGAACTGAGGACATGGGGAACGGCTGGAGGTGCCTCTAGATATCTCAGTGCTCAGAGCTCCAAGGGTCAGTTAGCTACCTTTGGCCTCATTCTCGCCATCCAGAACAATTTGAAAAGCGTCTGGTGCCAATGCCAGGCCCACGTTCACCAGCAGAGCCCGTTTTTTCCTCACGCTGTCTTTGGGTTTTGCTTTTTTCGCCTGTGATAAACAAGAGTTGACACCGTGAGGGTGGCAAAGGCCACTAATGGTTTCTGTTCTAGAGGATGGAAGGGACAAAGGAGTTGCCAGGATGAGTCCTGGGCCCAGGCTGCAGAGTATGGGCTCTAGCTCTCCTCCTTTCCAGGCTGATGCCCTGGGGACCAGGACAAAGCCCTGGACTTCTCAAGGCTTCCCTGCTTATCTGTAGAATAAGGGAGTTGGGGGCCTCTGAGCCCCCTGCCCACTCAAATGATCAGTGATGCAAAACTTCCAGAGCTCATTTCTAGCCTGGGGGGAGGGCACACTCTCTTCAGGCAGTGAGGGAATCCTCACTAGCCACAGGCTCACAGCCGCCTCACATTTCAAGCAGAACTATCAATATTTTCTTTTTTTTTTTTCTTTTTAGGCAGTTGAAGTTAAGTGACTTGCCCAGGAGTGTCAAGTGTTTGGCCTTGAACTCAGGTCCTCCTAACTTCAGGGCTGGTGCTATATCCACTGTGCCACCTAGCTGTCCCCCCATCAATATTTTCTAGAAAAGAAACTGCTTTGGATTTCCTTAGACCTTATGCTTTCCAGGAGTTGGGAGAGATAGGAAATGGATGGTGCTGGTGCTGAAGGCAGGCACAGAAGAAGAGGAATAGTGAGGAGACAACTCTGGTCATAGCTTACTGCCCACAGAAACCACTGGTTTTTAGCCCATGGGCCAATAGCACCCAGGTGCCTGGACACACCTGGACAGGGAGCTATTACAAGGCAGTTGGGAATCTTGCACTTAAGCAGCCTTGCTGTGACCTTTATTGTGTTCAACAACATCTGTAGCTGTATGACTCAGTATCATCAGTAAGCAAACAGACCTTTGGCAGATGGAACATAGCACCACTGTGCTTATAACCACCAGGTAGGATGGAAGCCCAGTTGTGCAACATAGTCTACAGTGTTTACCCATTATTTTAAATCTAGAGGCGGTAGTGTTTGTTGGCTTTTTTCTTTCCTTTTCAAGGAGCTACATTAGTAAACTGGTCTTTTACAGCTTTTACAGTTTGGTGTTTTATGGCTTTAGCATACGCTGACACCAGATATTGCACTGAAATGGCTTGGTGCCTAGTCCGATGACCTTATCATCTCAGTCTTCATTCTTGAGCCCTCTGTAGCTGCTGACCACCCTCACCTCCTGGATACTTTCTTCTCTCTCCCTCTTGGTTTTTTGTAACTCTGCCCTCTCCTCGTTTGCCTCCTCCCTCTCTAACGGCTCCTTCTCAGTCTCTATGGCTGGATCCTTCTCTAACCATGGGTGTCTCCCAGGGCTCTGTCCTGGGCTCTCTGCTCTTCTTCCTCTAGACTACTTCACCTGCTAATCTCATTGGCTCTCTTAGTTATAAGGATCATCTCTATGCCGATGACTCTTGGACCTATTTGTCCAGCCCTAATCTGACTCCTAATGTCCGCTCTCATATCTCCAGATGCCTCTTAGACATCTCAAACTAGATGTCCAGTAGCATCTTAAATGCGGAACATGTCCCAAGCTTCCCTGTTACTTTACTAGCCAACATGCCTCAGACTTGCAGCCTAGGAACCATCCTCAATTCCTCACTCTTTCTCATACCCCTATCCAATACCCCTATCACTCCTGTTCTCTGCAATATGGCTCCTTCTCTTATGATCCTGCTGTCACCTTGGCGCAGACCCTCATCCCCTCGTGCCTGGAGTAGCTGCTGGGTGGTGGTGGGGGTGGGGAGTGTCCACCTGTCTCCAGTCTCTTGCCACTCCAGTTTGTCTTCCATTCATCTGTCTAATTGATTATGTCACACATCCCATTCAGTCAGCTCCAAGGGTCCCCTATGGCCTCCAGGATCAAATATTAAATCCTCTGTTGGGATCCCTAGCCCCTAATAATGTAATGCCTTCTTTCCTTTCCAGACTTCTTACATCTTACTAGGCAACCAGGTGGCACCAGTCTGTGCTGTGACATCAAATCCCAAATCTCTCAGCTTCCCTCTGACTGGGTTTCACCTGGCAGACTCCAGGCTCTTCCCTATGCTGGCTGGCCTTCTCTGGACACTCTCTGGCCCATCCGTGGCCTTCCCCAGATAGAACTGATCCTTCAGAGGAGGCCTGAGTCCATGGGAGATTTCAAGAACCCAGCTCTGACACTAAGAGTCATGCCGTGTGGGTGCTGGCTGCCTCCCCTCTCCACATCCCCGGAGCAGGGGCTAGCAGAGGGCTTACCACTCCATGCTTCATAAGGAATGCGTTTTCATTATTGGTTCAGCTGACTGCTGAACACGTGTTCTTTTTTGATGTGTTCTGCACCAGGCCTGAAGTCAGGAAGATGAGTCTTCCTGAGTTCAAACTAGCTGTAGGACCCTGGGAAAGTCACTTTGCCCTGTTTGCCTCAGTTTCCTCATCTGTAAAATGATCTGGAGAAGGAAATAACTAACCACTCCAGGATCTCTACCAAGAAAACCCCCAATGGGGCATGAAGAGACAGACATGACAGAAATGACTGAACAATAACAAAAATATTTAATTAGGGTATTTGGGGGGGAGGGGTGAATGAGCATCTCTAGACAGATGACTCCTAGATCTAGATCTCCAGGCCTAGCCCCTATCCTTAGCTTCCATTCCTAGATCACAAACTGAACATCCTGTGGGCATCTCACACTCAACCTGTCCAAACCAGAAATCATTCTTTTCCCCCAAATGCCCCCCTCTTTTCCCAACTTCCTCCTTCCTGTTGAGGGTACTGCCTTCCTCCCAGGTACCCAGGCTTGAAATCTGGGCATCATATTTGTCTCCTTTCCTCCTCTGACTCTCTCGGTGCCCCGACTCACACCCCCAACCCCTCATACCTGGGCTGCTATAATCACCCACTTGTGGGTCTCTGTGCATCAAGCCTCACCCCATCCCAAACCATCGTCAGTGCCAATACCCAAGTGGTTTCCTAAAAGCATGTCATCCTGAAGGTGACTCATCACCCGACCTTATACAACATATACTCTCTTCAAGGCCATGCCCTTTGTGCCTTTTTGATTGAGTCTTCCTATGTGTTACCGCCGCCCTCTCCTTCTCCCTCAAACACAATTCTCCATCTTCCATCCGTGCCTTCCTCCTCACCTCCCCCCAGCTCCCCAGACTCCCTAACTCCCAAGTCTTCCTTCCACCAATTCTGTGTGCATAGTCTATGTATATACACCCTGTCTGCCTCATTAGAATGGAAGTTCCCCAAGAGCAGGAACAGAGTTTGCTCTTTTGATCCTCAGTAATCCTCAGCATAAGGCCAGTAGTGCTTAATAGGTGCTTAATAAATGCTTACCAATTGAGTGGTTGGTGCATCATTGGCTTGAAGTCTCAATCCACTGAAATGGACCATGTCTCTGTCCAGCTTGCTTGGCCTATCCCATGTACTCATGGGAAAGTGATTTGGAATCCAAGGAGGCCCTATTCTGTGTCTCGTCCAGATCTTCTCTGATTTCCTGACACTATCATCCAACATGGCGGCTCTCCCCCTTGAGGCAAATTGGGCACCGTTCCCATCAAGTCACGGATAGAACTATCACGTAGCACAATGTCCAGGACAAGCATCCTGCTCATTTGTGAGAAACCTTGGAAACTGCCTTGTCCATTGCAGATGGTAAATAGAAGGCATGGAATGACTGAATGAATGAAGGAAGGAAGGAAGGAAGGAAGGAAGGAAGGAAGGAAGGAAGGAAGGAAGGAAGGATGGATGAGTTGTCCCTTCGGTGCTTGCTTTCATCATCTTTTTAGAGATACCACAATAGCTCACATGTCTACGGCACCTGAAGGTTTGCAAGGTGGTTGTCTATATAGTACTTCACCTGGGCAGTAGGCCACCCCACCCAGGTGATTGCTATTAGCTCCATTTTATCCATGTGAGAACAGAGGCTTCGAGAGATTAATTAACCAGCTAGTTCGTAGTCCCAAAGACAGGCCACGTCACGGGTGGGATTCAGTCCCACAGCTTGCATGAGCCGGCTCCCTCTCCACAAGTCCCCCGTACCTGTTCAATGGCCATGATAGCCTTGTCTTCCATACGCTTGGGTACGTGGTACAACATGGATCGCAGGTGGAGGCGGTTGTATGCCATTTTGAGATGTTCTTGGTATTCCCCCAGGTAATCCAGACGCATTGCCTTCTGGAGGTGCTCCATTGCCACCTCTAGCCTGTCCTCATCCTCCTCAATGTGGGAGATTTCAATGTGGACCTGGCAGCGCATCACAGTCATCAAGCTAGGAAACGGAGAACAAGCATTGGTCAGTCTGAGACGGCTTGGTTCCTGACCTTGTCCTGGGCCCCTCAGCAGCTGTCTGACGGGCCTTCCCCCAGTGCCTGGGGCCCTCCCCAAAGCCCACCACCTTCTCTCCTCCTGGAGCCACCATTTTGTGCAGGGACTTTCTCTTCTCAGCCCCCTACCGATCTCCTGATTTCAAAATCAGGTCCTACTTCCCTTTGTCTCCCTCCCCGTTTTGTGCATTGTCTCCTCCCATTAGATTGTAAGCTCCCTGAGGGCAGGGTCCCTCTTTCTTTCTTCATCTTTGCATCCCCAGTGCTTAGCACAGTGCGTGCCACATAGTAGGTGCTTCATAAAGATTTCCTATGCCCAAGTCAGAGGAAGCTCAGCACTGGGGGCCCAGGAACAAAAATGGAGGCACTTCCTCCATTGCATAGGGAGAAACAACACAAATAGCCACAAGTTTACCCCAAAGTAGTACAGACTCCGGGGAGCTGAGGGGATCAGCCAAGGCTTGACCAGGAGCTGGTGCTTGAGCTAATGGCTAATGTTTACATAGCACTTACTACAATAGTTACTATCTCAACCGATCCTCAGAACAACCCTGTGAGAATTAGGGGTTGTGCCCATTTTACAGATGAATAAATGGAGGCAAGAAGGGTTAAGTGACTTGCCAAGGGTCACACTGCTAGTAAGTGTCTGAGGCTGAATTTGAACTCTGGTCTTCCTGCCTCCGGGCCCAGTGCTCCACCCCCCGTACCACCTGCTGGCATGAGCTTTGGCAGCCAACTAAGAATGTTCTGAAATGAAAGGGTCGCTCAGTTTTTAGAGAGCAGAACATCCGTGGAGGACTTCTGAGAAGTTGGACCAAAAGGCCCTCCCGTGGGTGACCTGCATCGCCCTCGGGGTCCCTTCCCCCTCAGAGGGGGTTCTGTGATGCCACAAAGACGTGGTTGAGGAAGGAGAATGAGAAAGGCCACACCCATGCATGTACAAACACACACTCACACACACAAGACACGTACACACAGCACATACATATACACTTATAGTCACATGCATTCCACACATGTGCACACATGCCCACAATTCACACGTGCACACCACAATGCATACGTGCACATAGACATGCATGCTGCAGTGCACATGGCATTGTATTCTTACAATACAATGCACACATGTGTGCATATGTGTACACACGTGTGCCATAAAGAGATGAGAGGATCCGGATATGGTAAGCACCAGTGGCTTCCCCAAAAGGAAATGTACTGGATTGCATCTGAACAATCAATAACCCCTCTCCAAGCACTAAGTGCCCACCCTATAGGTGCCAGGCCCTGGGCTGAGAGCTGGGCACAAAGAATGAAATATCCTTGGCCTTCCAACAGCTTACAGTCTGCCCTTGTAGCCAAGAGCACAATGGATAGAAGATAAAGGGGGGGAGTGGGGGGAGGGAGGCCCCCAAAGGGCACCAGAAGGTGGCACTGGATGTGAGTCTGGACAGAATCAAGGCATCCCAGATGGGGCAATGCAGAGGGAGTGGGTTCCAATGTGGGAGACCACCAGGGCAAAGGCTCTGAGGTGGGAAAGCAGGGCTGTGCATGAAGCAACTAGGATGCAGAGAGGGCAGCTGGCTGGGATGCATTACAGGGGACCTCTGGACCTTAGCTTTCAGTGATTCACAGCTCATTATTGGGGCAGCTGGTGGCTCAGTGGGCAGAGCTCTAAGCCTGGCATCAGGAAGAGCTGTGTTCAAATCTGGCCTCAGACACTACCTGTGGCACCCTGGGCAGGTCACTTACACTGCTCTGCCTCAGTTTCCTCATCTGTAAAAGGGAATAATAGCAGCACCCTCTCCCGGGGGTGCTTGAAGGATCAAACAAGATTAAATGCTTCACAAGCCTTAATGTGCTGCTATTATTATTATTATTATTATTATTATGATCATCATTACTATTACTACCAAGGGAGGCTGAATGCTGGGTGATACAGGCCAACATCCTCCTCAGAGGATGCCGACCACATGCCTGGATGGAGCATGGCACACTGGGCTCTTACTCAGGTGAGGGCCTCTGGGGAGAGAGTGCCCTGGATCAGGCAAAGGGGGGATGGGCACCTGGGCCAGGTGTGACTGGGTGACTGGGAAGCACTGGGGTGGGGGCCTTGGGCTGGGGGGGTGTCTGCCAGGGAGCTCAGTCAGGGGCCCAAAGGATGGAGTAAGTCAAGGTCATGGCCCTAACAGCAGACCCAGAGACCTCAGCCACTACAGACAGACTGCTTTCACTCTAATCTCTAGGAGGTGTTTGTGACAATGAGCCACACAGGTGCTGGGGCTCGGTCCTCCCCACCTGCAGCTGCATTGCTGCTCTTCACCACCAGGTGTCTCCCGTGCATGTGCTAACCTTGTACCAGCCCCATGAGAGATGGAGCTCAACAGGACCCATGGGCCCTCCCAGAGTGGCCTGTGCCAGCACAAAGAAAGTCCTGCAGAGAGCACCCCTTCGGAGCAGTCTTCTCAACCTTGTGTCCTGGACAGAAGTCCTCAGCCTTCTAAATGGTCTTCTGATTCTAACCTTGGGCTTCCTGGGAAGCTGATGGACCCTCCCTTCCCACCCCCATCCCCCTGAAAAATGTTTTGCTGTAACTGAATGAACACTCAGTTTCAGTTAGAGGTGAGTGAAGATAAAGATACCCATTTTTCCCCACCCAAGTTCATCTTTCCATGGTGGATTCCAGGTTAAGAACCCCTGCTGGAGAGGCTGAGGTTTCCTTTAGAACTGGCACTGCCTCATCTTCACTGAGCCCCAGAATGCCCCAGGGCTTCCTCAGAGGACATCTAGAAACAGTCCATCCAGGTACAGCTAAGAGGAAGAGAAAGTCCTTTTGTGCAGGAGCTCTTATGGAAGTTCATCCATCAGTACAAAGAATCTAGTTTGGGTTGTGCGGGCCAACCAACAGGACCTGCCATTGAGTCATGTGCAGAAAGTGGGCTGGATGGCTTGTGAAAACTCATGCAATGCTTCTAAACACCCCCAGCCATGGCCCCGAGGAAGAGGTATGCCAACATCCTTCACCTAGTGCCTTTGCAGAGGTGGGGCACGCTATCTACAATGTCAGGCTTTGAGATACATTGGTTAGTCTCGCAAAAAAAATTTTTTTTAGTCCTTCCTTTCTTCATCCTTGATTATGAGAAGTGGATTTCTGGGAGGTGTAGGGGGACCCATGTACTGGGAAGTGCAGGTGATGTAAAAACACAAGATCAGTAACATTTATTTTTAAAACCCCACAAGCTTTTGTTCGCAAGTCCATATTTTTAACTGGGGTCTCCTAGCAGGGATGCTGTGTGGCTGTGTGTATTGGGACAGCACAGCTCCCCAAGAATGAAAGCTGTGAGCAGTGACCAGGGTGAAGGGTTAATGTACAAGATCTTCCCTTCCCACAGCCCAAGCCAAGGGACAAGGAACTTCCCTAACTTATCGTTCTGGGATTTGTTTCAACCCAGACCCACCTTGGGGAACTATTCCTTAGAAACAGGTCTTGAGGAAAACATCCAGGGACTTGGCCAGTTCCTGGGTATTGACCTGAGACATTTTTGACATAACAAAGATTGTTCTTGAGGTCAGAGAGTTTTGGCCAAGACTCTCAGGTCCTTAAAATCAATCACCTGTTCCTTGGCTCCCTGCCTTCTTTGTGTAAGGAAGACAAAAAGGGTCTTTCTTGGAAAGTGACTTTGAGAGTCTCCCTCAGAGAGGAAGCTCTGCTGTAGGGACTTTCCCAACCGAGACCCTGATGGCTGTGATACAGGACTCCCTCAGGCAGATGTTGAGGAGTTGGTGCTTCCTCTGACTGGTGATGTATTTCTTCTTCTTTATCTCTCTATCTTTATGTTAATAGTTTTTGCTTCCAAGATTGTATAATCATATGTAATCACATTTATGTGCATGTATGTTTATGACTATTATCATTATTAAATCACTTATAAGCTAGGAAAAGTGTGAACATGTGTCTTTGTGGGTACAGATCTGACCCTGTGAAACAAATTATAAGTGCTGCGCAGCCTGTAAGGCCTCACTGTTACACAGGGTCAGTACCAAGGCACAGTGGGGTCCACATGCACTGACATTTCTGAGGGTAACTGGAGCCCGAGGCATTTGAGGGGCATCATTGATGAAATGGAAAACTGAAAAAGGCTAGGTAGGAGGGCTGTAGGAAACTGTGTAACTTCCCAGGACCTACACCAGGGCCCCCAATCCCTGGGCTGGCAGGACTGATGTGGGGAGAGAGATGAGAACCCCCAAGAGAAGGTGGAAGGGTCTCAGTCCCTATCATGAGTGGTCCCAGACTCACTGCATCAGTGCTTGCTCTACAAGGTGGCATCTCTAGTCCCTGGCAACCTACTAGGGTATTGTACCACATGACATCATTTCTGGCCAATGTTGCATCTTACCAAGGTCTGAGCATCAGAAAATCCTGCCGCCTTCAAGCCAGTGAAAGGAATCTTCCTGGCCACGGGAATGATAGGCACACACCGGGACCATCTAGCCCACTGGAGCCAACCACACCTCCCAAGGACATACCCTGGGCGGGGCTGTTTCCTGGCAGCTCTGCGGAGGCGCTGCTGGAGGCTGGCCCCAGACCTTCACCTGCCCCGAGCAGGGAGCAGAGCGCTGCAGCTGTGCGTCGGAGCGCGGGCGCCGGGAGGCTCTCGCAGCCGCTGTAAAGCAGCGGGAACACGTCGCTCACCTGTCCATCTTCTCCAGGATCTCGGCCACCTGGATCAAGGGCTTGAGCAGGTGACCGCGCAGGTTGTGCTGCAGCAGAGGCAGGCACAGGTTCCACTGGGTGGCGCACACCACCTGCATCACATCGGGGTCTTTGAGGCGGCTGGCGCGGAGCAAGGCCGAGTTCAGCCTCTTGATCACGTTCAGCTGGGTCTGCGCCAACAAAGAGAACGCAAGGTGAGTCAGGTCGGGGTGTGTGCGCTGAAACGCACTTACCAAAATCAATATGGAGCCTAGGTCGAGGCGCGTCCTCAAGGGGCAGCTTCTGCCCAGGTAGCCGTGCCTCTCTGAAGACCTCGGCCCTTCTAGAGCCCTCCACAGTTTTAGTCGGCTCCCTTAAAGCCTCCCAAGTCCAGAGCAGGCGGATGGCTGACAAGCGCCAGCTCCCCCAGTGAGTTACCGAGCTAAAAGCAGATGAAGAAACTGAGGCAGCAACCAAGTAAAGGCACATTGCCAGGGCCTGAGGCAGGCACCAGACTCGAGTCTCCCGAATCTCGGGCAGAGTTCTCTTCATGATGTGTGGGGCTGGTCTCCCGGCTCTGGCCACCATCCTGGCTCTCATCCCACACTTTCTGCACAGCCATCCTTTGGAGAGGGGAGCTTTGGCTTTATCTAGCCCTGGAGCATCCCCCTTGTGTTCGGCCAGGGTGGTCTCCTTTCCATGTCCCTTCACGGGATCCTTTCTCTCCCTCTCTTTCCTTATCGGTCACCTTCCCCCATTACAACATCAGCTTCTGGGACTGCCCCCTTTGCTTGGTCACGTGACCCTTGCGCTTAGTACGTAGTTGAGGCTTACGAATCAAACTCTCGCTGTCTCTGCTGCATCTGCTGGTCTGTCTTTCTACATCCCCTCAACCTCCAGTTGCTGGCACTCATGGCTTTGTTTTCATTCTGCATTCCCTGTGGGGATCCCCTCCCCATCTAGCTCTCCCTTATCTCTATCAGCCCCTAGAGTCCTCTGACTCGTGTGGCTGGGGATGTGAAGGAGGGGATCTGTGCCAGGATTGGGGTAACCTGGCTTTTCCCGGAGGTTATGAATCACAGGTGGAAACGCTGGTTCCTTAGCCTCCCAAATGCATTCCTGGTCCTGAGGACACTGGGCCCTAACACTACCTCTTTCTCCCTTCCCCCCAGCCCTGGATGACTCCAAATCACTAGCTTTGGGGCAGAAAACAAAACCTGTACAATGACCCAGGCTGGTCATCACAATGCTAAGGAAGGCAAGAACTGGACACGAGACGGATGCAGTAAGAGTTGATACAATCAATTGAAATGCCAGTGGGTGCTGACCAGCATGGTCCCTGCCTGATGGACCCCCGTGGGACATGGCATGCTCTTCACAAGGGCAGTGGCTAAAATACTTTTTGGATCCAACAAGGCTATGCAGAGTGACCAATGCCACCCAACAGACATTTATTAACATCCACTGTATGCAGGAGCCAACATTTGGTGCTAGGGCTCCAGTGATGAAAATGACCCCAAATCCCCTGCTGAGGGCTGATGCTTCATAGGGTGCACACAGTCCAAACACAAGGCATAACCTTCAGAGAGGGCCTCAGCCTGGCAGGGTGTCATGCACAGGTTCAGGAGGGGAGGCTGGTCAGGGAAGGGGCCTGAGGTCAGATGAGGTCATGGATCTAGGTCCTCAAGGGTGGTCCTTTGACTGAGTCCAAACTTCACAGAACAAACCCCCTTTGTGAAAGGATTTGTTCTGTAAAACTTGGACTTAGTCAAAAGGTTGCACCTGAAGACCTAGGAGGCCACATGTGGCCTCGAGGCTGCAGGTTCCCCACCCCTGCCTTACCCCATTCTCCCATCTTCTCTACCCCAAAAGCATCCCTAGTTCCATCAGCCATGCTTTTCTGGCAGGCTCACCAGGCCCTTCCTGCTCACTCTCCTTTGGACCTTCCCCAAATTGACCTACAACCGAGATGCCAAGCAAGAGCACAACCTAACAGCAATGTGTGTGTCTGAGTGCTTGTATATATGTGTGTGTGTGTGTGTGTGTGTGTGTGTGTGTAGCACAATGTAATGGGGAGGGATAAGAGGGCGCACAGCCTAACAGGCGAGGGGTGGGGGCCCTCGGCTCCACTGAGACATAACATTACTCCCCACTCATTTGCTCTGTCCCTTCTCTTCAATCCCATTCTTAGTGAGAGTGAACACCCGGGGCACAGCCTTCTCTGCTTCATCCTGGCCCCCAGCAGTGTTGTCCAGTGGATTCACTGGAGGACAGATAAGAGGCAGCCCCTCCCTCCTGAGGCCTCATTTTTCCCATCAGCAGACAGAGAGGGATGGGGAGGCACCTTCCTCTGCATCACCTTCTGCTCTGTGGGCTGTGTGCTCCGTGAGGGCCGGGGGCCCCTCCTCTCAGGGTAAGGGCCGTAGACTCACCTCAACAGCGCTGTGTGTATAGGCCTTAACTTTGCTGTCAATCCTCAGGATTTCCAGTTCATACTCCAGGCACTCCACCTCAATCATTCTCCCGGGGTCCTGGGGATCAGAAGGATGTCAGAGTGTCAGCCCAGCCTGGGGGGAGCATGGAGGGGGCTGCCAGGGAGCTCGCTGCCCAGAGCTGACCAGGGGAAGTCTGACACAGACAGCCTTGAGACAGTCTAAGAAGTTCCTGAGGGGCAGCTAGATGGCGCAGTGGATAGAGCACCAGCCCTGAAGTCAGAAGGACCTGAGTTCAAATCCAGCCTCAGACCAAACACTTGACACTTACTAACTGTGTGACCCTAGGAAAGTCACTTAACCCCAATAGCCTAAAAAAAAAGTTGCTGGGTGTTTCATTTTCTTCCCAGTGGCGTCCTTGACCACACAGGGTCTCTGAGGAGCCTTGCCAACCACTGGCACATGTCCTAAGTTGCTTTCTAATCACTGGCGTGAGAAATGCCCTGAATGCCCCATGTGGGGTTCTGGGAAGAAATCCTGTGTGTGTTTACCCAGTAGCTTGGTCATGTTTCATTGGACTGAGGAGGGGGAAATGCTCAAAACACCCAGGAATCTGGCTACTCTGGGTCTCTGGGCAGTGTAACTTGGCTTTGTGGACCCAAGCCTTCTCTTCTGTCCTTGTTGCCCCAAACCCTGTACCAGGTTGCCTCGCCACCTCCCACTTCTCTAGCCCCCATTCCTCAGCACACTTCTCCTCTATCTATCCATGTGCACACACACACCCAGTATGCTGGGAAAAGTGCTAGCCTGGGAGTCAGTGGTGATTATCATCAAGGGAAGCCTGTGTCTTGGGGTTGGCCTCCAGGGTGTGAGGCCAACAGGAGGCCAGCACCTGCTATTGTGCTGTCCAGGAGGCCCTTCACCACAGGACAGCCACAGCATCTGGCTGATGCATGCCCAGTTGCAGGCCATCAAGGTTTCCTACAAATGTCTCATCATGTACAGGCATGAAGTCGTGTTTGACTCTTCGTAACCCCATGAACCACAGCCCCCCAGGCCTGTCTATCTACTGCTACCTCCCAGAGTCACTCTGAGGTCATGATCATCGCTTCCATGACACCATCTAGCCTTCTCCTCTGCTGTCCCCTTTCCCTTTTGCCTTCAATCTTTCCCAGTATCAGGTTCTTTTCTAGTGAGCCTTATATCCTCCTTACGTGATCAAAGTATTTAAGCTTCAGCTTCAGTATCTGAATTAAATGTCTTGACTGATTTGAACTCCTTGCAGGCAAGGGATTCTCAAAAGTCTTCTCCAGCACCACAACTTGAAAGTGTCAATTCTGCGGCACTCAGCTTTCCTCAGAGTCTAACCCTCACAGCCATACATTGCTACCTGCTTTGACTATACAGACCTTTGTTGTCAGGTGAAGTCTCTGCTTTTTAGTATGCTGTTCAGATGTTCCAGAGCTTTCCTTCCAAGGAGCAGGTGTCTTCTAATTTCATGGCAGCATTTGCTATCTGTAGTGATCTTTGAGCCTAAGAATATAACATCTGACACTGCTTCCATTTTTAACTCCCTCTGCCAAGAAATGATGGGACCAGTTGCCAAGATCTTGGTGGTTTGTTGTTGTTGTTGTTTTGTTAAGCCAGCTGTCCTCTTTCACCCTCATCAAGAGGCTTCTTCATCCCTCTTCATTTTCTGCCATCAGCGAGCTATCATCTGCCTTTCTGAGATTGTTGGTGGTTCTCCCAACAACCTTGATTCTGGCTTTTGACTCACCCTGTCTGGCATTTCACGTGATGTGCTCTGCACAGAAGTTAAATAGACAGGGGGACAATGTACAGCCTCATCTACTCCTTCCCCAACCTGAACCAGTTGTCTGTTCCATGATTGGATCTCACTTTGCTGCTTGGCCCACATGCAGGCTCTTCAGGAGACAAGGAAGATGGTCTGGTCCTCCCATCTCATTCCATGGTGACCCGCACAGTCAAAGGCTTCAGTGCAGTCGATGAAGCAGAAGCAGATGGTTTTCTGCAGCTCCCTCCCCTTCTCCATAATCAGCAAATGGGGCAATTTGGTTTCTAGTTCCTCTGCCTCTGTGAAAACCAGCCTACTCACCTGGCCATTCTTGGTTCTCCTCTTGCTGAAGCTGGCCTGCAGAATCTTAACCTCGCTGGCGGGTGACATGAGCACAAATGTTCGGTAACTTGAACATTCCTTGGCATAGCCCTTCTTTAGGATTGAGACAAAACCTGATCTTTTCCAATCCAGGGGCAGCTGTGGAGTTTTCCAAATTTGCCTGAATATTTATTAAGCACAACACTTTGACAGCATCATCTTTTTTTAAAATAATGTGTTGATTTCTCATAGAGTCATTAGCTTCCATTTGCTCCATTCTAATTTTTAAGGAAGTTTTTTCTTCAGTGAGCTTTTGAGCTTCCTTTTCCATTTGGCCAATTCTACTTTTTAAGGCAGACTTCTCCTCATTGGCTTTCTGGACTTCTTTTGCCATTTGGGTTAGTGTATTTTTTAAGGTGTTATTTTCAGTATTTTTTTTGGTCTCTTTTAGCATGCTGTTGATTTGTTTTTCATGATTTTCTTGCATCACTTTCAGTTTTTCCTCTACTTCTCTTACTTGCTTCTCAAAATTCCTTTTGAGCTCTTCTGTGCCTGGGACCAATTCACATTTTTCTTAGAGGCTTTGGATGGTTTTAGGAGCTTTGACTTTGTTTTCTTCTTCTTCTTCTTCTTCTTCTTTCTTCTTCTTCTTCTTCTTCTTCTTCTTCTTTTGGTGAGGCAGTTGAGGTTAAGTGACTTGCTCAGGGTCACACTGCTAGTAAGTGTCAAGTGTCTGAGGCCATATTTGAACTCAGGCCCTCCTGACTCCAAGGCTGGAGCTCTATCAACTACTCCACCTAGCTGCCCCTTGTTGTCTTCTTCTGGTTGTATATTTTGATCTTCTTTGTCACCACAGTAAGATTCTATGGTCTGATTTTTTTGTGAAGTTTGCTCATGTTCCCAGCCAATTATTTGACTATTAAACTTTGTTAAGGTAGTACTCTGCTTCCAATGTGGAGGGTGTACTTTCCCAAGCTTCAGGGGTTTTGTGCAGCTGTTTTCAGAGATAACTTCTAGAGACCTACAAATTTTCAGTTCTTCCAAGGTGATATGATCAAAGGCGAGGTGTTTACGCTTTTCCTGGCCTGTGCTCTGGTCTATGAACGACCACAAGCAGTCTTTTCTGCCTTAGAACTGTGAGGAGAATTCCCTATCCACTGTCACTACAAGCTCCACCATGCCAACAGTCCTCCTCGCCCCACAACTGCCACCCAGAACTGTGACCCAGATCCAAGCACGGGCAAAGCAAAAGAATCATGCTTCAGCACCAGCAAAGAGATCCCTGCAATCTACCTCTGATCAGCCACTCGATTCCCTCTCAGTCTGTGGGCCAAGAGGTCCAGAAGTAGCCACCCCCTCAGGCTTGTGCCAGGACTGGGGCCAGACTGAATTCCTCTCTCACCAAGGTCTGACAAACTTTTCCTGCTGACCTTCTAAGTTGTCTTTGGTGTTTGTGGGTTGAGAAGTCTGGAAACTACTACAGCTGCCTGTGATTCAGTCCTCTGAGGCCTGCTCCAGGTTTGCTGAGGTCCTGTCTTTTCCTGTACCACCCATGCTGAACTGAGCTCCTTTTCCAGCCTTGGGATTGATCTTTCCAATCAATCATGCAGGTTGTCTTGGGCTGAAAATTTGTTTCACTCTTTTTGTGGGTTCTGCTGCTCTAGAATTTGTTTAGAGCCATTTTTATAGGTATTTGGAGGAGTTTTGGGGGAGAGCTCAAGAGAATCATTGCTTTTACTTTGCCATCTTGGCTCCCCCCCACCCCAGTTTCCCAGCATCATCTTTTAGGATTTTAAGAAGCTCAGCTGGAATTTCATCACCTCCACTGGCTTCCCAAGGCCCACTTGACTTCATTCTTCTGTCTGGCTCTAGACCAGTAACCACACCATGGTGGTTATCAGGGATGTTAACATCTATCTTGGATAGCTCTTTTGTGTATTCTTGATGCCTCTTCTAATCTATTTCATTTGTTAAATCCCTACCATTTTTGTTCTTTTTTTATCATGCTCATTTTTGCATGAAACTTGTCCTTGATATCTCTAATTTTCTTGAAAACATCTTTTTCCATTCCATTGTTTTTTCCTGATTTTTTGACATTGCTCATTAAAAAAAGCCTCATCTCTCCTTACTATTCTCTGGAATTGTGCATTCAGTTGGTTACAACTTTCCCTTTCTCCTTTCCCTTCCACCTTCCTTCTTTCCTCAGCTTTCTGTAAAGCCCCATTAGACACCATTTGGCTTCCTTGCTCTTTTTTTTCTTTGGGATGGGTTTTGTTGCTGTCTCCTGTACAATTTTGTGAACCCAGTTCTTCAGGTTCTCCGTCTACCAGATCTGATCCTAAGTCTAGTCATGGCCTCCACTTCATCTTCATGAGGGCTGTTATTTGGGAGGAGGTGCTCAGAGGCCCCCAGGCTGACTCTGCCAGGTGCACTGGCCTCTCCAGAGGCCAAAGGGAGTCCTGGGAAGGGTCTGTTCATCTTCCCTTCTGTACACACAATGGGGCAATCGCCTGTCTCATCCTGGAGTCAACCAGAGGCCAGTAGTTCGCTGGAGAGAGACAGAAATGGGATGGAAGCAAAGAGCCAAGAGATGGTCAAAAATTCCTCAACGGGGGTGCCTTGAGTGCCACAACTTTCATCTGTTGCAAACTCTCTTGGGCCACAGAGGCAGAACCATATGGACATGAGAAGCCATTACTTGCTCATCCCTGCCTACTGAGGTTATTTATTGAACACCTAAAATGGGGTCACAAAATGGGGTCTATCTCCCTGTTAATGAGATGCTTCCCAGAAGAGGCTCTCGGGATATCAGCCACGATTCTCATGAAAACAGAGAGTACTCAGAAGGTGTCCCAGCAGCCCCCCACTCATCCCTTTACCTCCCCCTCTCCCTTTCTGCTTCCCCAGACTGCTGCCTGTCTGCATAGGTGCCACCAAGGTCTGTGTCTCCAGGGTCCGAGGCAGGGTCTTACCCAAAAGATCACCCAATTGCTGTCAGACTGGTGGGCACCCACCTGTGCCCTACTTGGGAGCCTCCTGGAGCTTCTCCCATGGCCTCCACACATGACCATTCAGACTCCTCACTGCCTCCTAAGGACACTTTCCCAGCCCCTGCTCCTCCCCGCCCACACCCCCCTCCCCCCTTCACCTTCCCTGACCTTCCGCTCTGGCCTCTCTCCCACTAGAGGCTGGCCACTGTGTCATCCCAACATTCCCTTCTCCAGGCTCTGAGTCAGCTGTCATGGACGGCAGTAGCCTGGGACATTAGAAGCGTGTATCCCTTCCCCTCCAAGCCCTTCTCTGAGGCCCATGCCTTTCATGCAGGCACTGTCTAGGCAGCATGCCTCTTCCTTCCCATCTTTGCAGGGCTGAGGGCCTAGCCCAGCGTGAGGTCCCCTCCAGGCCTGGTGAGCTCCAGTCTCCATCATCAGAGACAGAGAACCAGAGGTCCCTCTCAAATTTCAGGCAGGCAACTTATATGTGTGTGTATTCCATGTTCATGTCAGGCTAATTTCCTAGCTGTCATCCTCCTGCCCCCTGGGACTGGAGAGGGCTCTTCTGGCAGAGGCACAAACATTTCTCAATAGAAATGTTCTCTCGCATCTTTTGTTTGAAAACCTTAGTGCCCAGAGCCGGCCTGAGGCGCATCTCTGCCTTTCTGACCCCTCCTCATTGGGCCCCTTCACACCCCGACCTGTGAATGTCCAGTCCCTCTCTCAGGCTAGGCACCAGGGGAGCTCTGGAGCTCCGATGAGATACACAGTCACATACAAAAGCCCCAGGGGAGCAAACAGAAGCTCTCTTGGACCTGCTGTCCAGCTCACCCCTTGGAACACTCACTGTCGTGCAAGGTCCAGACCTCACTCCTCAGCTGTTCTGTCCACTCTGATTTCCTCTTCTCTGAGTTTCCATGTCCCTCAGAGACCATCACACACAGCCAAGTACTGACTGATGACTTAATTCTATGTGGGCTGTGGGATTCCTTCCCCCTTCCCTCCATGGCCCCCTGTTAGTCAGCCCCCTGTGTATCCTCAAGGCCAGGGGCTAGGCCTTCCCCTTCTTATTCACATCAATTCAGCACATATTAAATACCTCCAGTCTACGAGGCACTGTGTGAGACAGAAGTGAGAGCAGGCTCTGTTACCTCCGACTGAGGGGCTAATGGAGGAGGGAAGCTGGGAAAGGAGAGAGAGCAGGGGGCCTGAGGGCTTCCCAGAGGCCACAAGCCCCAGGGAGCCAAGCCCTGAAGGAAGCCAGGGATACACAGAGGAGGGGTGTCCTGGCATGGGGGACAGCCTGTCCAAGAGCTTGGCAGCTGGAAGAACAGGAGGGAGGCAGAGACTGAGAAGACAACCTGTGTGAATCTTGGAGGAAAGCTTTCATTGCCCACAGCTGAGGGGACAGAAGCTTCCAGAGCAGGGAGTAATGTGTCAGACTGTGCCTTAAGAAGGTTTTTGGCAGCTTGTGAGAATTAGGGAGAAGGAGAGGGAGGAGGCTGCCCAGCTCAAGGAGCGACAGGCTTGGGGTGAGGGGTCTAAACTTGGGTGGGGGGAGGGGGGATGATAAAAATACTTATCTGGGACCCAATCTGGGATCTCCCTGGAGCGGAGAACTCCCAGGTTGGGAAACTCCCTCTACCAATCTGCTGTTACTATCCCATGGTCTAAGTGACCTTGACCTGCACAGGTTGGAGTGAGACTTGAACTTGGGTCTTCCTGGCCCCCAGATTGGCTCTTTCTCCTCGACACACCCCTGCCTGTTACTTGTAATATCTACTGCCATTTCAGGTTTGTGAAGCACCTTACAGGCATCCCTTCATTGGACTCTCCCAGCTGTCCCATGCAGTAGGTGTTTCTATTATCCCCATTTCACAGAGAGGAACACTGAGACTTCCAGATGACTTGCTCCTTAGTGTCAGATGGGGGCTTAATCAGGGTCCTCCTGCCTCCTGCCACACTTGGCCCAGCCTCTCCTCAAACTCGGTGGGCTCTGGCCGGTCCTCAGAGGGGCCACAGGCCTTTAGGGAGGTGCCACCTACACTCAGGGCATATTGGGGACTTCAGTGGCCCCCGGCTTCCTGAGCTGTGGCATGGCAAAGGCGCACCTACCAGACTACGCAGGGACACTCACCGTCTGTTTCATGGCTTTCAGGTCTCTGACGCAGGTGCTGGAAATCTCGACGCATTTCAAGCTCAATGAAAGACGGGCTAATTGTAAGAGCAGCGGGATCCTGGGGGGATGAGAGGCCGTGAACTCGCAGACACAGCACTGCAGGTGGGACTGTGTGCCTCATGGGACTCAGAGGAATTCACCCTCCCCATGCCGTCTTCCTTGTCCCTGAGGGAGCCAGGACTGTGGGGCAGGGCCACCCCCAGACCTCCCCTGGTCAGTTCTGGCACCAACTCTGGTCATCTCCTCCTTTTGTGCCCCCCCAGCCATGGTTTCATTCTAGGACAGCCATGCCCCTCTCTCCAAGCCCCCCCAACCTGAGCAAGGGCACTGTCACTGCCAGCTAGGGAAGCAGGTCTTGCTGATGGTCCCAAAGGCCCAAGGGGGCCAGATGCCCAGCCGGCCTCTCCAGTGCCTACAGCAGGGGGCCCCACCTGGACCCCACCCCTCTGCTGCACAGGCAAGTGAGGCTGGCTCTGTCCCCACTGGATGTGGGGGGTGACCGCACACTGGAGAGGCCCAGGGAGGGTCTACAAGCATAGGGAATACTCTGATTACAGGGACAAACTCTCTTCCCATGAAAGTGAATATCTCCTTGGGAAGGGTTCTTGTGAACTGGCATAGCCTAGAGGCCACCACCCACAGACAGGTCACTCACTTTTCATCCTGGATGGATTTCTGGTCCTGATACTGCTGTAGGAGGTCATAGGCCTCCTTCAGGTACTCGTTAGTTTCCTGCAGGGGCAGTTTCTTGTTTGCCTGCCTGAACAACACGATTTGATGAGGAATGGGGGCCACAGGACCCCTAACCCCTTCCGGCCTCCCCCAGAACCTGAAGAAAAGCCCGCAGCCTTGGCTTGTGTCAGGGCTACATGGAATGTGGAGGGTCCTGGCCAGCCCTTCAGGCTGTAGTGTGAGGGGAGCCTTAATGACTGCAGAACAGAGAATGAGGCCTGGCTTTCCCCTGCTTTGGGGCCCCTCCAACAGCCCCCATTCTGTCCCCCTCAGAGACCCAGAGCCAAGGTCTTGGTATCTCTTCTCTGTCCCTTCAAGGAAGAGCTGGGACAGCAAGGAGAAGGCCTGGGCCGTAGCACCAAGGCTGGACACAAGTTCTGAGCCTCCACCCCACACACTGCTAGCCTTTCCAGTAAGAAGACTGACTCCAGCTTCTCCATTCACTGGCCCAGACTTGAGTCATATCCTTAGGGAGAGAAGGGGAGGTTGCAGAAGGGGGAGGGAGGAGGGAGGGAGGGAGAGAGAGAAAGAAGAAGAAAGAAAGAAAGAGAAAGAAAGAAAGAAAGAAAGAAAGAAAGAAAGAAAGAAAGAAAGAAAGAAAGAAAGAAAGAAAGAAAGAAAGAAAGAAAGAAAGAAAGAAAGAAAGAAAAAGAAAGAGAAGGGAGAGGGAGAGGGGGGAGGGAGGAAGGAGGAGGAAGGAAGGAATAGGGAGAGAAAGAGATGAAGAAAGAGGGATACACACACACACACACATATACAGTAGTAGTAGTAGAAGTGGTTAATATTTACATAGTACTTACTATGTGTCAGGCACTGGCATGAATTTAGGGTTAGGTTCGCACAATAACCCTGGGAGGGAGGTGCTGTTATTAACCCATTTTATAGGTGAGGAGACTGAGGCAAACAGAGGTGAAATGACTTGCCCAAGGTCCCACAGCTAGTAATTGTCTAGGGCCAGATTTGAACTCCGGCCTCCCTGACTCCAAGCCAGGCGCTCTGTGCCCCGTGGCGCCCCCTAGCTGCCCAGATGAGTAACAGGGAGCCCAGGCTAGATGGACACTCAGCACAGCAGTCTCAGGCAGCCCCCGAAGACCCTCCCAGGCCCCGCCCTTCTTGTGGTTTCAGAACGTTTGTGTTTTTACTGGGTTTGGGGAGGAGAAAGTTGCTGGTCTGCTACTTACGATTTTAACGTGTAAATGTTAAAAAGGATGGACAAGCTGATGGAGTCTTTCATTTCTTCCTTTATTTTTGTCTCGTCCATGAGCTTGTGCTGCACCTAGTAGGATAACAGGCAGAAGCGTCGGAACAGGAAAACCTCCCCCAGACCCCTCTGGCCCCAGGCCCCTCCCCCTGCTCCTCAGGCCCCTCTGGCCCAGGACACTCGGCGGCCACATCTTAGCTGGGAACGCAGGGTGGTCCACCCACGTTAGAGCTAACCCAAGCCTGCGTCCCAGGGCATCCCGGTGCGGGGGCAGCGCCATGGAAGCGGCCCAGCAGCCAGGGTGGGCCCTTCTCCAGCTCCTACCCTGGACAGTTCTTTGCCCAGCTCAAGGCGCCTCCCCCAACGGACAGCGCAGAGCGCCTTTGATGGCAGTACTGGGCTCAGCCCTTAGGATGGTGAACAGCCAGTGGCCCTCGGGGCTGCGGGCCCCACTGCCTCGGTCTAACCATCGAAGCTGCCCGCGGAGGGTGTCCTGGACCCCTCCAGGAGTCCTCACTGCCCCACAACCCTCACTACACTCGCATATGTTATCCAGTATGTCTGACTCTGTCCCCATTTGGGTCTTCTGGGAAGAGATACTGGAGCGGTTTGCCATTTCCTTCTCCAGCTCATTTTACAGACGAGGAAACTGAGGCAAACAGAGTGAAGCGACTTGCCCAAGATCACACAGCGTGTGAGGCCAGATTTGAACTCAGGTCTTCCCAACTTCAGGCCAGGTGGTCTTCAGTGGTAGACCCAGAATCTCGGCACTGCCTAGAGGATCCCACCCAGAGTTAGAGACTCCCAGAGCTGTCCAGTGGCCTTCAGTGGGGTGACAAGAGGGGGCGGTCCCTAACTTGGGACAGCTTTCATCCTAGAAGTTTTCTCTGATATCAAGATCGAACCTGCCTCTTTGCAATCCCACCACCCACCCTCCTAGTGCCAAGGCTGGCCCTCCCCCCAGGCACGACCCATTTTATACTGGGCATCTCTGTGACCCCTGCACTCTCTGGCTGACCCCCATAATCCCACACATGGCCGCCCCCTCACTGCCCCTCCCCCAGGATCCCAGGCTGTTCTATACCACCAAACCACACCAACCCAGAATCCACTTTTTTCTGTTGTTCATTTTTTTAAACATAGTGTTACTGATATCTTGTTTTTACATCATCTATACTTCCAATGTGCTTCTCCCCCTTTTTCCACCACAAAGCCATCTCTTAGAACAAACAATAAAGGGGGACAGAGAAAATCAATTTAGCAAAACTGACTAACACTTGGAAAAAAACAGACTTTATCTGCAAAGCTCCACCCCCGTGGTCCCCCACCTCTGCAGAAAATGGTCCTTCTCACAGCTGATTTTTGGGGCTCAGTTCCAGTCTTATTTCCCAGCGGTCCTCTCTTCCCCCTTCCCCCTGCCAAGCAGGTGTCCCCAGGCACGTGCTGAGCAGAGCCAGAGCAGGGGATGGCAATACCCTTCTCCTCCCCAGCCCTCCTGTTCCTGATATCTACATCCATTCTCCTCCTTTCTAAGTGGGTGTGAACTTGAGACAGCTAGATGGTGCATTGGATACAGTGCTGGGCCTAGAGTCAGAAAGACCTGACTTCAAATCCAGGCTCAGATACTTAATAGCTCAACCTCTGTTTGCCTCAGTTTCCTCAACTGTAAATTGGGAATGCTAGTAGTACCCACCTCCCAGGGGTGTTGTGAGGATCAAAAGAGATAATATTGGCAAAAAAGCAATTCGCACAGTAGGTGCTAGATAAGCACTAGTTGTTGTTATTATTAGCTTGGCTATAAAGTGCTGCAAGCAGAGGTCATGTCAAGTGCCAGACTCATCAGCACTTGGGGAAAGTGCCCAGCCACCCCTTCATCCACCCTCTGCCTGCTATTGCCTCCTTTTAGATGCTCTTGTATCTCCTTTGGAATTCATTAGCTTCTTCATTTCAAAAACCTGAATGTACTTTTAAAGGCCACCTCACCATGATGGAAAATATGCGTTGGTATCTGTGTGGGGCGTTCATCTTAATAAACAGGGCAGCGTTAGCACAGAATTTCGCAGCAGCCTCCATTTTGCCAGCCTCCAGATAACATTCCAAGAGCTCTCTGCAAAAAGAAGATGTGAAAGCATGGAGCAGATCTTCTGGAATTCTCCCTGCCTGGGAGCTGCTCTTAAGAAAACCCTGAGACACCCACCCATGGGGGCTGTGTTCTCGCACTGCCCTCCCCCAAACAAAAAAATCGTAAAATGAAAGGGACCCTGCAGCCTTGCCTGTCATTGCTGGCTTCTGGTACACAGTAGGTGCTTAATGATTGTTGACTAGAATTCCCTTGACTGAGAGGTGGAACCTTCCATTGTTTTAATTTGCATTTCTTCCTATTAGTGATCTGGGGCAAATTTACAAATGATTGTGGTCTGCTTGCTTGTCTGTCCTTTTTTGGAAGGTGCCTGTTCATCTCTTTTATCATTTATTGGGGGAATAATGATAATGATAACTAATATTTATATATCACCTACTATGTGCCAGGCACTGTGCTAAGTGCTTTACAATTATGATATTGATCCTCACAATAACCCTAGGAGGTCAGTGCTATTATTATCCCCATTTACAGATAAGTCAACTGAAGCAAACATATTAAGTCACTTGCCTAGAGTCATATAGCTAGTAAGTGTCTGAGGCTGGATTTGAACTCGGGTCTCCTTGATTCCAGGCCTGGAACACTATCCACTATACCACCTAGCTTTCCTAATTGTGTCAGTTCTCTGTTTCTCTTGAAAACCAGCCCTTTATCAGAGAAACTTGCCACAAAGATTTTCCCAGTTCCATTTTCTTTCACAATTTTAATTGTGTTGATTATTTCTGCCAAAGCTTTTCAATTTCATGTAGTCCAAACATTCCCCTGAATCTCGTAGGCTCATTTCTTTCCCTTCCACAAGGGCTCTTCCCCTAATTACCCCTTCTTTTTTTCAAATTTGTTTCTGCCTCAATCTTCGATCTTTGGCATATAACCTGAAATTCACCACTGCTTCTGCCTCTAACTTCCAACTCTTACCCTAACCCCAGTTCTGCATCCCAAACAAAGCCCATCGGTTTGGAACTCTCCTGGTAGGAGAAGCTGATGGAACCCTCACTGGTGCCAGCAGACTGCTTCCTGGTTCTCCAAGGTGTCTTTGCCAAGTGAGGGGACCTTGCCTCCAGAGCTGGAGTCCTACTGCTTCCTGTCACTACATGTCACTGGTCAGAGGCTCTGGCCTCTAACTTACCTCATCTGTTTCAGGGATCATTTTGTCTATGAAAAGTTGCAGTATCACTGGGAGATCTGGCACTGCAAGACCCACTCCCACCCTGTCCTCCCTGCTTTTGACATTATTTCCATTGAAATTTTGGATTTTTTGTTCATCCAGATGAATCATGTTGTTATTTTGTCTAGTAACCTTTCGAAAATTCAATTGATAGGACATTAAATCTGTAACTAATGCAGCTAGTATTGCTGTTTTTTTCACATTAGCACAGTTTAACAACGAACAATCAATGCCTATTTATTTAAAGCTTCTCTAATTTCTGAACCTAGAAATTAACTAAAAACTAGTTGAAATAATTAACAATTTCAGCAAAGTTGCAGGATATAAGTGAACGCACACGTATCATCATCGTTTCTATATACTACAAAAAAAAAACCTAGCAGGAAGAGATAGAAAGAGAAATTCCCTTTAAAATAACTGTGAAAATATAAAATGCTTGGGAGTCTACCTGCCAGGACAAACCCAGGGACTATATGAACACAATTACAAAACACTTTTCACACAAATACAGATCTAAACAATTGGAAAAATTATTAATTGCTCATGGCTGAGTCAATATAATAAAAATGACAATACTACCTAAATCATTTTTTCAGTGACATGCCAATCAAACTACCAAAGAATTATTTTATAGAGCTAGAAAAAATAAGAACGAAATTCATCTGGAAAAACAAAAGGTCCAGAATATCAAAGGAATCAATGGAAAATAGAAGTGAGGCAAAGCAGCCTACCAGTGCCAGATCTCATACTGTATTGCAAAACAGTAATCATCAACACAACATGGGACTTGCTAAGAAATAGAGTGGTGGATTAGTGGCATAGATTAAGTACACAAGACACAGCAGTAAATGACCATAGTAATTTAGTGCTTGATAAATCCAAAGACCCACACATTTGGGACAAGAGCTCACTATTTGACAAAAACATCTGGGAAAACAGGAAAGCATTTTGGCAGAAACTAGGCATAGGCCAACGTCTCACACCATGTAACAAGATAAGGTCAAAATTGATAAATGATTTAGATATAAATAGTGATACCACAAGTAAATCAGGTGAGCATGGAAAAAAAAAGTGCCTGTCAGACCTATGGATAACAGAAGAGCTTATGACAAAACAAGAGGTAGAGGAGAGTATAGGATAAATAATTTTGATCATATAAAATTCAAAAGCTTTTGCACAAACAAAGCTAATGCAGCCAAAATGAGCAGGAAAACAGTAAACTAGAAAAAAAAACCTTTTCAGCAAGTTTCTCTGATAATAGGCCCTCATTTCTCAAATATATAGAGAACAGAACCAAATATATAAAAATAAGAACCATTCCCCAGCAGATAAATGCTCAAAAGATAAATAGGCAGTTTTCAGAAGAAAAAATCAAAGCTATCAATAGTCACAGAAAAAAAAATGCTCCAAGTCATTATTAGAGAAATGCAAATTAAAACAATTCTGGGGTGCCCCCCTTCACACCCATCAGATTGACTAATATGACAAATGTTGGATAAGATGTAGCAAAACTGGGACACTAATGCACTGTTGGTGGACTATGACCTAGTCCAATCATCTGGAGAACAATTTGGAACTGTACCCAAAAGGCTATCAAACTGTGCATACCCTTTGACCAGCAATATCACTACTAGGTCTGCATCCCAAAGAGATCAAAGAAGAGGGAAAAGGACCTATATGTACAAAACATTTCCTAGCAGTAGCTCTTTTATGAGGCAAAGAACTGGAAATTGAGGGGTTGCCCTTCAATTGCGGAATGGCTGAACATTTTGTGGTATATAGTTGTGATGGAACACTATTGTGCTATAAGAAATGATGAGCAGGGTGCTTTCAGAAAACCCAGAAAGACTTAACATGAACTGATGCTAAATGAAGTGAGCAGAATCAGAAGAACATTGTATAGAGTAACAACAATATTGTACAATGATCAACTGTGAAAGACTTAGCTATTCTCAACAATACAATTCCAAAGGACCCATGATGAAAAATGCTACCCACCTCCAGAGAGAGAACTGATAAACTATGAAGGTGAATTGAAGCATACTTTTTAAAATATTTCCTTATTTTTATTATTTTATTTTGTTTGTGCTTTCCTTTGCAAAATGGCTAATATGGAAATATGTTTGGCATGATCTCACATGTATAATCAAAATAAAATTGCTTGCCTTCTTAAAGAGGGGAGAGGAATGGAAGGGAAGAAGTGAATCTGTAACTCCAAATTTTAAAAAAGGTGTTAACATTTTTATTACATGTAATTGTGAAATATCTAACAAAAGAATTTTAAAAAGCTTCTCTTAATTTCTGTAAAGAATGTAATAGTATTTATGTGATTCCTGGGTGTGCCTTGGGGACAGAATTACAGGTTTTTATATCTTCCGCATTCTGTAGTTAATTTCCATGGAATTCCTTTTTCCATCTCTTCCTGCTGAGTTTTATTGGTAGTACAGAGAAAGGCTGACGTCTGTGGGTTTAGTTTGTATCTTGCCACTTGGATGAAATTACTGTACAAATGATTTTTTGTTGAATCTCTAAAAGGATTATCATGTTTCATCTCCACCTCTGCTTCTTCTCTCAATGACTTTATCTTGTCCGTTTGCAATAACTATCCTACCTAAAATTATATTAAATAATAACAGTGATAATAATAGATAACCTGGCTTTGCCTACCTGGAGAGGCCACTGGCATTTATCCATTACTGACAATACTAGGTCTTGGTTTAGATCACAACTAATAGAAGATCCGATTAATGGTTTTAACAGAAATGAATGCATAATTTATCAAAAGCTTTTTTCAGCATCCTTTATATAATCATGTGATTTTTATTATTTTTGTGATTGATGTGGTCTATCATTTTTAGTTTTCTTTGTATTGGAGCAAGCTTGCATTAGATCACTACTATAAATCTGACCTAGTCCTAATTGGTTACCTTTGTGATAAGTTGCTAATATTTTATTCACTATTTTGGCTCCAGTGTTGGAGATATTGGTCTGTAGTTTTCTTTGTCTGCTTTATCCATCTCTGCTTAAGGAACCATGTTGTCTTATTGGATGAGTTTGGTGGGATGCCTTCTTTCTGTTTATGCTAACACAATACATAATGTAGGAGTTAAACTTGGAATGTTTGACAGAATACATTTGTGAATCCATCTTGATCCTGGTCCTTTTATTCTGAGGCATCACTGATGGCTTATTTGATTTTTCTGAAATTGGGTTACTGTAGTTACAATCTCTATTTCTTGTTCTTGTAAATATTCACCTGTCACATTGATCAGTTTTGTTGTCCCATCATTGGGAAAAATTTTATGATAATTTCCTTTGTTCCATCTTATGTATTATAAAATCTCCATTTTCATTAGCATAGTAATTTGCTTTTTCTCCCCTTTTAAAATCAAATTAGCCAAGTTGATCTAATTTTATTTCAAAAAACAGCTTCTAGCTTGATTTAGAAATTTAATTTGTTTATTCTTTGATTTTCAGAATTTCCATTTTTGTGTTTAATTTTTTTTTAGTTGTTCCTTTCCTATTTTGTCATGATTATTTTTAGTTGCAATCTCACTACAGTGACCTGTTCTTTCTTTGTTGAGGAAAGCATTTAGAGAGATCAATATTCTGCTGAGGATTGCATTGGCTGCCTTCCAAAAGTACTAGATTGTCTCATTGTTGTATTTTGTGAAATCATCTATCGTTGTGATTTGTTCTTCAGCCCCCCAGTTATTTAGGATTGCTGATCCTACATTCAAGTTGGATTCTTTATTCTTTGTGCTATAAATATTTGTGTACATGTGGGTCCTTTTCCCATTTGTATGATCTCTTTGGGATACAGCTCTAGAAGAGCTATTGCTGGGTCAAAGGGTATGCACAGTTTTATAGCCCTTTGGGCATAGTTCCAAATTGCTCTCAAAATAGTAGGATCAGTTCACAACTCCACCAACAGGGCATCAGTGTTCCATTTTCCCACATCTTCATCAACATTTATCATTTTTCTGTTTTGTCATGTTAGCCAATCTGGTAGGTGTGAGGTGGTACCTCAGAGCTGTTTTGATTTGCATTTCTCTAATCAATAGTGAGTTAGAGCATTTTTTCATATGGCTATAGATGGATTTAATTTCTTCATCTGAGAACTGCCTGTTCATATCCTTTGACCATTTATCAGTTGGGGAATGACTTGTATTCTCATTAATTTGACTCAGTTCTCTATATATTTTAGAAATGAGGCCTTTATCAGAGACACTGGTTGTAAAAATTCTTTCTCACTTTTCCGCTTCCCTCCTAATCTTGGTTGCATTGACTTTGTGCAAAAACTTTCCAATTTAACATGATCAAAAGTGTCCATTTTGCATTTCATAATGTCCTCTGTCTCTTGTTTGGGTTCCTTCTTCTTTGTGGCTGATCATTTTGACCATTTCATAAAACTGATGGTGGTCAAAAAGGGCAGATTTGGTATTTTACCTTTTCTCTACATTGGGTCAGGTTTTAAATGCCCTATAACTTGGTCATCACCACCTAGGATAGCTACATAGCCCAGTGGATGGCACACAGAGCCTGAAGTCTGGAAGACCTGAGTTCAAATCAGACACTTCCTAGCTGTGTGACCCTGGGCAAGTCACTTCACCCTGTTTGGCTCAGTTTCTTCATCTATAAAATGATCTGGAGAAGGAAATGGCAAAACTACCCCAGCATATTTGCAAAAAAACCCCAAAACCCAAATGGGGTCACAGAGAGTCAGACACAACTGAACAATAGCAGCGTGGTTCGTTTTCCAAAGAGGGTCATGTACAGCTGAGCATGTATAGACTTCAATCCCAGTTCAGTACCAGACAGAATTCTGTAGTGTTTGACTTTCCCCAAATTCTCTTCAGGTCCTTAATCTGTTTACCTTTTGTCAGATTCTCTGGTTTTCAGAGGGGACACTGGGGTCCCTAGCTCTGATATTTTGCTCATTTCTCTCCATAATTTGCCCATCTTTTCCTTGAAGTAATTAGAGGCTTTCTGAGTGGTGCACATATATTAAGTCAACAATGGATTGATTTCAATGGATAAGAACAAACTTGGTTATGAAACACAAGCTCTTGGAGAATATAAGAAAAAATGCTCCAAGTAACTAATAACTACAGAAATGCTAATTGAAACAACTCCAATGGTTCACCTCATATCCATCAGCCTGGCAAAGATGACCGGAAAAAATAAGCGTGGATACTGGAAGGCAGGCCCACTGACACATTGTTGGTGGCACTGGGAAATGGTCCAGCCAGTCTAGAATGGCCAACAGTCTGTGTCTAAAGTGTGGCTCCCCTGTGGCCCAGCTCTACCAGGACCAGGCTTATTACACCCTCAGGGGACCAGAGAAAGGCCCTTAGGGACAAAGTCATTTACAGTAGCTCTTTTTGTAGAGACCCCAAAGGGGGTGTCCATCTATTGAAGAATGGCTAAACAAACTATGGTTTATGATTGTATTGCAATATTATTGTGCCTTAAAAACAAACAAAACCCAAAGACAAATGGTTTCATAGAAACCTGGAGAGAGTTGGGTGAACAGAGAGAGGGAGGCAGAGGCAGAATCTTCAACACAGCAACCCCAACACTGAAAGACTCGAGGTCTCTGATCCATGTAATGACTTGTTGTGGCCAAAGGGACATCAGTCTCTGTTCACTGCAAATATTTGCTACAAAATTTTGGTTTTCATTCTCTTCTCTCTCCCTTTCCCTAGGAGATAGGTCAAGAGTGGACAAGGAGAGGGGAAAGAAGGAAGGAAGGAAGGAAAGAGGGAGGAAGGAAGGAAGGAAGGCAGAAAAGAGGGAAGGGAGAAAGGAGGGAAGGAGGAAGGGAGAGAGGGAGGGAAGAAAGAAGGAAGAGAGGAAGTCAGGAAGTGCAATTGAGGCATCATATTTAAACATGTAAAGAGAAGGAAGCCCAGAGAGGAGCCCAGTCAAGGACAGCTTTTCTTAAAAAGAAAACCAAGCTGTCCCCACAAGAGCCCCCCAAGTGTCCTATGACATCCTTCTTTTCTCTTCTATGATGTCTATAAAAATGCCACTTAACCTGGTATTCATTAGACTTAGAATAAAAATGACTTTTTTACAAAGAGCCAAGGGCCACCCATAAGGCCCCATCCAGGGAGGACAGGAGTCCTCCCCAGTGATGTCCTGAGAGCCCTGGGGTCTTCACAAACCTCCGGGAAGACGCCTCCTCCCCCATGCTGAAGCGCCCTCTGAGGAGGAAGGCCTGGGATGGGAAGGGGAGAATTTGGGTGCAACCTTCACTCCTCAGTGAGTGAGGTGAACCCACTTCCAGGCGATCTGCAAATGGGCTTCATTACCATATCCGAGATTCTATTGAGAAAAACTTAGGTTCAAATCCCACCTCAGATACACACTCTACATACTAGTTGCGTGGTTCTGAGGGAATCACTTCACCATTCAGTGCTGACCCCCTCACTGAAAGTACAGAAGGTGCAGAGTGGCTGCCCTCAACCTTGGGAGAGGGAGCACCCTCACTGGGAGTCCTCTACACTGATTGGGGGATGGTGAGGGGGAGACAGAGACAGACACAGAGACAAGACATACAAAGAGAAGCTTATCTGTCTTGTTTGGGGCTTATGGGGGCGGGTGGGGAGGGAGCTGAAAGTCCAGCAGGGAACCCCGACGCTTCCTCCTGGCATTTTATCCCGTTTCCTTCATGGCTTAAGAGCTGCCCTGAGGAACAGGGATGGTTTCAGAGCCTCGGCGGTCCCCGAGCCCCGGAGGAACCCGAGAGGACTCTTGTCCTTTTAAAAATCATCTTTTAAGTAGGAGCAAACGAGACCCCATTTCCCGCCGGGTTTCCGCTGCAGCCCGAGGCTTCATCTAGCTTTAACCCGGGCGGGGGACGGAGTCGGGGCCGGGGCCGGGGGGCTGCCGAGGACGATCTTCTCACGCTTGATTTTACAGCCCGGAAGCCCAAATGGAAAGACTTTGGACCGGGGGCAAGAAGCGACTCTGTCTCTCTGGGCCTCAATCTTCTCATCGAGAAACAGGAACATGCTGTCACTGACTGCCCGGCCAAGTCACAGAAGTGTTGAGAAGCTCTCATCCACGGGATGAGAAAATGGGTTCAGACTAACACCACCTCCCACTCGCCCCCCGCCCTTCCCCCCACGACAGCGCACCACATTATTACAACAAGAAATGTCTGGGAGTCCCGCTCATTTCCTGGAGAAAGCTGAGAACCCACATTAATAAAACTCCCTTCAAAGCCTCGCTGCCGTGCCTCTTCCTCCATGAAGCCTTTCCGGCACCTTCGGTGACAGTGAGCTCTCCTCTGCGCACTTGTACTGATGTCCTGCCCGGGCCCCACCTGCTCCCCCACGCTCTCCCTTGGATGCCTTCCATCCCTCGTCTCCATCTGCCAGGGCCCCACTTAGTGCAGGGATTTCATAAAGACTGAGTGCACTGGGAATGGTGATGGGCCAGCTCCGAGTCAGGGCCCGGGGACAGCAAGGAAAGACACCGCCAGGATGCACGCGGATAGGCACAGGGAGGAACCCCGAGGTTCTGCAGGGTGAGTGGGAGCCAGGGATGGAAACCCAAAGCTTTAGAGAGAAAGATGCTGAGTGTGGCCTTTGGGTACACGCCTCCTACTGAGGCCCAGAGAAAGGATCCACCCCCTCACCGGGGGGATCATCACCTCCCACGGCTTCTGTCCTCACACAGATGGTGCCGGCTCTCCCTAGCTCCAGGCTGGCATCACCACCGGCCTCATTGAGCTAGAAATCCCACAGAGGTCTCCAAAAGAAAACTTGTCTCTCTACCCAAAGCCCCCTCTTCCCACCTCCCTGATTACTGAAGGGGGCACCACCTCCTCCTTGGCCCCCAGGCTCAACCCCGGCAGGGTCATCTTTCACTCTTCCCTCACACCCAGACAACACATTTTATGTATGTGTGTATATATGCATATTTATAGATCACATGTGCACTTGTTTTATATACACATGCATAACATGTACATAATTTGACCTGGAGTGCTGATTCTCCAGAAGACCCCCCCGAAGGCAGGGCCATGGCCTGCATCCCTGTGTTCCCACCTCGGGGTCCTCAGCCCCACAGATCCTGCCCAGCAGCGCGACCCCGCCCACTCAGCTTCCTTCCTGCCCTCAGCACAGCTTGGCTCCTTCCTACTCACATCATGAGCTCCGCTACCCAATCTTTGTCTTCCTCATTGATCTGCTCCAATGCGTCAACAATCTGGGCCAGGCTCGGGATCAAATACTGACGGTGGCCAGGCTTCAGGAAGGCCCTGGCCATCTTCCAGTACAGGACAGATGCGTTGTAGACCAGAAAATAGTATCTGGGGAGCAGACAGGTGTCCTGTCACCTTTGGTGACGCCCCAGCAGACCAGCAGCTTGCCCACGGCTGCCTCTCCTCCTCTGGGTCTCTCTTCTTTAAACTTTTTTTTTTTTTAGGCAATTGGGATTAAGTGACTTGCCCAGGTTCACACAGCTAGTAAATGTCAAATGTTTGGTCTGAGGCTGGATTTTAACTCAGGTCCTCCTGACTTCAGGGCCAATGCTCTATCCACTGCCCCACCTAGCTGACCCTGGGTCTCTTCTTTCCTTCCACCTAGCAGCCTCAGTTTGGCCCAAACATGCTGCTGGTGACAAACACTCCAGTGAGTCTTCCTAACCCGCCTTGGGAAACTGTCATGTTCAGACTGTCAGGCCCGAGGCCACTGCCCCCAAGCAGCACACCCAGTGACAGAGAGACAGACCTCTGCGGGGGTCTGCCCACCCCCAGGCCCACCTCGTCCAGCTGGGGTCCCCAAGGGCTCCCTCCCTGTCCTCACCTGGGATCTTCACTCCCAAACAGGACAGCCTTCATGAACTGAGTCACACTCTTCTCAAATTCATCCTGAAACCCCACAAACAGTTGGGGAATTATTAGCATCCTTAGCAACCTACCCAAATTGACTACAACCTTAAGAGCATTTCCCAAAGCCTCTCATTCCAGGTCCAACCTACCTCCTAGGCTCCCTGGCCCCGGCTCTCAAAGGGCTCTGAGTTCTGTGTTCAAGTCAGGCCAAAGCTGGAGCCAGAAGGCTCCCTGTTGTGGGGGGGGGGCTGGTACAGCCAGAATGGCCCTGGTGGATTAGGCTGTTCAGACCCCTTCCCCCCCCAGCCCTTGCCTTGTCCCTCAACTTCTGCCCCTTCTCCCATCCCCACGGGTGGCCCTGCAGGGCTGAGGTCCAGGGGCCTGAGCTGGGCTTGGAACTTTAAGTCATAATTTGACACGGCCATTCATCTGATGCCCCATTTTGTGGAGAGGAGAGGGAAGAGAAGTGGCCAGGGTCAAGAGCTGCCTGGGGCTGGGGCTGGGACTGGAGCCTGGGTCCCCACTGCTGCTCAGGCTTCCTACAGCTGAGGTGGGCTGGGAAGAATACTGGTCCACATGTCAGGACTCAGCATCCGGCCACCCGAAAGGCCCCAGAAGTCTGGGCTAAAGAAGTTTCCAGGCTCAGAGGCCAAGACAGAAATCTTCATTCATGGAGGAGAGCAGGGATCGGGGTTGAACACCCCAAAGGAGAGGGGGACCCGGTGGTGTAGACAGCCCAGCACCCCACACCAGCAGCCCCGAGGAAGAGGTTCAGGATGTCAGGGTCAGCCAGGCTTCTTGACATTCAAGGCCCCACGAGCAAGGGCTGATGGGTGATACCCCAGTGCTCACCAGCTTTTCCAGGGATTCCGGCGTATACAGCTGGGCCTGGCACAGGTATGCTCTGCCCCTGAACTGGCTGGAGGGAGGCATCCCCTTGAAATACAGATTCACACAGTCTTCTGTGATCTCGGGAAGCTTCATCTGAGGGGAGGCCAAACGGGTCAAACACACAGAGCTCTGACTGGCCCTTTACCATTTCTTACTGATCTGTCTTAAAAACAGGGAGTGCAGCATAATGGATGGCACACTGGGCCTGGAGGCAGGAAGACCTGAGCTCAAATCCTGCCTCAGACCCTCGCTGTGTGACCAGTCAATCATCTGTCTGAGCCTCTGTAAAATGGGGATTATAGCAGCCCCTCTCTTCTTCCCTTCCATCTGGGGCTGTGTGTGGATTGAACAGAGACAGAGATAGCCTCACGCATTAGGGAGACCAGGCCTCCTCATACTCTGAGCTCAGCTAAAGGGAGGGTCAATGTCTCTGCTTTGGACTGGGGGGCCCCCCCTCCCAGAGGGGCTCTCTAAGAGCTCTGTGGCAGAGCCGGGGGACAGGTGCTGGCCTACCTGTAGGGCCTGTTCGGCACACAGAACGGCCAGCTCTAGGCTGAAGCTCTCCGAGCTGTCCAGAGCGCACTGGCCCTCACTGGCCATCCTGATTAGCTGGTAAGCTTTCTGCAGGGCCTCAACATCTTTCAACAAAAAGCGTGTGGTCAGAAAGGGCCCAAGGATGCACCCCGAGCCCACCTGCACCTGCGCCATCATGGAAGTGTGCGTCCTGGAGGTCTGGGCTCATGACCCCCTGCTCTGCAGGCCCTTCTTTCTCCCCACCCCCAGATCTCCCTCTATGATGGAGCAACGACAGCTGATGTGCAAACACTGGAAAGCCTCCAGCGACCTAGTATGTGGGAAGGAGCACCCTGAGAAGGCCTAACAGAAGCCGGGCAGTGGGCGGGGAGCAGACGGGGTGAGCTGGGGGAGAGGATGGGCAGCTACATGCCAGCCCTTTCCTGCTGGGCCTCGGCTTGAGGTGGGGGAGAAATGGGGAATTGGGTGAGATGGCTCCTCCAGGCGGCCAGGAGGCACTAGGAGGCTGGGCTCCTGTGGGGCTTTCTCTGCACCTTTCTGTTCTGGCACATTTGTTTGTGCATCCTGAGGGGACATCATGGGCCAAACGCCTGAGGTCTTAGGCAGAGGCTGGGAAATGTAACACTGTAGGTATATCAAGGCACAGTGAGGAAGGACTCATTCAAAACACAGGCTTTGGGGCAGCCTGTCCAGAGGAGCCTGGTGCCTGGCTTGGCTGGGAAAGTGACCCCAGCACCCAGACACTTATCACATGTATGACTGTCCTCATCTGACAGCTGAGAAGCTGAGTGCCGGAGAGCTTGGTCTGGTCATCAAGGCACAGCAGCTGAATGCCCGGCCGTGCCCCCACCTCAGCATGTAGTGGGAAGCCTAACCCCCAGTGCCCACCAGGTCTCCCCTTCCAGAGGTAAGAGCTCTGGGCAATGCCCCAGCTAGGGAAAGAGGCTTTTCTGGAGACATGCGACATCACTGTGAGGATGCAGACAGCCAGCCCCGCTCACCTTCCCTCATCACGACTTTCTGTGTGGTCTGCAGAGAAGACCCACCCTTAGGCTTCCTTTATGGTGTCTGCCTCTTCCTCAACTACCAGCCATGACTCAGCTGCCTTCTCATGCTGGGACCTCCTGTAGCACCGGGGGGTGGGGCACCCTGGGTCATCCTCTGTCACAGGCCCCCGATGCAGGCCTGGCATGCTTCATTCCTCTCCTGGCTGCCCTTCTGATTCTCCAGACTAACTACCATGCCCCTGCGGGGGAACCTTCTCCCCAAAGCTTTTTAGCTCCTTTCATGCCCTTTGAGGCAGGGGGTTGTCTTTGTTTTTTATTGTGTCTGTCTCCCCGTGTCTGTCACATCCAGCACACCATAAGAGCTTAATGAACACTCATTGCCTGACAGGTCCCAGGTGGAAGTCCTCATTGGTGATCTGTGGCAGCCTGCACCCATACATGGCCTTAGTGTTTCTGAGTCATCGACAATTGTGATTCCTCCGTGACTTGAACTTATCGTCCACATCACCGGACAGCACAGACTCTTTGTGAGTCATCCGAGGATTCCTGCCTGGCTGCCCCTCAACTCAACTAGGCGGACATGTGCATCCGGGCCAAGTCACCTGGGGGCATTTCAGGGTGAAAGTGGAATGGGACAAGAAGCGATGAAAAAAGGGAAAGATTTGCCAAGATTTTTTTTTATGACAAACATGTTCCTACCTCAACAACCACGGGGCTGGAGCTCTACTTGTACAATTGTGGAGGAGCCGCGTGAGCAAGTGGAAAAGGTGGTCACGGAAAGAAAGACAGCAGATCAGATGGCTCAGCTCGGGTCACTGCTTCAAGGGACAGGACTCTGCAGGATCAACTCTTTTTTTTTTTTTAAATCACTTGGGTTGAGTGACTTGCCTAGGCTCACACTGCCAGTAAGTGTCTGAGGTTGGATTTTAACTCAGGGTCATTGCTCCGTCCACTGCAGTGCCACCTAAAGTATCAACTCTTAAAGCATCAGAAGCGGGGGACACCAAAGTCACACCTTAATATTTCCCAAAAGAAGTGACCAGAAGATTCCCACCTGCTGATAGGATCCCCACTTTCCCAATGAGACTCAAGTGGGCCTGCACCACCGAAGCCGATGAAGGTCCGGCAGGGGAGCCAGCAGGGGTCACAGAGGGCACCGTGGCAGTTTCGCAGGCCACTGAAACACCCCCAGGACATGAAGTCCCCCTGCTTCACAACAACAACATTGCATTAAAGGCCTGGCTTCACCAAGGCGTCCTTCATACAGATGACAAAGTTGCAGTTGATTCCTGGAGAGAGTCTAAAAGGGGAATGGTTTTGACTGGCTCCCAGTTGCCCACAGCAGACATCCCACAAAGCTCTGTCTTCAGCAATGGGCCCACAGAGATCCCCTGCCCAATGCCTGCCTGCCAGGCCATCCTCTCCAGCTGTGGGCCTCCCTCTGCCGAGGAAGCTGCTCCCCTCCCTCTTCCTGCTGTGAGGTGGGCCTCCTGCATCTTGCAGGACACAAGATTCACACCAGCTGTCAGGCAGGCCACCTCTGCCCTGGCTGTCCCGCTGCTCAGTGCTGAGATCCCACGCCCTTCGACTCACTCATCCAGGTAATTGGGACCCCGTCGGCTTATCTGCACACTCTGCTCCCCCTCCTCACCTTGCTTCTCGCCCAGGCCTAGCTCCAAGCTCCACCGTGCTTGGACCCACACCTGACTGCCCCTTGCACTGTGCGCTCTGGATTCCTACTCTGCCCTTTCTTTCTCAGGCCTTCTCTCCTTGACACCTGGCTCCTTCCTGATTTCAACAGTGTAGCATGTTCTCCAGCTCGCTGGCTGGGGTAGACAGTGGGAGGTACTCCTGGTTTCCCCCGAACCTGCCATGTTCTCCCCCCCCACATTCCCTAACTGACATCTTCTTCACACCAAAGGTAGCCCCTAGACCCCCTTTTTTTCCGTCCTTCCCCAGTGAGCTCAATGCCTGGCTCACAGTCTGGCTCTCCTTCCTATCTCCTGCCTTCAGACTGGGGCACTCCAACATACAGATTGCTATTCCTCCGAACACTCAGACTCCCCACTTCACTCCTCCAGCCACACAGAGACCACCATGCCCCAGTTCTTGCCCCCCCAGTGCTGCAGGGTAGGTCTCAAAGGCCTCAGATCCCCAGAACTCCCCTGCCTCCTCTCACTCCTGAGTCCCCTCAGGTCTCACAGCCACCTCACTCCCTGCATAGCTCATATGGAGCCCTGAGTACCCAGCCACGAAATCCTCCTGCACCACTTGGAAAGACAAGAAGTTGAAACCTAATTGCAACTGCTTTGGTTAAAATCAAATCTCAATGGTCAAAGGATATGAACAGGCAGTTCGCAGACAAAGAAATTAAAGCCATCTATAGTCATATGAAAAAATGCTCTAAATTGCTACTGATTAGAGAAATGCAAATCAAAACAACTCTGAGGTACCACAGCACACCTATCAGATTGGCCAACATGACAAAACAGAAAAATGATAAAGGCTGGAGAAGATGTGGGAAAATTGGAAGACTAATGCATTGTTGGTGGAGTTGTAAAATGATCCAACCACTATGGAGAGCAATTTGGAACTATGCTCAAAGGGCTATAAAAATGTGCATACCCTTTGACCCAGTAATAGCACTCCTAGGGCTATACCCCAGAGAGATCATACAAATGGGAAAAGGACCCACATGTACAAAAGTATTCATAGCAGCTCTTTTTGGGGTGGCAAAGAATTGGAAATGGAGAGGATGCCCATCCATTGGGGAATGTCTGAACAAGTTGTGGTATATAAATGTAATGGAATACTATTGTGTTGTAAGAAATGATGAACAGGCTGATTTTAGAAAAACCTGGAAAGACTTGTATGAACTGATGCTGAGTGAAGTGAGAAGAACCAAGAGAATGTTGTACACAATAACAGCCATGTTGTGCGATGACTAAATTGATACACTTAACCCTTCACAGCAATGCAAGGATCGAAGACATCTCCAGAGGCCTTGTGATGGAAAATGGTATCCACGTCCAGAGAAAGAACTATGGAATTTGAATGCAGATCAAAGCATACTATTTGCTATTTTTTTTCCTCTTCTGTTGAATTTTGTTTCATCTTTCTGGTGGTTCCTCCTATTGATTCTAATTTTTACTTACAACATCACTAATGTGAAAATATGTTTAATAGGCATGTATATGTATAGCCTGTATCAGATTGCATGCCATCTTGGAGACGGAGGTGGGGAGGAAGGGGTGGGGATTTTAAACTCAAAAGCATATGGAAGTGATTGTTGATAAATCAAAATAAATCACAGCTCATAAGCTTCATAACTGAGCAGAGACAGGCTCCCGTTCCCGGTCTCCGAGCAAAAAGCTTTCTGCCACAAGGGGGAGCTCTGGAGAGCAGGAATATCCAGAAGTCCTCCCAGGTGACCACAGTAGTCACCAAAGAAACCAGCACTGGCCTCCTCCCCCTCCTCCAGGACTCCGGAAGGACACCCCAGCCTTCTCTGTCTCTGTCCGTCTCTCTGTCTCTGTCTCTCTGTGTCTCTGTCTCTCCCCCCATCTCTGTCTCTGTCATCACAAGGGGCACCGGAGACAGGTCAGAACAGTAAGGGCCAACTGGGAAATGTTCAGTGTGAGCGTCACACCTCAGAAATCGGCCAACACTGCAAATGGGAGACTGATCTTTTCGCAAATCGTCTACACTTAAGAAAATGATGAGGAGGGTTAATGATGCAGATTAAACCTGTATGCAGCTTTTCTTGGAGAGCTAAACATTTGACAGGCCTCACAGCGTTGCATGAGCGTGCATGAATGTGTACAGTTTTACATATATGTGGACACTATTTTTCCGGCCCGCTGAGGGCGATGCCTGCCACCCAAACCACTGTCTTCTCTTCTCCATCTTACAGAATCTTTTTTTCTTCGTAAGGTTTTACTGATTGCTCACCCCCCACCCCCCCAGTTAGGTCTCCACCGCCTCCATAGTTGCACCCCTCCCCCCATTTGTGCCTGGCCTTTCCCCTTTCCCACGTTCACCCTCCCCTCTGCCCCCTCCTCTACCCCTATGCCCCTTACCTCTGCGCTGCTCTGCATCGCACAGAAGCTGCCTCACGGTCAGGTCCATGATGTTGCCTCCTAGGGCGGGTAAGGAGCCTGCGGAGACCGAGGGCGGGTGGCCGCCCCGCTGGGGGTAACCAACTGCCTGACCCGCTCCCTCCAAGTAGAAGAGCCAACGCTCCAGGCCCCGCGGCCTCAGCCCGGGTTGGAGCGCACCCCCCAGCCAGGCCGTGGATCAGTAGTCTATAGGGGCCGGGGCCCAGCCAGCGGGCGTCTTGGGGCTCCCCCCCGCCCCCCAGGATGCCGGACCCCTTCTCCATGCCACCCCCGGAGTCATCTGGTTACCTGCAGTGGCTAGGGTGGGGTCTGAGGTCCGAGTCCCAGGGAGCTGGCTCAAACTGCAGCGGCAGCCAACGCCGCCGCCTCTGCATTTAGGGTAGCGTCCCTCTGTGTCCTGGCAACGGAGAAGAGGGGCGGGGGGGGGAGGGCGGGTTGGGTCTTCGGGAAGGCCCACCTCCTACTCCCAGCCTCCTCCTCCCCTCCCTGCAGACGGGAGAATCTCCGATGAGCCCCGAGGCTCCTGGCCTCTCAGCACCAGGCCCACAATAAAGACCGGAAACGGTCCTTGACTGTTTGTAACACCAAATTACCCCAATGAGCCAGGAGGCATGAAGAAAGTAATAAGAACCCCAAAGGGAAAAACAAAAAAGGAAGACCTAATTGGCATCAGAGTGCCTATGGCAACTCCAACATCCATGGCAGCAGGAGTAAAAGAAGAGGAAGAAAACAAAGTGGCAGAGTCTGCTGTGGATGATGCAAATTCTGTTCAGGAAAATCTTGGGACAACCCCAAAGCAAGCTGCAGTCCAAAAGAAGCTGATGAGGACAGTAGAGCAGCAAACTGAGGCAGAGGATCTTCCCGAGCAGCTGATGAAGATTCCTAAACAAAAATGCGGCCCAGTAGAGCATCTGACGACAGTGGTCAAGAGATGGATGGGAAGGAGGAGGTGGAAGGCAATGAAAGACTGATGATGAGTTCTCCTAAGGAAAAAAGTAACCGAAATATGAACGTTAGGCAGCCTCTTCAGCAGAAAGGGCCATCTGAAGATCTGGTAGGCCTCAGAGATCAACTTGTACATATTCAAAAGAAAGACATACAACTTCCAGAAGACCATACACGCCTCAAGGAGGCTACTCCAAGGCAAATGCTAGAACCAATCAAAGATAGAAACATCAACAAATCCCTCCTAATCAAACTAGACCAGAAACATGGATCAGTAGAAGATCTGACCATGACCAGGAGACTGATAAGAACACCTAAGGAAAAGGAAGAGCATTTAATAGAAGATGTGAAAGTTGTCAAGAAGTCTGTTAAAACATCAAAGCAAAAATGCGATCCAGAATACTCAGTGAGTATTAAGAAGTTTAATGAAATCCCCAAGATAGAACCAATAGAAAATACAGCAGGCGGCCTAGGAAAGCTTAGAAGAAAACCAAAAGGAGTAGAAAACCTTACAGGTCTTAGGAATATGACAATTCCTAAGGAAAAGTCAAAACTAGTACAAAACTTAACAGGTTTTAGAAGGCTTTCAAAAACGTCAAAAGTAAAAACAGCAGAAGATCAAACAGGCATCAAACTGGTGGAGAGGACTCCTAAAGAAAAAGAGTCAGGGGACGATCTAACTGGCATGAGGTGATTCATGAGATCTAAAAAAGTAAGAGAAGAGTCACTAGAAGATCTAACAGACATCAAAATGCAGATGCCCAGAAAAGCAGAAGAAGATCTAATTGGCATAAAAAAATTAATGAGAACCCCCAAAGTAAAGGGAGAGTCCGCAGAAGAGCCAACTGGCATGAAGGGACTAACAGGAGTCTCCCCCAAAAAAGTCAAGGGAGAGTCACCACAGGAGCTGCTGGGTGTAAAGAAATCAATGTCTCCTGAGAAAATAAAAGCCAGAGTTGACGGAAGACCTGCTAGGCAGTAAAAGACTGAGGACCCACAAGAAAATAAAAGAAGAGTCAGAAGATTGGACAGATGTTACTGTGTTCATGGAGACTCCCAAAAACGTGGCAGATATAAGTAACTCACAAAAATTACAAGAAATAGAGATACTCAGAAGACCAGCAATAAAAAAAGTCAACAATCAAGAAAATAAAATAACGGAAAACATACTAGAGTCACAGGAAGTACAAATTCAGACAGCTGGATGTATCAGTAAGTTACTGAAACCATCAAGAAAGAAAGAATTCGAAAGAGATATGTTCGGACCAAAAAGCCTTGAAGCAGAACCAAAATCACAGGAACCCAATTTTGAAATCGACGATACTGGGTTAGAAAACATGGATGAGTCACCACAACAAAGCAAGGTAATCCAACAGTGTAAGTGTAATTTTGCATAGACACATGTGTATGTGTATGTGTATGTGTGTATGTATTGGGGGGTGTATGATGCACACACATGTGTATGCATATACAGGGTGTGCCATTCAATGAAAAAAACCCTTAATATCCTGTAAGAAAGCAAGGCAAAAAAGATTAAACAATTCTTTCAGTTTAAGTGTAAATTTGCACATACATATATGCATGTAGTGCATAAGAATTCAAATGAATGTTGCGTTATCTTGAATTTCATGATGAAAAGCATAACTTAGGCCTCTCGTCATACGAATTTTAACATTCTGTGCATATTAATTTGTTTCTAGATTTCATCCATTTTGACCCAGTGTAGGACTCTTCAGTTGAAAGCCAATACTTTCTGAATTTAGCATTTCCTACAGCCATTTCAAAAATGATATGAAGTTATAGAAGTCCACATATCAACAGACTGAGAGGTTTACCCCAGTGTAGCTTGTGATCGATTATGTTAAATAAAATGTTTAAGTTAACTTGTGATTTGTCTTGCAGATCTTTCCTTTTTTATTCATTGATCTGAAAAAGAAAAATATTAAACCTAAACTGAACAGTTTCTCTCGTAGAATTTTTGCAGAAAAGAAGACTAGCATATGGGATCTAATAGGAAATTGGGTTTCAGGTACTGTGGTTAGATAATGGGATATTGCTCTAATGTTTCTCAATAACTTTGCAACTGGAAATGCCATTACATCTATCTGCTGTTAATACATATGCATACAAGATAAAATATTTATATATGTCTATCTTGTGTTTTTTGTTCTAAATCCAGGCAACAAAGAAGAAAGTGAAGACAGTGAAGGTGAAGGTCATCTTACAAATAGTAAAATATAATTTTAAGGCAATAAGGATAGAACAAATATTTAGTTAAGTGAATACAATAAAATAGTTTGACTGATTGTCACGAAATTTCAAGTTATTTTGTAAATGGGGCAGTGAATGACGATGTTCAAGGCAATGAAGGTTCTTTTTTTTTTTAGCAAATGTAAACTTTTTTTCACTAAATGTTTTTCTTCATAACCTGAAAACTTTTTGTGTGAATTCATTGAATTTACTTACTCATGGTCTTGTGGTAAATAAAGTATACACAGAATGTATACACATGTATTTTTATGGCAGTCCCAACTTTTCTCCACCCCTTGCAATGATTATTTTATGAAGTGCAATCTGTCTTATCTTGTTTCATTTGTTTTCTCTCTATCACAACTGCAAAAACTGTTGGGGGAAAAAAAGTTTTTTTTCAAACACTGGCTTTTTAGGATTTCACTGTAGTAAGTTTTGTTTAGACAATGTCCAATTTTGAAAATTCTAGAATGTGGACAACACGTGGGCCTGCCATTTGAAACTCAGAGATTTGAACTTGTTCCAACTCTTTCAAGGCCTAACTTGAAGTGGTGATAATTTACAGAGCGATTCATTTGGCTGTGGGATATTTAAAGGCTTAACATAACAGTATTCATAAACAAAAACTGCTTTGGGAGGGGAGGAGGGCAGGAGTTTCCATTTTCACAGAAGACGGCCTCTGGCAAGATTCTTACGGTTATGGAGGATTGTACATGATATGAAATTAAAGGCTTGAATGAAAAAAAAGTAGATTACTGGTACCTTGAGCCACCCCAAAGACTGTAGCAGGGTTCTTATGGACGTTGACTTACTGACTGCATCTTTCCAGTGAAAGGCAGGAGTAATAATGGCTTCTTACACTGGAATCAGAATGCTCAATCCTTCATTTTATCATAGAAGTTTATCTTCTTCTCATCATGCCTTTTGGAACCACAGAGTAACAGAAGAATCCAGATTTATCTTGAGCATGTTATTGAGCATACATAACTAAAGTTAATCAATAAACTTGTGCCAGGGATTGCTTAACCCTGGGAACATAAAATTTGGAGGCCAAAGTCTGGCCCTGCCTACAAGGAGTTTCCAGTCTAAATGACTGGAATTCAGTTGCAGCCTAGGAGGCCAGTAGTGAGAGAGAACATTTGAGGCATGTTGGGGGAGAAGGGAGGAGACAGCAGGCACCCAGAGCTGAGACTGGCCTTCAGACAGGAAAAAAGGGTGTCCCCAAACCCAGAAGAGAGTAATCTCTATAGAGTCAACAGCTCCTGAGAGGTCAAGGAGAATGAGGCTTGTGAAAAGCCCAGTTATTCCCCTATCTCTGCACATACAGAAGTATTTTGTCTCTAAAGTTAGCTACTTTCCCCCTCCTATGACATTCACAGATGCCTCATCCCTTCCCACATCATTTAAGCAGCAGTCCCAAGATCTATGTTCTAGGGCACTGCCCTATAGGGTGCTTGGGATACAAGGAATAATCCCAATATTGGGAGGAGCTTACATACTAATAGGGGAGATGAGTATGTAAAACTACACATAGCGTAAATATAAAACTGATGATCACATGGAAATGCATTCAAGGTCGTTTTAGAGGAATGGTACCAGCAGCTGGGGACTATCGGGAAAGGATTCATGCCAAGATGGGAGGAATGAGGATAAGGGAGGTGGTGGGCAGTAATCAACAAGGCACACTCGTTTGGCTGAATTATCACATGCTGGAGGGTCAGTAATGGCCAATAAGGTGGTGAAGGGTTTTAAAACCTTAAAGAGTTTGTCTTTAATCCTAGCTGTTAATAGGTGACCACTGTAGTAGGAGATGTAAAGGAGTCACATCAGATCTGTGCATAAGGAAAAATACTTTTGGAGAAATTTATACAATGATAACAGAGGAAAACCACTTGAAAAGTCTTTATAACCAGTGATAAACTGAGAACAAAGGTAAAACTTGCCACTCACCTGACAGATGATGAACTTATCATAGTGCACAGTGCAGGACTTGGAGTCAGGAAAACACCTCTTCCTAAGGTCCAAATCTGGCCTCAGACACTAGCAGTATATGACCCTGGGCACTTAAGTCACTTAACCCTGTTTGCCTCAGTTTCCTCATCTGTAAAATGAACTAGAGAAAGAAACGGCAAACCACTCCAAATGGAATCATGGAGGAGTCAGACACGACGGAACATA